TCTTCATTACCAAATGTTACAAACATCTTTGTCATTCGAAGTTAACTAACGATCTGCGAGTGTCGCACTCAAAGTGTCACTCCAACAGAACAGCTGTTGCAGATGACTGGCTTACCTACGTCTGACGCAGGTGCGTCTGACGCACGATAAATCAAAAAATCAATAATGGCTATTTGAGAAACCTGATGGTCAGAAGCATATCACCAAGTGCCACTACATTGAGGCATCGCCAGACCTCTACACCAGGCACTCACGCAGAGAGTGCCAGTGCTAAGTAACCTTCCACAACACAGAGAGTAATCACACTATCAAGACGCATCAATGAGTATATCCCCAGGAGCAGTGATGAGAACGCCCAGGGCTGAGGTTCGAACCCTAATCAGGGCCCCTATGGATTTACTCGACCTTCCAATGTATTATAGATTCCTGTATAGTTCCTCAAGTGGTCTTAGTGACTCAAGTTGAAGGTAAATGATCTCATGAGAGTGGAAATTTGTGCAGCTTCTCTCAGTTCAGAAGCAAATGACCATTCTAATATATCCCTCTCTCTCTCTCTCTCTCTCTCTCTCTCTCTCTCTCTCTCTCTCTCTCTCTCTCTCTCTCTCTCTCTCTCTCTCTCTCTCTCCCTTTGTTCTTAAGTTTTCACTTAGACGATGGTTCATTGTGACTATCACTGATGTTCCTAAATAAAACTGTAAGCTAAGAATTATTATCTTAAGATCATCAGAAATTTGTGTGATCTATTTTATTAAATAATTGTTTTTCATTAGGTATACCCTTATTTTATATTAAATTACAATACAATTTCTTTTTCCCCCATGTCTCTGTCCATCTCTATCTCTCTATCACTCTCTGAATTGTAAGAGGAATTTCTCAAACTAGAAAAGAAATTTAATAAGTGGATGTTGGATAAGTGGATAGTTATCCACTTATAAATAATGTGGGGGGGGGGGAGATGGGTGGATGTAGGGTGCCGAACCTGCCTTATCCGAACCTGTCTTATCAGCTTGATATACTCCCCATATATATGGCATATGGATGCTTGTAAACATAAAATCATTCTGGAAACTAAATAATAATTCATAAAGCTATATATCCCACGTATATCACACCAGTCTTTGTGTATGCAGCGCCAACATACAGCTCTTACGTCGTCAAACAATGAAACTAGAATAAGCTTAGAGGATATGAGATTCTGGAGGTGCTGGGAGGAATAGGGAACAAACCGCCCCTTTTGAGCAGGCCCCTAACGAGGACCACAAACAGACTGACCTATCTCCCATGTTGGCTGCTATCACAGTTATCGCTACTACTCCCACGGCCGCCCTAATGCTATAATTGTGTCGTCAGATTCATGACACATACTCGGCCAGACTCAGTGTGTTTTCCTCGTTGCGTTAATACTCCGCTGTAGTCTGGTGCTATTGTTGGCTGACATACGAGAGAGAACTTGATAAGCACCCTCCAAATCCTGGTTGACTAGTTTAGCAACGAGAAGACCTGGTCGAGGACCGGGCCGCGGGGACGCTAAACCCACACACACACACACTCACATATACAGGCGATGAGTCACAATAACGTGGCAAAAGTATGTTGACCAGACCACACACTAGAAGGTGAAGGGACGACGACGTTTCGGTCCGTCCTGGACCATTCTCAAGTCGATTGTGAGAATGAGACTTGAGAATGGTCCAGGACGGACCGAAACGTCGTCGTTCCTTCACCTTCTAGTGTGTGGTCTGGTCAACACTCACATATATATATACACACATGAATAAGTTTTATATCAACCCTCATCAAACCTACTATTACTCCTGACCATCACTAACACCACAAACTAGCCATCATTACACCCTATCAAACCCAGCCATTATCCCCGTCAGTCCCACCAGCCGAAAGGGGTCTACCCACACCGGCTCAAACCATTGGATGATATACTCTCCCTAACGACTTAAATTGCTTTCATCCTTATCACTACCCGGCTCATAAAATGGCATCCGGTGGACGCCGGTGGACGTATATTGGGTATAATCATGATGTAATGGGGGTTAAATGGGCTGGCGTGATGATTTGCGTCTCCTGTTCGTCACTGCTGATATCCCAGACGGTTTGTTTACGTCTAGTGATGGACCCAACATGGCGTCCGTTCCTGCCTGCCTGACGGAGAAGAGACTATGTTTTAAGTTTAATTTAAATTTTGTTTTTAATTTAATTTAATTTTAATTTTTGTTTTGGAATTTAATTTTTGTTTTTTAATTTTATTTATTTTATATTTAATATTTTTTAATTTAATTTTTGGAACTTAATTTAATTTGATTAAATTTAATTTTTAATTTAAGTTTTTGTAATTTTTTGTTTTATTTAAACATAATTTAAGTTTTGGAACACAGATTCTGCTAGCCAGATACCTCTTTCATATTTTGGTATCGTCATCAGGTATTTTTATGCTTATTCAAGCTTCGATAACCCAAAAATTTGTTAAGCTTCTTATGATTTTGAACCCGGAATTGATTTAAATGGATTACAAATGGTCTGTAATTCATATATGAACTTAAATATTTTACGTAATATTTACAGAATTTGATGCCTCGACCCAACCAATTTTTTGAAGAGCTACCGTAAAGAGACGCTTAGTCAGAATGACTACAGAACTCTTCAGTGGGACGTGAAGACAGAGCGAAGGAATGGTGCCCAATCACTTGGGGCCAGATTCACGAAAGCACTTACGCAAGCACTTACGAACCTGTACATCTTTTCTCAATCTTTGGCGGCTTTGTTTACAATTATTAAACAGTTAATGAGCTCCGAAGCACCAGGAGGCTGTTTATAACAATAACAACAGTTGATTTGGCAAGTTTTCATGCTTGTAAACTGTTTAATAAATGTAACCAAAGCCGTCAAAGATTGAGGAAAGATGTACACCTTCGTAAGTGCTTGCCTAAGTGCTTTCGTGAATCTGGCCCTTGGACCATGGGGGATCGAACGCCAACCCTACACAAAGCAAGGCTGTCGTTGTACCGACCAGCGACAGTCTTGCTGGTCGGTATAGCGAACAGCCTCAGTCTCCCATCCATTTGAATAGTCCATCCAAGTGAATAAAAGGAAATTACAAGTAAATTAAAAGAATTTAACATAAATAGGGTTTCCCTTTCATATAAACACATTTTAATAAGCTTAGAGTAGCTCATATTTGCTACCTTTTGACATAGCAAGAATTAAATAGGTTCAGTCACAGGAAAATAGGGATAAAAATAGGCATTACACACATTGAAAGACTCAGCCCTGTAACCACTCTCGACGCCCTGATAAGGACAATTTGTTGGAAATTGTATATCAGTAAGCCATCAACCAGCGAGACTCGGAGCTGGTAGTTTGTTTCCAGATCTTCCCAACAGGCAGGAGAGCGCGACCAAATCATCACCACCACAATATACTCTGAGATCCGGACGGAATTGCCGCTACGAGGAAAACTTACGGAACGACTTACGGAACGACTTACGACCCAAGCCACCATACCCGCATGAAAGAAAACGAAGTTAAATTTGCTTCCCTGCCAGCCACGGCTTCAGTATCTTCCAGGAAACGATGCAGCGTAAATTTTTCAATGACATCGGGAAATTTTATTGCACATTCCGTAAATCAGAGGGAGTGATTCGCGTAAGAGACAGATCAAGTTGCATCCGGATTTATAGGGCTGTAACTTTCCCATGTTGCAGAGTTAGGAAGATGAACAACTTGCAATATAGCGGATATATACACACACACACACGGAGGTATACCTTATTTACCGGTGTAGGTAAACTAAGAGTTTACTTTAGTCTTGGAGAATGTTGAGGGTTAAAAGTATACTTGATGGGTTGGGTGAGTATGATATTGTGGTGGATTTAATAACCCTCTATGAGGTTAATAGCCCTTAACCCCAACAGTCGAACCAATGAACACCTCGTATCTCATTCTCAGCATGTAAAGTTAGATCATTCTATGCCATTCACCTGGGCTCTAGGAGACTCGAACCCTGGATCCCAAGCATGTGAAGCCGACGCTCAAACGGTGGTCAAATAGCCTCGGCTATCATCATCTTTTGTATTGTCAGTATAGTTAAAATATATATATATATATATATATATATATATATATATATATATATATATATATATATATATATATATATTATATATATACTACTAATATTTTCACTCCCATTATTTTTAGTTCCCCCTAAGCTCGTCTTTAGGAGAAAAGATGTTTAATGGAATGTATTTCGTTTTCAGCATTTACGCTATTATGTATCAATATATATTGCTGTTGGGACCATTTTGGCCGTTCGTAAATGTGTGTGTTTCATATATGTTGGTGGAACCTTTTATGTGTTCAACTAGATGGGTTATCCGGCAGTACCCGGGTCTCTCTCTCTCCTTTTCTTTCCATTCTTTCTTCATTCCCTCCCGTTTTCTTCCTCTTTCCCATTCTCCCTCCTATGCAATCTGTGCAGTGACACGCAATAACGCTCATAATATACATTGAATACATGCTTGAATACATGTTACATATACAACAAACATAAAACATGCACCAAACACAATCACAAACACACGAGCAAGGATATTATATATTTTTTAACATTTGCACTCCTGCACCTTGTCCATGTTCCATTTTTTGTTTCCCTTAATTATCACACTTTCTATTACCACTGTAGACCCAAAGAATCATTCGTTGATGATTCATATCAAAATGTGTTCTAGAAACTGCTTCTTTGGTGCCTAAATTAATGTTTCTCATTACTTTCATTTCCTGCACAGAATTAACTTATTCACTATTCTTACATAAGGCAATTTGACTTACCAAAGTCATTACCGTAAGTGTAACACGCTATTTGTCGTGGCCTCAGTTGAATAAGTCAGCGCCATCTATGAATAAAATGCAGTCCTTCATGCGGAAGTTTGATGCTTTCTTCTATACAGTTAGTTCCTTCTGTTGGGTGAATGATTTCTTGGGTTGGTGGAGGAGAAGCTGCTTAGTTCGGTGGCCAACTACTTCGAGTGAACTTCGTTTGTGATATTTACTAAAATTATCATCTGATCTTGGTGGATTTTTTGTTTTAGTATTAATTTTTATTCTATTTTGCGCTTTTTATTTTTGATTTGTGGAAGTTGGAGTTACATGTTAAGTAAGACGATGTTAGTTCCTGTGAGTTTGGGTATTGTTATGGTCGTGATGCTGATGTTTACACAGCCAACGAGGTCTCTGCCCATATCAGGTAATTGTCACAATAAATGTTAATTTTCTACAATCTTTTTGGGCTCTCGGTATATTTTGATTATATTTTTTAGTCGAGGAAATGTTAGACATAATTTGTATACGAATTAGTGTTTTGGCAAGAATGTATGAAATCGTACAAGTGAAAGCATCCAGTTACAGTATAATACACCTTGAGCTATTAAATGTTGTGTAATACACCTTAAGCAAGAGTGTTGTGTATTAAATCTGATAAAGGATAGTATCTTGTCGCCTCTTACAGCCCGAGACATGCGTAAAGTCTACACAAGATTGTTTCGTGTAAGTTTAATTCTAGGGAAAAAAACTTAATTCACTTCCATTAGTAATGGAAATGCAAGCAGGGTAGTTATAATGTTCATTTTGTTGCAAATGTTGCAATGCCGGCAACATAATACTTCGAAATGTTTCTTTTTAAACTAGATAAATGTATTCTGGGCATAAAGTAACGAATACAGTTTAGGACATAGATTCTGCCAGCAACATATTCGGCACATAATTGTAGAGCATAAATTCGCTTAATGCACTTTGGATGTATAGTGTTCGTAAGTAGTTAGCGTATTATGGTTTGAGAGAGAATTCCAATTACGAATCTGAATTGTTATACAAGGAGATTGGAGAGATTAAGCGGGGGATTTTTATATATTTTTATTAACGAAAATATTGAAATTAGTGTAAATTTTATAAGACGAGCGGGAAATGTTTCTTGCAATAATAATTCTTTTACATAAAATTCTTCCGGATTTGTCAAGTCTTAATATTTTTCGTGTATTTTAAACTCGTCTATATAGCTTACTGTATTCCCATTTAACAAGTCAGACGATCGCGTCTATTCCTGTGACCATTTTCCACATAGGTCTTCAATCGCTAATAAGTTTTTACTTGCAGGCAATCTTTCAGACTTGTATAGTCCCAGAAAAAGATGTATTAACCCAGAGGAGTGCTGCAAATATCAAAGATCGTCTGAAGAATTCGTCCAATGCTCTAATGACCGCGGTTGCTCTCTAATCACGTGTGTTGGCCTTCAAGGTGAGAGATCTCTACCACTGACACAATGTAACAAGCTTTGTTCCTGAGTAGCAAGCGTTACTTTACCTGATAGCCTATGACATTAAAGTATATAATGGCCATTATACCCATATTTCTTCCACCCCGTCACTTCCCAAATCCTTATCCTGATTTAAAGTGCTATATGGTTGTAATTGCTTGGTGCTTTTCTCTGATAACTTCCTTCCTCTCAAACTTCTCTGATCTTCGCCCAAGACGACTTCAAGGTACTTAAAGGCGGCCCGACTCCTTATCTAGAGCCGACAGGTAAAGTCGGCAGCCTTCAGGTATTTTGAAAGACTTCTTCCAAAATCTCTTGGGCAAATGTCAAAGCTTATTTTGAAGGGGATAATATCCATTTCCTATACTTCAGAGCCATAAACAATTGGAAAATAACTACTACACAGGTAAGACTAATTGAGGTGCAACTCGTCTTCGACTAAGTCCATTACATCCAGCGGTCGACCCCACAGTTCATTTAAAACATAATTTATCAAATATAAATAATAAGTGTGCATTTATAGGCAAAGGGTAGGTTAGGTTAGGTGTTTAGGTCAGGTTAGGTTAGGTGTTTAGGTCCTGGTGGCGATTATTTGTATTTGTAGCACGTGGGTGAAGCATTTACAGGGTTGTGGTTCGAATAAAATTCGTCAGTGAAGCACTTGTTCCGGAAGTGTTCGAACGTCATCAGTTAAGTCGTGTGTAAAGTTTTTCATTCATAAACAGGGGGTTTGGCGGGTGCATGGACTCACTTTTGGGTCTTTGCTTGGAGGACGAGCTGCCATTTCATGCAACCGGCAAATCCTCTGTTCATGAATGAAATAATGCTTTACACAACTCGCAACTGATTACGTTCGAACATTGTTCGAACAGATTCGCTGACACCCTTTGTTCGAATAGAAACTTAATGCTTCGCAAACTTGATAAAAAATAATTCCAACAGAACTTAAGCGCCTAACCCAGCCTGTCTAAACATTCACAATATGATAATGTATAATGTATGATAATTCTTATTGAGAATGAACAGAATGTTAACAATTTTAGGGATGCGTGTTAGGGGTCGGCGGCCGGATGGAATGAACATAGTCTGAGAACGAGTATGGGAAGATTTTCATTCATGAACTGCGGGGATTTGGTGGATAAATTAACGAACATTTTTTTTCCTTTACTTTAAGAACGATTTGTATCAAGAGGTAACGTCAGGCAACGTTACCGTTGGTAGACAGTTTAAAAGCATTGAAATAAAAAATTAGTTAATACACTTTTGGTTTGGTTATGTAATTTCCCGAACGTTTGGGCAATTCCTTTTTTTTTAATTTAATTCTTACTTTTTTAATCTGGTTGGCTGTTACGGCTATTAATATTTCTTTTGGATATTTTCCTTGAACCGTTTTTTTCCTGAAAATTTGTTCATTTTGCTGGAAGTTTTAAGTCGATAATTCGTTAATGAAATCCCGATAGTGCTGTCGGGATCTTTCTCGATTCACAATAGAGAATGCCGGGTTCGAACCCCGGGCGGGGCAGAAATGGTTGGGTAGGGTTTCCCTTCACCTAATGTATCTGTTCACCTAGCAGTAAATAGGTACCCAGGAGTTGCCGTGTTGTGGGGTTGCATCTTGGCGAGGGTCACTAATTCGACCTAGGGCAGTGGGACGGGAGGTAACCTTAATATATATATACATTGGCTACCTGTCCCCTGACACAATGAATTATTAGTTACCAAACCAAATTGTCGCTGTTCAATTTGATCCATACAGTAAACTGTAAATGGATTTTAAAATTTCAGGCAATGATAATATTGCACACAATGTAAACTGCAAGGATGCCTGGGCATGCTGCCGCTTCCTACAACAGTCTTCAGAGTTTATGCAATGTTGTGCAGACCATAATTGCTGTCCAATGTGTGACAAAGTCTCAAAAGGTAAGTGGTAGTTGACAATTCGTTTCCCCTCACACCTGGCTCCCTCTCATTAGTAGTTCCATATGTCTTCAGTGTGAAGATTCTCTGAATATGAACTCAAGAATCACTGAGCATCTCACATCCGTGCTCCATCACTCTACTGAGACATAAGGTGGTAGCGCTGATGTTGGCAGCAATACGGACTAGTTTAGTCTATCTGCCACGAATCATAGAGGGAAGTGGATAATACTTCAAATCCACAAGGGCCGTGACGAGGATTCGAACCTACGTCCGAGAGCATCCCAGACGCTGCCTTAATCGACTGAGCTACGACATGGCATAAGAATTGCAACCAGAAATTCTACTGAATTTACTTGGATCCTGCATCCTCTGACACAAACCAGGATTTTACACAATTCCCCTCCATGTACTCAAGCTATGTCAATAGGCCGTTCTAGCTCTAAAGATAAACTGTCTACCTTTGACGTAGGTTCGAATCCTCGTCACGGCCCTTGTGCATTTGTTCATTTGATGCATCACGCTATTGTGTTTTCTGTGTGTAATGGATAATACTTCGATCACCCAAAAGAAGGTGCACTCTCCTTAATGGTAGCCCAATGTCGGCTCTCAGATGCAATTGTGGTTCTATTGTAGACGCGGCCCGTCCTCCTAAAGTTTCCAAAGGCCAAACTGTCTAACTAAAGCCCCTCCCCCCACCCACCCCACCCTCTTTTCAACCAATCAGAGGACCCAAAACAGAAAACGTGACAGTATGGAAATTTTCGGAGCCGCGACCATTTTCTAGCAAGAAAATTTTTGGTCTTGGGTAGTATACGTCAAAAAATGCGACCTTCTATTAGGAGGACAAGTTGTGCCTTATGATGCTGCTTCCACCTAGGTCCATCTTCTGGGTCTCCGCCAGTCTGTTTTTTTTAGTACGAAAATTTTTAATCTCTTCAAAGTTCCTTAATATAAATATATTGATGGTAATCGCGGGATTTTATAATTTATAAAACATTAATCGTAATTTTCTCCATTGCACTCATTCGAATTATGCTTCAAATATAGTACTTGTATAGCCTATTGTGTAGGTTTTGAATGTCCTAATTAAGAAATTGTGGTTATATGTACTATTGTATTTTTAGGTTGCTGCTACAACAAAAAAATGTATTGGTGGGGAAGTGTAGTGGAGGAGCTGCCAGGGCTGTGTCTGGAGCTGGTATGTGCTGCACACCTCTCAAACTCTCCCCCCTTCTTAACCGCTCTCATTCTGCCAGTCAGATCCACTACGGAGATCTGTGAAGGTAAAGGTCCATCTTGTACACCCACGGGCTTTACGAATGAGGGATTTAGATAGTATAAAACTGCCCAAAATCAATTACTTTAATTATATCTAAAACTGGGAAAAGGTTCATGAATTTAATGTTCCTTGCTATACCTTTTAACTTTTCTTAACCTTGGCCTCTTTTCTACCTAGTTCCTAGTGTTATAAAGCCTGATCCTATGTACTCTTGTACTGACAAATGTTATGGATACTGCCGAGGCTCCTCAGAAGGGGGAAAAAAAGCTCGACAAAAATTCCTAAAGTTCATTTGTCTTGTTGTATATACCAGCTACGTTGGTACTGATGAACGAGGGATAATGAAAGTCCAACGTTTGTGTATCTTGAGTAGTAAAGTATAAAGCTGCACGCTGGGGAATACGCTGAATGCCATAAATGCCGGTTCAATAGCAATGTGAAATCTATGCAAACCGTTTCACATGAAGTGTCTGATGCCGAATTGAGTTTTTAGATTGTGAATTTTAAACTAATTGGATAATACAATTAGTATATTTGATATAAAGTATGATGAATTTTCTACCATAGTCTTATGTGTTTCCTTGAGTTTGAGGAACAATTAAGTACGGATTATGCTATTAAAAAGTACGTCAAAAAGACTTTCAACTTTCTAAGATCATTAGTATTGGCCTTTTTTGACCAGACCACACACTAGAAGGTGAAGGGACGACGACGTTTAGATCCGTCCTGGACCATTCTCAAGACAATCGACTTGAGAATTGTCCAGGACGGACCGAAACGTCGTCGTCCCTTCACCTTCTAGTGTGTGGTCTGGTCAAATTACTTCAGCCACGTTATTGTGACTCATCGCCTGAGTATTGGCCTTCTCTAAGGGGGATGGACTGTAGTTCATTTAACATTTTATTGTAGTTTTTGAAATTGGATATAGATAAGCTTAAAAGATAAAATTACATAAATTAGAAATATATTTTGTCAGCCAATCGTCTCAAGACTGTACATTGTTAAAATAAATGCTATTGACTCCCCAGGAATGTGGATTGATGACAACTTGACGTTCTCCTGTGTTGATGACACCGGATTAGTGAGGGCCGAAGGTGACGAATGGCGTCCAGACGAGTGTCACCTGTGCCAGTGCCAAGGTGGTAGTGCCGTCTGCATAAAGCTGGAGATACAGTGCCCTCCCTCACCTCACAGCTCTTGTCTTGAAGTTCCTTGTACTTGTTGTCCTCGATGGGAATGTCCAGTTGAGCTGTAAGCTTTCGTGTTGAAATGCATTTTGATTTATTTATAAGATTTAAGTATTTGGGTTGGTGGATGGGAGGCAGGAATATTAATGCAAGATTACCAGTGGTTACACAAGCCTTGAAATGATTATTTTTATAAGGGGACAGTTTGTGATGTCTTATTTAATTCGGTTAAAACGATATCATGCATTGTTGAACGTGACGTTGGTGTGTGTTAGACAAGACGAATGATTGTGTACAATGGTATTCCAGCTTGTGCTTGATAGGCCTCAGACATCACAAACATCGCTATCGATCTTAAGTCATGCGACCTGGTGTACGAATGTGTATTAGCCAGATATTTTAATGAAGATTAATGTTAAATTGTTAATTAGACTTGAGAGGGATTTTTATTGGAGTGACATGCACTTTTACCCATTTTTCTCTCTCCGGGCCGGGCTTGTCGAGCAGAACGGAGCAGCACTTAAACGATTCCAGTGAAATAGCCCTCAGGTCGGGCTTCTCGGTTCATCATTATGGGGGACACCGAACCTGGTCTATTTGGAAACCTCTTGAGGGTATCAAACATTATCTATCTTCTCTCCATGGCAAGATTCCATCAGTGCCCAGTACGGGTCCTTGTCAGTCGTTGCACGACATTGGGAAGACTTGGTCTACGAATGATCCCTGTTCTAAGGCTGTCTGCACACGCACAGGAATCCAGATCACACGAGAGAAGTGTAGTGGTGGTCCTCTGCACCCAAACTGCCTCCAGTTTACACCCAAGGGAGAATGCTGCCCTAAATGGAACTGCAGGTGAGGATAAATAGTTATAAGTCTGACCTTCTAGTACCCGTCCTGCGGTTGATCTGGAATCTGCAAACTATTAAATGTTTACATTTTTTAAATGGCTGCAAAATTACTAGATATTTTAGTCTTCTGAAAATTTTTACGAAATTTATTATTTTAAATTTGTATAACTTATCAGAAATGTGTTCCCCATTAGGAAAACTTTTATCAACATTTATAATTTGTCTTTAGATGTCTGGAGTATGTCTTAATGCCTTTTTTCTTAAGGTCATGCCCAAATATTCCTCGTACTGAAGTTTCTTGGTGTAACTTGTCTTTTTTAAAGTTAAAAATTTTGGTCTGGAAGTAAATTTTTAGTTTATAGTTAAATATGCGTTTGATGGAAACTTTTCAAACTTGGCGATGACATATTTTATTGACTTTAGTATTAGACTTTCCCTTCCAACACAAGTTACGGTTTTCAGAACCAATTATTTTTTAGATTTAAGTATTGTTTAATCTAAAGTTATTAGATCTGGCGTTTGGGCTCGCGCTGGGGACCTGGTATTTTCCCGATTTAATGTAATTAGTCTAGATGCTCTTAAATAATTCGCAGTTTCTTCGGTCGTGATCAAAATGGTTCTTATTTGTCCGGAAATGATAGTACCATTAGTTACCATGGACTTTCACTCAAATGGCTCTTTTGCACTTTACAATAAAAGTACAATATTGATTGTACTGTTTAATATAAAGTACTGTTGATTTTGTACAGGGGCCGAGAGCATGCAACAAATAAATTTCCCTAGGCCTGGTATTGCATATTCATTCCAAACTAGGCCCTATTATTGCTTTAGGCTTAGCATAGGTTTATTTTTTTCTCTATGCCTTTCAACATATCAATTGAACAAAATGTAAATAAATTATCGATTCCACGAATCGTATGTACATTCCATCTATCTTTTAGTGTCCCATCGTACTGGCGGAGAGTTGGTCCTGCAGACTAGCGACCGAAATCCCCTATTTACTGTCCAGTATATTACTGCTTATAGAGCCTAAATGTGTTCATTCCTGTCACTAATAACAAAAATACTGAAAGAATTAACAAAAATATTCTGGGTAAAAAGAATCATTTGATCACGGGGGCAACTATTAAACACTTTTCGAAAAACTTTTCAACCAGCTAACTCGTTCCACCAACTTTTCGAAACATCCATTGCACAGCTCCCCATGGATTTTGTTCTTTAGTCTGTAATTGGTTTTTTGTTTATAGTTAATAAAACAACTTTAGCGTGAATGTCGATGAATCACACACGTCCAATAGTCTTAAATGTTATATTGCCTTTTACCTGTATCCTGTGCCATAGAAAAGTCTTAAATAGGGTCTTTGTTTTGCATAAATCCTGTTTATGCAGATTTTCTTGCTCAACCGTTTGGCATAGTGCTTACAACATACATGTTTTGGTAGTACCACCTCTGGTGCAAGTGTAGGGACCCATAGCCTCTGAGAAGAAAATAGTACTCGGAGAAGACCTTGTGGATCCATGGAAACCATTTTGCCTCTTAACCTAATGATTTTGTCTATGGTATTTAATGTAACAGATTTCTATATTTGTTAGTTTCATGGCATGTTGGGGGCAACCCGTGCTAGTAAGTCGCGTATTTAACATTATGGTAACTAACGTTAGAAATGCAACCTACTATGGAAAGTAATGGCACGCAAATATCTACATTTTCTATGCATCGGACAAATTAAACTAGATTTTTGCAGCGTGCCAAAATAAAGAAAACGGGAAAACGATTATCCAACCTGTCGTTTCTTGCAAATTAAAGTTTTTGTATCGATCTGCATTTCCCATTACCTATTTTTTCCTTTTTTCCTCCTGCAGTGGATGCTTTGACAGTGCTGGGAATTACTTCCACTATAAAGTAGTGTGGGTGTCAAAGCCATGTACGACGTTCGAATGCACAGAACGTGGCATAGAGCTCAAGCCGTGCACCCTTGGGCCCCAGCCTCACCCTTACTGCCAGCTCCTCGTACCCCGTGGGTCGTGCTGTGCCCAGTGGTCGTGCAGGTAAGTGGTGGCGATCACGACACTGTTTATACAATTACACACAAATCACAATAGCGTGATGCATTAATTTTTATTAATGTATCATAATTGTTTTATGTTTATTTACATAAATCTTTGTTTTATTAAGTAAAACCCTGGTTTGTGTCTCGGAGAGGATGCAGGATCCGTGGTAGATCAGGATGATTTACCGGTTGCAGTTCTTTTTACCATGTCGTAGCTCGGTCGATTAAGGCAGCGTCTGGGATCTTCTTGGACGTCGGTTCGAACCCTCGTCATGGCCCTTGTGGATCTGTTCTGTTTATACAACTTGCTTATATACTTCTGCTTCTGCTTATATACTTATACTACTTCAACTTGCTTCTGCAATTTTAAATTTTCCATGTTAGGAAAAATCTCGGAAGAACTGGAGAATTGTTTGCATCTATATACGTAATTTTTTGTTAATAGATTGTTGATTTTATATTTGAGTAAAAATCATTGTTGCTCAAGACATTTTTAAGACTGAAAAATTGTTGCTTCTGTCCTTTTTCAACAGTGGTGGGGGGGGGGGGGAGAATCTTGTTTTTTTTGACAATAGGCTTTAGCCAGTTAAATATTTTTCTTCTAATCATTTAAAGCACAGCCCCCATAGTCACTGTCCTCAAGCAAAGGGAAGCAAATAAGTCTAGTCAGCCTGTGGGAAGAGTTCCTCATTCCTAGGTGCATATACACAATTTTCTCTTGGAAATCGGAATAGAACTTTATCAAGTTCTCCAAAAGATATCTGAACAGCCGGGATGAAATTCCCAATCAAGACAAAGTAACTGCCTCCATCAGATTAGGTGAGCAGACGACCAGGAGGTCTGGTCAGACCAGGGCGTGGGGATACTGACCTTCCATCTCTAGGTATAGGCACCTTCTACCATGAATTCGATCTGGGACTTTGAAAACTGCTGTTCTAGACAAAATTTAGTGTTGCATCCTCTTTCCCCACCCCTCAAAGAACGTCACTTTAGTCAGAAATGTCATGTCTTCTTGCCCGACAGTGGTTGCTTCAAAGATGGAAAGAACTATCCACTTGGCAGTGAAATTGGCACAAGTGACCCGTGCATCACCTTGCAGTGTACTTACCGGGGATTTGAGAGGAAAATTAAGTTCTGTCCTTCGACGCCAGCTCCTCAAGAAAATTGCTTCCAGTATACCCCTGAGGGAGATTGCTGCAAGAAATGGAATTGCAGGTAAAGTAATTGTTATTTTTTTAGTTATAGATGCGCTCAAGCACTAGTTCTCGTTACTAGATTAAGCAGTTTAGTAGAGTAGATTGCATAATCAACCTCTCCTTTAACCATAGATCAAAGACTCGTTGAATATGTTCAGTTTAATCACCATATATAAACTTTTAGTTAATCTAAAAGAATACCAGTTTACCAATTACTAATTGCGCGGATTCCTCTGGGCGGGTTTCATATAATTTTGCAAGTTTTGAGTCGTATAAGAATCTCATTTTCGTTAATTTTATTTTAACTGAATATGAATAATTATTATAAAAGTTCAAACTTCAAATACACACAAGCTGGGTAAACCTTTTTGTTTTTGTATAATAGTTTAGTGAAGGATCCCTTCTTTGTTATTGAAAGTTACCTCTGTTTACCTGTACTCTTAAGTAAAATAGTTGACAAATCTTACGATATACGAACTTGAGCTTATGTACTAGTGTTAATGAACATTATTAAGTTTTAAATGAAACTAATTAAATGTTGAGAGTAGAGTTCTGAAGAGTTTGCTAAACGCAGCTTCCAGTTAGTATATTTTGGTATACAAAATGTGAATACATTTTATAGTTGTAAGATGCTAATTTGCAAGTCTTTAAAGACTAGCACATGTTATGGTGGTTGTATCCTCTTGTTCACGATTGAGTCAAATACACAATTACCTAAACAGTGAATTAGAAATGACATTTCAAAGGTGCGCCAGACTGCACACACTCGGTGATAATGACCCGTATTAGTGCTTATAATATACCGGTTTTCTCCAGGTTGCAATTCTTTTGACCATGTTGTGGTACAGTTAACTAGTGCATCTGGAAACGCGTAGCGTATAGGTTCGAACTCTCAAGGCTCGTGTGGATATAATTTGATATATCACGTTGATTTGTGTACAGGCTTTTGGTATTTTATCGTGATTATTATTGGTACATTTTTATGTTCCAGCGGATGTTTTGATGCTGGGAAGATCTATCCTCTCCACCATACATGGAGCAGCGGTCCGTGTATCACCTACGAGTGTACGAATAGTGGGATAGAGAAGACTGAGAAGCACTGCTACATTACCCCTGCGCCCCACAAGGGCTGCAAGGAGGTTATTCCAGAGGGCGCCTGCTGCCCCGAATGGTCGTGTAGGTGCGTACTTGTCAAGCTTAAGATTGTATCTGCAAGCTCGGGTCTGCTCCTGGGGACCCAGGTTCTTTAAAGCTGTTGGTAATAAAGTACAATGGTGGCAGAACCACTGCAACCATTTGACTTTCTATCATATCTATAGTAATAGCCTCCACTATCCTCACTATTTTACTCGCTAATGTTAAAGATTTTTTTACAGCCATATGGCTCTTTATTTATAGCCGTCATTCATATCCTCACTTTGCTATTGGTTCCTGTTGAATTTGTATCCTTAGGTTTGTGATTACTCGTTAGGATGTCGCACGTCGCAATCATATCTCCTCTTTCGTATGTTATATAATGAAACAAGATCTGCTTTTTGGTCTTTTCTAGTACTCCATTCCTCTTAGTTCAGGGAACAGTTTTCAGACTAATCTAAAAGTCCCTAGTTTTATCTATGGCCTTCATGTAGGAATGGTATATTCTAAAAGTAGAATCGAATTAATGTATAATGGTCTTAATGCCTCTTAAGATTTCTGAAGGGTACTGATGTTAGAGAGGTTTACATCAGATATTGTAGTTCAGTTGGTTTGGGCATTAGAAAATGGGTATGGTGTATAGGGTGGTGTTTCTAATGCCTAACTGGGGAGGGGGGATCTACCTATTTATGTTGACCATAAATAGGTCTGGTCAACATACTTCAGCCAAATTGTGACTCATCACCTGCGCCTATTTATGCCCTGCCTATTAGCTTAGTTGTAACTCGTTACTTTTGACGTCCTTGTAGAGTAGTTTTATTGTCAATGGAGATTGCTTTAACTATGTTGGCTACCCGTAGAGGATAAGAGCATTTCCTTACATTTCTCTGACTTGCACTTAGTTTCCAGCGTGCACTCGTGTCCCCTTGTGTCCTACTTCTGTTTTATAGACACTGTCCCTGTTTATTCACTTAGTATCTTGTATGTTGTGATCATGTATTTTGAGAGATTGTCTCCTGGTACTATTTTTGATAGGTTAATAACAAAGGTTTAAACTAATCCTGTTTAAAGCTCTCTAAATTTTTTTTAATTCGTTTTAGATACTCCACAGTGTGGAGTTTAGGGTGGTGCTGCATATTTCGGCATTAGTCCAACATAGGTTGTGTAGGTTGCGTTGGGATGCGTTATTAAAGCGGTTTTAATGTCTGCCAGCATCCCCACAAACGTTGCCGAAATTATCCTGTTTGTGCATCTGGTGTTAAAATTATATTACCTCAATCTTATTTTTCAGATTAATATTGTTGCCATCTTCATTATAGTGTGTATACATCCCGGTCTTTGGTTCCCCATCATCATTACCTTGCACTAGTTGAGATTGAATTCTAGCATTCATTAGTCTGCTCTGTTCGCTATTCGGTAGAGGAGGGTCGGGAGCATTATTATGTATTGGATCTTTTAATGATCCAATACATGCGCAGACGAAGAGTCATAATAACGTGACTGAAATATGTTGACCAAACCACACACTAGAAAGTGAAGGGACGACGTCGTTTCGGTCCGTCCTGGACCAGAAACGTCGTCGTCCCTTCACTTTCTAGTATGGATTGGTCAACGATCCAATACATAAATGTTAAAAGAATAGTCAATGGACTGAAGAAATATCATTAATGTCAAATGTTTGTGTTCCAGTCGGTGTTACAAGGACGGGAAATACTATGATGTAGGGAGCGAGACAATCGCCAAGGATCCCTGCGTCACCTTGAGATGCACAGAAAATGGTATAGAGATGATTTATAAATCTTGCTTTGGAACACCGGCGCCGGAGAAACACTGCTTCGAATACAAAACCGAAGACGATTGTTGTGAGAAATGGAACTGCAGGTGAGAGGGAAGTGGTTGAACTATTAGTAATGAATCTCCAGCAGTTAATTGCTTAGTCCAGGCCGTTAAGAATGGTTGGGCACCATTCCTTTGCCAATCGTCCTATTCCCTAATACTTATCCTGACCCGTTTTCAGTGCTTTATAGTCGAAATGGCTTGACAATTCTCCCGATAGTGCCCTTCACTTCCCTTCTCAGTCCGTTAAGTCAATTAAGCGTGATAGAAAATGGCTTTTGTAAGATTTATATAAAATCTAAAATGCCGGTTAACATGTCATAAAGGATAGTTTCTCCACTGTCGAGAGACAGGAATTGTTACTCAGAATTTTCAGATAGGCCTTTCCCAAGATGCAATCAAAAACAGCTGCATCACTTAATTGTTTAATGCAAAGTGAAATGGGACAAGAGGTGCAGGGTAACTAGCCAAAATGTTGCTTCCCGCCACCGAATCATCGGTTCCAATCAGTTTGTTTTTTCAGTTTATCATTCCACTTTAAATTGCTATAGTTCTTCTTTGCTCGATCTGTACACATAATCCACCAAAGTCATAACATTTTAGGAATTTAACTTTTGTATATTCTTGTCATGCTTGCTTAAATGTTGAATGTAATTTTAGAGTAAATGTACTCGTATCAGATTTACAGATCAGTAATTATTGAATTTTACAAAATATTTATAAAAAAAAATATTCTACAAAATTTGTATAGAAAATTTAAAATTGTAATGCAAGACTTTTCAGTAATTATGACTAAGGCCAGAGCTAATCAATGAATTTTTGCCTATATTTGTGCAATAACAAATTAATATATGAAAATAATGAGACGGTAAGACAATATCTATAAAATTGAAAATGCTGCAGTTTTGAAAATTAGAGCCTTGGCATGCATTAAGCTTGACAATCTTTGGTACAAGACTTCTGTCGGTTTTTCAAACTTGGCGACAGATTTCGAAGCAATTGAATGACCTAGAGATGAAGTATGGAAACAAATGCCAATTATAATTAGTAGATAAAGGCAAAAGTTTAATACTTGAGGAAAGTTTGTATTCCTAAATGATCTTGCACCATTTTTTTTTTAAACACGAATATGTATGACATTTATTAATTTACTAACAAGTTGCTGGTTACAGTGGATGTGTTGATCAACAAGGCGACTACTACCCACTGTGGCAACCTCGGAAGATCGACCCCTGCACCACTGTGGTGTGTACCACAGATGGCCTGAAACCCATTGTCGAGTCGTGTCACTTGGAAACTCGACCCCACCACAGCTGTCGACAACACACTCCAGAGGGAGTCTGCTGTCCTCAGTGGGATTGTAGGTATGTTGAACTATTTTTTCTTGTATTGGTGTTAAATTGTGCAGTCATATTTTTAATATTTTTACTGTATTGCCGTTGTTGATGTATATGTAAAGCTTTTATCAATGCTGCGCACAGACAACCAGTTGATTGACAGCTGAGAAGCGGGACCAAAGAGCCAAAGCTCAATCCCCACAAGCAAAACTAGGCGAGTACACTGTATTGGCAATTCATATACATTGCCATATATGAGTACATATAATATACTGTGCACTATTTAAGGACACTCTGGTCCTTAAATGTATCACCCACATTCTGTATATAAAAGTATATGTAGCTGCCAAAATAGACAATATACCTAATATATCCTAAGCTTAACTATACACGAAATAGTATTTATTAGTCTGTTTTACTTGTGTACCGAGCAACCCATTCTTCTGTTTAGAAAGTAGTCTTTTGTAACTAACTTGTAAAGATTGCCGTTCTAAGCAATTAGATGAACTTTGACACTTAGTCGGAAAAAATAAGCTAGAAACTTAAATATTCCCAGGCCTAGTATAGCACACACGTACTATATTAGACCTCTAATATCGTGTATTAGAGACCTAGGAAGGTTAGGTTAGCTTAGTTTCTTTGCAACATAAGTAGAAAAAAGTTTTCCGGTATGTCCCACTCATTAGTGTAGATTTTTACTTCCTAATTTCGTTGTACGTCGGTATATATATTGTGTATATACCAACGTACGTGCATTGATGAGGCGAAGATGAGGTGCATTGTTGAGCCAACCTGCAGCAGACTCCAAAGATACATTAAACAATTTCAATTACTTCCCCCCCATCCCACCCCCCAAAAAATACAAAAATAAACCTTTTCTTGGTTCTAAATCAACATTGTGTGCAGTTAGATCTAGAATAGACTTTCCGTTTTCGTATTGCAGGAAATTTACATTCAGTGTTGGCCATAGAGATGAGATTCGAACCCTGTGAGGCACTGTTAAAGAATAGTGTAACCCATTATGAATCGTTAAAGGTTTGGTGGGTGGATTAACCACCATTTCGCCCCTTGTTAGAGGACGGTCGCGGAGCTATACCCTGACGATGGTTCGCTATGGTTCTCATTCGCTTAATAAACACATGACGTGATACCTTGATTTTACTGTACACAAAAAATTTGTACACTTTCAGTTCTACTACAACCTTGGCTACCATCGAACCCTTTCTGAACGGCTGTGTGGACGATTCTGGTGTTTTGCGTCAGTTTGGACAAGAATGGACCGATCTTTTTGACAATTGCAAGCAACTGTTGTGTGGTGCAGACGGAGTAGTAATCGAAAATAATCTGTGCTTTCCAGAGGAACTTTCAGACGCGTGAGTATTGGACTGTTTACATATAGTAAGACGATCTGTTTCCTATAGGAATGTTAAATATTTATTAGTTGCATCTTTAAAGCGGTGGTACATGCAGGATAATTATCTAGTTTTACTAATTTCGAAGTGTTGGTGCTGTACTCTAATTCTATGAACGAATTAGGGTTAATGTATATTGTATGTATACTTTACCCCCTGGACTTGTGTAAACTCGAAGGATATATACACAAAGGTATACTTCTCGGTTATTTATCCCCGTGCCTTTTCAAAGTTAAAATTAGTATTCTTTTACTAATGTTAATTTTTTTTCTTCAGGGCGTAACGTTTATGAAGGATGAATTGGAGCACGACTGTGAAGACTGTGGCTGCAGGCTGTACATAGTTCCTTTATTATGTAAATTTTACGTTTGTCTAATAAATCGTTTAACAACTTTCGCCTTTACTTTCTCCAGAGATAATTTTCAAGAAAATACTTTTCTCACGGTAAACGCGCATCCAGCTAATTATCCTTCCTTAAAAATATAGGATTATAAGAAAATTTTAACATTGTCAGTGACCAAACCACACACTAGAAAGTGAAGGGACGACGACGTTTCGGTCCGTCCTGGATCATTCTCGAGTAATTCTCACAATAGACTTGAGTGATGCAGGACGGACCGAAACGTCGTCGTCCTTTCACTTTCTAGTGTGTGGTCTGGTCAACATATTTCAGCCGCATTGACTCGTCTGTATTGTCAGTGTGCACAACCGGTAGTAGTTCCTGATCACTTAAACTGCAATCTTAACAAGATTGATACGTCACGATGGTCCATGGAAAATATAGATAGTGACTGAAGGAAGATGTGTAAATGTTTGTGGAGAAAGGCGTCCTAGAGAAGAGAGAATGTGAACTTGGATATGTAGAGCAAAGTGCTGTGGATTCGTGAGGTTACATATTGATAATTTACATATTTAGAGGTTTACATTGATAATTCCAATATTTTGGTTTTGTCAAAATATACTTGGTGTAAGTTTAAAATTAGTGTTGGTGTGATCATGTGTTCATATGTACGTGCTTCAAATATAGGCTTTTAAATAAAATCCCCAAACATAAACCCCATGGCGTGCTAAATACTCTCCTGGATCACTACTTGTGGAGTTCTAAGTGGTTTTAATTGTAGATATTTCTTGTTTGCAAATGGATAAAATTACTAAAAAAATAAGATGACTTTTCATTTTAAATTATCAAGATGAATGTTGAATACATGAATGAATAACCCTTCAATTTACCTAGGAGGATTGAGGGAAACACTTTTTTGGAAATTTCATTCAGTTATAGCTCTAGATACTTTTAATAAATTTTCAAAATTTTATTTGATTAGCCAATACCCAGATATTTTAAATCGTGCGAATATTAATGGATTTAATCAGTTTTGTTGTAAATTTCTACGGTAAGACACTACTTGTATTCGGATCTGAAAATGGATTGCATAAATAATTGTGGAACAGGTAAAGAACTTCCTTGCTAAACTTAAACCCTGATGAACTGCTAAAGACGGTCTTTTCTAACTGTCTTAGAATTCTCAAATGAATTTAGTTTAAACTAGATACAAAATTAAAATGCCCCGCAAATAACAATTTAAATCCTTTTAGATAATGGCCCCCCCCCCCCGACCCCCCCCCTCAAGAAAAAAATAATTGATAAATTGTGTAAAATATAGAATTTAAGCCAAATTAAAAGCTGAAATATAACTAATAATTTAACCCTAGGACCACAACTACTTAGCTTCTAGCATTTGTACACTTAAAATATTTTTCTAAATTAGTGTTTAAAATATTTTTAACCACATCCCCATATTTGAATTAAATATTTATTTCAATATGAATAATTATTAATAGTTCTGAAAGTTTAAAAATAAATCGTATATAAATGATATTCTTAGGGTAAAAGAAAATTGGCGTGTGGTCTATTCAGGCGACCAAAGAAAAATTACAAAAGTATAAAATTTTAAGTAAAGTTCACGAACAACATTAACCATAAGAATCAAGAGATGGATTAATAATGATCATAAACGAACGCGAGATGGAGCCTTCCTTTCTTGAAATAACTAATGTATAACCGAATAAAGTAGGCAGCTAGCTTAAAACTGCCTACTTAAAATTTATGGCAAACTTCCTCTCCTCCTCCTTGAGAGAGAGAGAGAGAGAGAGAGAGAGAGAGAGAGAAACAAAAATTAGCGAGGAAGGCAAAGACCTTCCTCAGTCTTAAAGTAAGCCCACATGGTTGAGAGTTTGGATTCAATTAAGACCAGTCTGAAAAGTGACAATAGGCCTGATTTGCTACCTAATTCAAATGGTTTTGTTTTTATATGAATTAAAATCTGATGGTTTAGTATTTAAATAATTACCCTTAATTTTAAATTTGAGAGGTTTTCGAAAACAAACTAGATACGGATTACAAACGAAAAATATTAAAAATAATAAAAAAAGATATATTCTTAGGCACGATGATGTGATGCCCCCCAAAATTCTAATTGACTTTAAATGTATAATAAGGTTTATATTACTAGGAAAATAATAGCCAGAGATATCAATTCTTGATAGAATTATAATTTCTATTATGATGTCTGATGAAATATGGCAGAGTTTGATCCTGTGGACCATTACAAGTAATATAACGAGTATTAAGGGCAAAATGAATATATTTTTGCCATAATTCTATATACTGAGTAACTTGTGTAAAGGGGAAGGGAACTATCAGGGGGAAAGCGCCAAGCCATTACGACTATATAGCACTGGGAAAAGATCAGGATAAGGATTTGGGATGGGACCGTCACAAATTTGAAAACTTTTTGTGTATCCATTCTCACTGGTTTTGAACATTTAAGTGACATAGAATTATTGTCAATTCTCGGACTATAAACTCGCTTCGCGCACGTTAGCAAGCGGTTGTCTGATGTGATCCTGCAACCCGTTCTCGCACTTTCTTTAAGTCAATATTGACTTATTAAATACTTGCATATGTGACATACTAATTTATTGTGAATATTTTAGTTTACCTTGAAAAGCTTCATAGAAAACACCGACCTTACCTAACCTTCTTAGTATGTTAAGATAAGCATCTTATTGCTTCGTAATTACAATTATTACTTAACCTATTATAGGTATGAGTTAAGTAATAATTGAAATTACGAAGCAATAAGTTGCTTATCTTAACATACTAAGAAGGTTAGGTAAGGTCGGTGTTTTCTATGAAGCTTTTCAAGGTAAACTAAAATATTCACAATAAATTAGTATGTCACATATGCAAGTATTTAATAAGTCAATATTGACTTAAAGAAAGTGCGAGAACGGGTTGAATCCTAAGGTGTATTGCTGGGTGAGAGTGTGGCAATGGGCGCCTGACAGCTAAGTGGACAGCGCTTCGTATTCGTAGTCCTGAGGTTCCAGGTTCGATCCCCGGTGGAGGCGGAGACAAATGGGTAAAAAGTTTCTTTCACCCTGATGGCCCCCCTGTTACCTAGCAGTAAATAGGTACCTGGGAGTTAGACAGCTGCTACGGGCTGCTTCCTGGGGATGTGTAACAAAAAAGGAGGCCAGGTCGAGGACCGGGCCGCGGGGACGCTAAGCCCCGAAATCATCTCAAGATAACCTCAAGAAGATGGTGTTTACACCCTGTGGATATCACCGACCCGTAATCCCGCAGAAAGATTACACAATCCTTAGTTATAAGTCTTGAATGAGTGTTGGTGGGTTGATGCGCAATATTTGCTAATAACGTATAATTTCCGATATCGGGGAGGCGGGGACAGGCAGCCATGTACTTTGGCATATGGAAGTTCCCTATAGGCCAACTACTGACCTTCAAGATGCAAACCACAACAATGGTCTACCTACCGGTACATATTTTACTGCTAGGTGAACACATGCCTCAGGTGAGAATGGGTGCGTCCACCAAATTCATCGATTGTGTGCCGAGCACGGAGACTACTGTGCTACAGGACAAGGACTGACATTTAGGCACCCGCATGAGGCAACATTAACGCGTTATTACCCATATTCTAATTTTAAAATTCTAAAGTTCTAATTTTAGAGCTTTAGAATTCTAAAGTAAAATTCTAAAATTCTAAAATTCTAATTTTAATTCTAAAGCTTACCACTTTGTTATTCATTAGCTCATGTATGAAGGGTCGACTCACGAGTCTTTTCTCAACACACATCATGAACCAGTCTTTAATAAACTCACACTCGACTTGAGTATGGTCCAGGACGGACCGAAACGTCTTCGTCGTCCCTTCACTTTCTAGTGTGTGGTCTGGTCAACATATTTCAGCCACGTTATTGTGACTCCTCGTCTGCGAGTCTTTAATCTCTCACAATCACAGATTCCGGAATAGCACTTTACACTTTAGCTTCGCATACACATCGTGAAATCTAAGATGTAGTATTGAGGCTGTGACAAAGTGATACCGGAATTTATTATTTATCGCTGTTAGGGACAGGTTGCACATGTGCAAGAAAGTTGTCGAGAATATTTTGAACTGTTGAGCTATATGAAGTTCTATATACCTTCACGAAGTGCTGTATACCTTCACGAAGTTCTATATACCTTCACGAAGTGCTGTATACCTTCACGAAGTTCTATATACCTTCACGAAGTGCTGTATACCTTCACGAAGTGCTGTATACCTTCACGAAGTTCTATATACCTTCAGGAAGTCCTATATACGTCAGAAAGTTCTATATACCTTCACGAAGTCCTATATACCTTCACGAAATGCTAGATACCACATATTTTAAACACGAAGAACTGAATCACGATTCAAGGGCAATCAGGCTTAAAATAACTCTTGTTGTGGAAATACAGAGGAAATCAGCCTCATTGAAAGTTCACACACAGGTCTGACCTCGAGTGGGACAGACGTGCCCAGCAGTGGGACAGGCACACAGCGGGGCCAAAGAGCCGAAGCTCAGCCCCCGCAAGCTCAACTAGGTGAGTACATGAGAATGCTGGACCTAGCATCTATAGAAGTTTTACCCAGCTTCAAGACTGCGTCTAGCATCAGATAACATTCACACACTTCAACTGTACATTTGGTATCCCTGACGACAAGAAAACCTTCCAGTGACTTTACTTATTCATTTCTAGGGAATTTCTCAGACCTCAGATATTAGGTCAACCCGTCCACAACTCAAGTCCATTCCATCCAGCGGTCGACCCCACAGACGCTTTCATAAATGTTTACACGCTGTTCATTCAAAACAGGAATGTTCTCAAATTTAAATAAATATTCTAAGATATTAGAATATTGTGCATATATAGACATAAGTTAGGTTTTTTATGCACCCGCCAAAACCCCCTGTTTATGAATGAAAAACGGTTTACACACGACTCACAGCTGATTTAGTTCGAACACTTCCGGAACAAGTGCTTCACTGACGAATTTTGTTAGAACCACAACGCTCTAAATGCTTCACCCACGTACTTCGAATACAAATAATCGCCAACAGAACCTAAACACCTAACCTAACCAGCCCGTAAGTATACACAATATGCTAAAATATATATAATAATAAGAACTTATTCTTGAGAAAAGTTCTCTTTTGAATGAACAGAATGTTAAAATGAATGAATGCGTCTTTGGGGTCGACCGCTGGATAGAATGGACGTGTTCTGAGGACGTGTTTGTTGAAGAGGTGAACCCCTGGCCAGGGTAAGTCACCAGTCCTTCACCAACCACCACACGGAGCACTTGGTCACTACTGCTGTTTAATAGTGTTTATTTTACGTGTTGAAATATAAGATTACATTTGAGGTTTTAAAAGCAAGATCCACTATGGGGAAGAAGGAGTGCTTCTCGCCCGGAGGAGGCGTTATATGTATGGTTCTACTTATGTGTATTGGTTCTATTGCCTCTCATCCATCTAACGGTAAGAATACATGTATTTTCCTGTTTTTTTTTTTTCAATGTAATTGTAATGTTTTGTTATTGTTGCTGAACACTCGCATAATTAATATTTTAAAGTTTCTATATTCATAAATCTCTTAAATTGATTAGTTTTTTTTTTTTTCCACCTGGAACTTTGACTCGAAGATTCTCTGAAATATACTGCTACCCTTTTTTTTTTTTTTTTAAAAAAAAGCTTTACACTAACGTAGCCATAAATTCGACCCTTTTAGACTATTTAATTACGTAATGTTTTAAATCTAAATTATGCTCGTTCCTGCACAAATAGTTTATAAAGTCTTTGAACCTTTATTTTAAATAAGCTTCTGGTCTCCACTATTCAGAATGTTTAGTACTAAAGTGCACCTAATTTCTTAGTTGACTACCTCTTACAACGGTTTAATTTGTTCACTTGTATTCTACTTTAAAGGTTAGTTTTTCTTTTTTTACAGCTAATTCTATGGTTCATTAGAGTAAATCTATTCTCGAAAACTATAAATTTAAAATTTTTTGTTAGACCTTTTTAAAAAAGATAAAAGTACGAAGATGTGTTGCCGGTAGATAGTTTGGAAATAAGGTTACTTAAATAAAGTAACTTGGTTACAGATTAAGCTCTTAAACATAAGTCACTAAACGTAGGCTTGGTCATTGGCTACATAACGCTGTAAATACTGACGCTCTAAATGTTTGGTCTTCGAAGTTCAAAACATCTTGGCACGTTCCCGGTGAATCTTGCGCTTTTATCTTTAAAAGTTTAAATGTTTAACATACACTTCACAATTTGTCTTTAACGTGAGCTCATCTTGCTTACTTAAACTATTTGGTTGTAAATGGTTGCTAACCATTACTGTAAAGTACAGTATAAAAAGTTAGTAAATTTTAGTCAAACCCTTCTGTAGATAAAAGTAAAAAACTAAAGTACTAGTCATTCGGTTACAGTAAAAAGTTCGGAAAGTTAATCCTCATACTGACGGCATTTTTATATATAATATTTATATAATAAAATTCCCTGGCCTTCTAAATAGTATTATGCATTTAAATCCACAACTTTAAAGTGATGCGTAATGGAATTTAACATTTGCATTAGTCTAGTCACTAGTTTTCCTAACAGTTGAAACTGCTAGACTTAATAGCAATGCTATTTTTCTACCTAAAATATTAAATGGATTTTTTAACATTTTAAATATTGCAGACTCAAACTGTTTTAAAACATCGCGAAAGGTGTGCGTGGATCCAGAAGATTGCTGCAAGTTCAAAGAGTCTACCCAAGAATTTGACGAATGTTGTAAGGAACATGGCTGCTGCCCTACCAACTGTGAAGACATTGAAGGTATTGAAGTAGTGTTGGTCTTTCATTCTGAAAAGCACTTCCACGTTTTACACAAACTTAGTATTTCAGTTTACCATATTTTTGTTTAAAGGTTAAGAGGCCAAAAAGTGTTTACTAAAAGTTCTTTAGTCCTTGAATTAAAGCTGCCATTTAAAGTGGGGTATACTATAGTTTGTAGGTAGTTTACCTACCCATGCAGCAGCTTCTGGTGGTATGAAAGTATCATTACTTTGATAAAAAGAACTGGACAAAATTTAATCTTGTAACGTAAATAGGTAGAAACAAATTGTCAGTGTTAACTAGCTTATCTTTAGATAATATTTTAGCTTAAATTATAGGTTTTGTTAAATACCAAGCTAAAAGTTCCCATTTTTAGCTTTATGCTTGCAAATTTGGTAATCAAATATTACCATATCATACGTTGCATCATTGGTATTCCCTCTTGCAGGCGCTGTTGGCGAGACCTGCAACATGGCTTCATCGTGTTGCAGATTTCCACCACAGTCTCGGCAGTTCCAGTACTGTTGCAACCTCTTCGGATGTTGCCCAGTCTGCCAAGACTTTTCAACAGGTGAGAGAAAACACTTTTCTAACTTGCTTAAAATACAAATCTTAATATGCATTGAAAAGGAAATGTTTGGATTTAATGGATTAATGTGGGTTGATAAAATGTAGCTAATGGTAGACCTTAATGGTAACTTGCAGAATTGTTTGGAAATGAATAGAATGGTTAACAAGTAGTTTATTATGGCGTAATGCAGTGTATGTAAAGCTTTTGATTTAAGCCTTGCAAACTTCCTATTACAGGATGCTGCTACAATGGAGCCATGTATCAGTGGGGCGCCACAGTGGAGGAATTCCCTGATCGCTGCCTGGGTCTGGTGTGTGCAGCAAAAGCCAGTGACGTAGAGCCATTTTTCGCTGCCGTTATTGTTCCAGTTAAACTGCCCTGTGGAGGTGAGATTCGGGGAAAGTGCTAGTTTTGTTTCAAAAATGGTAAAGGGTTGCATTTTTATCTAAGTACTTTTGTTAATTACGGTATCCAACGTACCAAATTAGACCTGTGAAAAGTAAAGTGTAATGTTTTCTATACATTAGAAAGTAAAGTTGGTTGAATGGAATGAATTTTCTGATTCTGTCCCTTTAATTTTGCTAGTTTCAATAATGAAATTGCTGTAACTACCTACTTTCCTAATTTGTACGCAGGACTTCTCAATCCTACAGTATGAATACATTCATGGCTTCATCTTAATTTGTATTTAGGACAATGACTGCTTTAGGTTGCATTATGCAAGAATGCACGTGGTATACTTAACTGTTCTTCATTGCATATTTTTTTTCTTGCCAAATCTTAAGAACACTTGGTGTGTCAAGACACGTTGAACTGCGTAGACCAGACGGGTCTGCTACAGGCTGAGGGCGCCACATGGCACCCTGACGAATGTAGCGAGTGTAGCTGCAAGAATGGCATCGTAGAGTGCCAGGACACGGTACAGTGTCCTGTCCCACTTCACGAACACTGTATACCAATCCCCAGACCGTGCTGCCCTCTGTGGAATTGTTCAGCGTGAGTATTCATAAATTGTTAGTCTTTGTTCCATTCCTTAGCTACTCAAATGGTCGGATACAAATACTAGACTCAAATTTGCCATTAAAATTGGATTTTGCTTGAACATTTTTCTTGCCTCAAATACTAAACTCTATAATTTGTTTTGCTCTAAACTAATAATGGCTGCGTTAATCGTTACTCTAGTGGTTGCGTTGATGACTTTGGTCAAAGCCACGAATTGGAAAGTTCGTGGTACTCTACTCCGTGCTTCTACCATACTTGCACAACAACTGGCATAGTCACTAGAATAGAAGACTGTGCGAACCCAGAACCACCTCATCCTGACTGTGACCTTATCACTCCAGATGGTGAATGTTGTCCTCAATGGCACTGTAGGCAAGTAAAGTTCTTGATGTATTGACACGTACACTGAAAAATGTTCATACTTTGAAAGATATTTACATTTAATTATTATTTGAAGTGATCTTTTACCTTCTAATGTGTAACAGAGGGTGTACAGATACTGAAGGGAACTACCATGAGCTTGGTCAAGAGTGGCCTGGGAGTGATGATCCCTGCACGAGCTTAAAGTGTACTTCGTACGGCATAAAAAAGAATAATGTGATTTGTGTAGATGATAATCCTCCTCATTCTGGCTGCTTCGCCTACACGCCCGTGGGAGACTGTTGTCCAAAATGGAACTGCAGGTTGGGTATTACTTTCTGCTGTTCACTCTGAATCTGTTGGTGAAAGTGGGAGGGACACTAGTTAAAGTTTAAACAGAACTAACCAGTGTAGGACCAGAGATTGGTCTGGTTAGCAGATTGCCGGGAGAGCAAAAAAATTTTAGTTTATAGAATATTTAGATCTCGATCGCCTCTACTAGCACTGATAAAAAGTTACTTTAGCTTCACCGGCATAGTGTTAACATAATTGTGCTATTAGTTTACTTTAAGATGTAAATTTGTATAATTTTATTAGTGGGATGGTAAATGTTGGGACTTTAAGCTTTAAATACGTTCAAAAAATGTCTAGTGTAGCAAATGTTTAGCAGTGGCTTCTGTCTGCGGATTAGTTGCTAAAACCCAGACACGCATAGTTTCCCAAAACCTGATATATATATATATATTTTAATTTTCAATAGGAAATAGTTATGGACACCTTTCTAATACATTGTTCACTTCCTAAGTGTTTCTTAAGGTTTAAAACGAAAGGCTGAATTCCTATTTTTCTTCTATAGTTTAGCTTTGCTATAAACTCAAAGGTTTCAGAATTGACTACGAGAACTTGGCTGGTGGGAAGTGCTGCTGGGGAAAACTAAAAAATTTTGAAATTATTTAAATTTTCAGTGGCTGTGTAGACGAAAATATGAACTACTATGCAGTAGGTGAAGAGTGGGCGACTACTGATCCGTGCATAGTTTTCCAATGCACAGTACTGGGAATACAGTTGAAAACAGTTAGTTGTGCAGCAACTGGTACACCGTTTCCTGGCTGTAAAGCTTACATTCCGGAGGGAGAATGTTGTCCAAAGTTCAACTGCAGGTGAGTGAAATAATGTTAATTTCGTAAACGATGTTACTTTAAGATTTGAATATCTAGACTTTCGTTATTGATGCCTCGACTTTATTTTCCTATCACAGACGTGGACGCAAATTTACAATGCTAACTAGCATATATAAATTTTCTTGTCCATGGACAATTAGGTTTGTTAAACATAAAATTCAGCGACCAGTGATTATAATGCATAAAATGTTAATCTAACCTATAAACAGATTTGTCGGTGCTCCATAGAGTTAGAGGCGTCTTTTATGTAGTCATTAATGTGCGTTTACAAAAGTGACGGGCAATTCTGACCAGCTTCCATATACCATGTATGCAAATTACATGTATAAAAAAAATTATCGTATCCATATGACTGTCATGCCATACTTTACAGGGTAAGATAGTTTGTATAGTAACTAGTGTAATATTAAACTATCAGTTGACCAGACCACACACTAGAATTTGAAGGGACGACGACGTTTCGGTCCGTCCTGGACCATTCTCAAGTAGATTGTCTTGAAATTCTATTTTCTAGTGTGGTCTGGTCAACATACTTCAGCCACGTTATTGTGACTCATCGCCTGCTTAAACTATCAGTGATAGATGCTTTTACACATTTTATTTCAAATTTCAGTGGTTGCGTTGATTCTACCGGTCATCACCAGTTGTTTGAGGTGTGGCAGACTGATCCCTGTACCACACACTTGTGTACCAAGACTGGCATACAGACTAAGCGTGAAGAGTGTAGCTTGGGTGTAATCCCTCATCCCACCTGCACAAAGTATACTCCTCCTAACAAATGCTGTCTGGAATGGAATTGCACGTATGTACTAAAGTTTCTGCAATATTTTGGAGATTTATTTAAAGGCTAGTTAAATTTTATACTTAAATAATTTTTTTCAGTTTTAAGTTTAAAATATTGCAAGAAGGTTAAAGTTAGGACAAGATAACTTTGAACTTTAGATACGTGGAAAACTTCTTGGCTAGTTAACATTATTCTAGTGCCAGTGAGTCAATTATTCATAGATTAATGCGTAGTTTACTTAAAATATGATTACGTAATGCAAAATATTGTAGTAAGAGCCTATTGATACCTCAACATCTTGGTACTATACTACTCTTAAAGACTAGACCAAACTACTGGTTAGTGATAGGATGGCAAAGTGTCCTATTTGATCTCTTAATATTTATTGCATATTACTAAAAGACAAGAGATAAAGCCGTAATGAGGCTTTGGACCTATGCCTGGGGTATACCCAGATGCCACCTTAACAGAAGCCGCGGGAACCCTAGTGGGTGCAGTAGTATTCCAGGTTGCAATTACTTTTGGGAGTCTTAGTTTGCAGCGTGCATCTGACTCTTACTAACGCATAGGTTCGAATCGACATCACGGCTCTTCTGGATTATTATACACAAAGCTCATTGATATGAGCTGTTTTCTCTATTAGCATTAATTTTGTCTAATTTTTCAAAAGTTAGACTTTTAAAGCGGTAGTTTTTAACATTTGAAAGGTTTTTGTGCCATGACTTGGTTTTTCTTTTTCTTCAGGGGATGCTTTGATAGTGAAAATAACTTCCATGAAATAGACAGCAAATGGAAACGACAAGATCCTTGTTTAATTTTTAAGTGTACTAAAGGTGGAATAAGTATGGAACGGGTCAACTGTACGAAAGTTACCAAGCCTCATCCTGGCTGCTCGGAACATACTCCAGAGGGAGAATGTTGTCCAGTCTGGAAATGCAGGTAACTAAAATTGGTTCATGAATATATGACCCTTCTAATCTGCAGTTTACTTGATAAAATGAGGAGTTCATTTGACATGAAACTTCAGATTTTTTAGTTGTAAACTTCTATCTTTTTTTAATGGTTTTAGTACCTGTATCGATGACGAGGGTGTACATCACTCCCTGTATGAGGTGTGGCAACCTGACCCTTGTACCACAAACTTCTGCACGAAAACTGGTATACAGTCTACACGAGAGACGTGTGAGCTAGGACCTGCGCCCCACCCAAGCTGTCAAATGATTATTCCTCCAGAAGAATGTTGTCCAGAGTGGCACTGCAGGCAAGGACTATTGTAATTCTTGTTTATATTATAGATTCCATACAAGGGTGGTAGCAGTTAATATTGATAAAATTTTGCCCCTGAAACGCTTCCCTTGTATGTGTTGATTCCAGTTCTGTATAAATTTTCCAGATATTTAACTGAAAGAGTGTGGCATCTGTGTTCTTGACAGTACTAAGGCAGACTGGGGTTTTATTTGTGCTAATTTTAGTGCTTCTTCCAGAGCCTGTTCAGACTCGAGCGGGGGTTACCACGAGATTGGTAGTGAATGGAGTTCGGAAGATCCATGTTTGAAGTTCGTGTGTACGGAATCTGGAATAATAATCAAACGCTTGTTGTGCACACGCATCGAGAGGCATCACTCCAGTTGCTATGAATATAAACCTAAAGGAGAGTGCTGTTTTAAATGGAATTGCAGGTAAGCTCTTCTTAATTGAAATGGAGGGAGAGGGGGAATTTTTTTTTCCCTGTCTAAAATTTGCTAATTTTAATTTTGTTTTCAGTGGTTGCATAGACGACACTGGTGCTGATCATCCATTGTACGACTTGTGGAAGACGGACCCGTGTACCACCCACTACTGCACGAAGACTGGAATCGAGACTACTCGAGAGACTTGTGAACTTGGTCTATCGCCCCATCACTCTTGCAAGATATTTACACCCCCTGGAGAATGTTGCTCAGAATGGCAGTGCAGGTAACTGTACATTACTACTAATTCGTAGATTGAAATTTAAATAGATTTGAAATGAGTAAAGGTAAAATACACAAAGGGATGAGGTAGCTAAATTCGTCGATAACTTCATTAATTTTAGTGAACTGATAATTTTGTAACTTTTTCAGTGCATGTGTTGATGGCAGTGGAAAGTACCATGAACTAGGACAAAAATGGCGCACAGGTGATCCTTGCTTGGTTTACTTCTGCACTGATAAAGGAATAAGCATAATACGCTCACAATGTGAAGACTCTCCAGCTCCTCACCCAGATTGCTACAAGTATACTCCAAAAGGAGAGTGCTGCCCCAAATGGAACTGCAGGTGGGTACCCCCTTCACTAGCACACGCACACGCATAAGGGAATTGATAGGGTAGATAAAGTCTCTTTAACACAAGGGGAACACGCACAAGGGGACACAGGTGGAAACTGAGTGCCCATATGAGCCACAGAGATATTAAAACTTTTTTTAGTGTCAGTGGTTGACAAATGGAATGCATTAGGAAGTGATGTGGTAGAGGCTGACTCCATACAGTTTAAAGTGTAGATATGGAGCCCAATAGGCTCGGGAATCTGTGTGCCTGTTGATTGACGGTTGAGAGGCGGGACCAAAGATACAGAGCTTAAGCCCCGCAAACACAACTAGGCGAGTAAAACTAGGAGTACACACGCCCACCCCTTCCTTCCTTGGTGGATTACTTTAATTTCCTTTCTGATTTCAGTGGCTGCGTCTTCGAAGGTGTGTACCACCCGTTGTATGACGTGTGGAAGTCTGACCCGTGCACCACCCACACGTGCACAACAAGGGGCGTGAACACCTCCAGGCAGGACTGTGAACACCAGCCGGCTCCTCATCCCACCTGCAGGAGCGTTAACCATGTGGGACAGTGTTGTCCAGCGTGGGAATGCAGGTTAGTTCTGGTCTAGTGTTCGAACCCCTTTTGACTAGTCCCCGTGGTATAGTTTGTAAGATTCTCCAGGCGTTTCGCGGGCGCTTTGGCATGGGTTCGTATCCTGGCCGGGGATGTGCTGGTTGTAAATCCTTAACTATAGCCTGTGCTTAAGCAGGAAAATGGGTACCTGGTTAAGATTTGGCGGGTCGTATTCCGGGATCATAAGATTAAAGACTTGCCTGAAACGTTATGCGTGCTAGTGGCACGTATTTCAAAGAATTTAAATTTCAAATTGAAATCAAATTTTCAAAAAATGAAATCTGTAGTTAAACCCCCCCTTAACCTGCTTCTCTACTCCCCTCAACCTTCTGATCCACGAAGTTTTAATAGTTTACATAGTTTACAATAGTTTAATAGTTTACATTTGGGTGGTGGTGGGGCCCCTAGCCTACATTTTTAGTACGTTAGTACTGGCCTAAAATATAACGGGTGGAACGAGATGGTTCGCTATAACTTGTTTAAACTATTTACTGGACTTTATTTAAGAAAAATAACGCTCGGGTTGCCATAAATTCTAACATTGTTGCCAGTGGCTGTCTGATGAACGACGTGATGCACAAGATCGGTGATAACTGGACCTCAGGAGACCCTTGTATGGTCTTCCTGTGCACTGTGGATGGAATAAAGGTGAATCGCATAAATTGTACGAAGCAGACTGCTCCTCATCCTGGGTGTTCTCTATATACGCCAGTGAAAGAGTGCTGCCCCAAATGGAACTGCAGGTGACTAGCTCGCGTTAAAGTGTAATTTGGATTAAATAAAGTTCTCTTGAAATAATGGTGTTGAGCGGCATATTTATCTTTATAGTGGCTGCGTTGATGGCGCCGGAAAGTTTCATCAGTTGTACGACCTGTGGAGGACTGACCATTGTACCACACACTTCTGTACCAAGACTGGCATAGAGACTAGGCTCAAAGACTGTCATCTAGGACCAGCGCCTGATGCCAGTTGTGTAGAGGTTACTTCGCCAGGAGAATGTTGTCCTAGATGGCAATGCAAGCAAGTAGTGAAAATTTATTTTTTCCCCCTAAGGCCAAGCGTTCAATGAAAGCTCCATAGTTTAACAAGCTATAAAATTGCCATAGATCGAAAACTCTTATCCAGCCATTAATAAGTGCTGTCATGAGTTTGAGTAAAAACTGAAGAAATTGTTGCAAATTTTCTACATTAGTTAAAATTTTTAATTAAAAAAATTAGGTTTAAAAAATTTAACTAGGTAAGACCAGTTAAACTTGCTGGAACTTGATCAAAGTAGAAACCAGTTACTTGGGAGCTTTATAACTTCGGGTTCGTTATCGAATCGAAAGATTTCCGGACGAGACATGATTGGTAGTATCATAGTACCTGTTGATTGGTAATGGCTGTTAAATTACTGGCAAGTTGGTATCAATGCTTTGGCGAGCCTCTCGTCCAGGGAAAGGTCAGAAATTTGAAGGGAAGGGTTGAAGATATCTGTATAAAAGCCTAATATGCGCACTTCGTATGTCTCAAGGCAACTAACTTGTGCTAAACTAGCAAGTTACACTAGCAAAAGGCTTGCTTCCTGCATTACTAAGGTCCGTCTTAAATAGAGAAAATGGGTTCGTGAAGGGAAACTTGTTCCATTTCCCAATTCTATAGTACTTATCAATTGTGAATGTTCTGTTGGTGGGCAGTACAAATCTTTTCTAGTTTCAGTCCTGCTAAACTGAATAATAGTTACTCGTTAGCATGCCCTTAATTGCCAATTTTATGGGAGTTTTAATGTCGATAGAAACGGAATTTTGAACTGGTTTAATGTTAACCTTTTCCTATAAAGATGAAAAATAACTTCCTATAAAGCTGTAATCTGCTCTTAATTTCAGAGGTTGTTTGGATAGAGAAGGCAAATATCACCCTATTGGCCAGGCCTGGAGCACAGAGGACCCCTGCATGCGCCTCGTCTGTACCCTAGGAGGAATAAGTATTGAACATATTAACTGTACGGCCGCATCCCGTCCGTATCCTGACTGCTTCGAATACACGCCATTAGGCGACTGCTGCCCCAAGTGGAACTGCAGGTAGGAAATTTTGTAGGCTTGTAAATCTTTCCTCCAAAGGGATGAGTTGGGAATATTTAAGTTTTCTGCTGGATAGAACTTGTTTACTCTCCCTTAAACCTGCAGAATAATAAATTTAGTTTGATGGCAGGCTTTAATTTCTGAAAATGCTATATTTAACCCACTGAAGTATGAGCCTAATTAGAATCATTCGGATGTTGGTAAAAGTTCAAAGTTTACCTCTGAGGGGAAACAAATATTCTTTCCAGTGGCTGTGTTGCTCCTAATGGAACATACCACTCCTTGTATGATGTCTGGAAGACTGATCTCTGTACTACACAAATGTGCACAAAGACTGGCATACGCACTACGAAGGAAAACTGTACATTGGGACCTGCCCCTCACTCCACTTGCGAGAGATCTACTCCTCCAGGAAAGTGCTGCCCGGAATGGAATTGCAGGCGAGTAAATTTTAGTCGGCATGCGTAGCATAAAGTTGAACTAAATTGCTAGTTTTAACATGGCTTAATATATGATGGCTTAACATAGCTAAGCTAGACATTGGATATGTCCTGCTTTGCAGAAAGTTTTGGTAAAATTACTGTAATGCATCGTAGACAAATCTTAAACAGCTTGTTCTACTTGCCACGCTGCAATGTCAATGAATATACCTTAGAAAGTGAATTAGTTTCAAACCGTAAATAAGGGGGGTTGCTGGAGAATATAGACCACTGAGGAATAGTGCACTAAAACTATTAATAGTTCTATTTTTTTGTATTAGGGTAGTTTACTGAATAGTAAACTAAATTTTGTAACCTGTATTCCAGGGGATGTCTGGATTCAACGGGAAAGTACCATGATCTTGGTACAGAATGGAGTACAGCGGATCCTTGCATGCTTCTAGTGTGCACTGTAGGTGGCATCGTTCCAAGAATAATGGCGTGTGTAGATAAACTAAAACCTCACCCTGACTGCACTAAATATGTACCTGTACTAGAGTGCTGTTCTAAGTGGAACTGTAGGTAAGTGGGGTTTATTTACTAATACTAAAGTATAAGGAACACTTTGGTATCACAAATTGGCTCTCAATATTTTTTTCCAGTGGTTGCACGGATTATAATGGAACATACCGACCCTTGAACCATGTATGGAAGCCTGAGCCGTGTACTACAGAAGTGTGTACGGAGGAGGGCATAAAGACTACCGTGAAAAAATGCGACTTGGGACCAGCTCCTCACGAAGACTGCCAGCAGTACACTCCTCCGGGTGACTGCTGCCCCGACTGGAAGTGCAGGTAAATGCTTGTGAAATTACCTGTGTCTATTTTTAAACTTTAAGAGCTAAAGCTATAACTTGGTAAAGCCTGTATTCTTTACCAATTGTCGTGAAACCACTTTTTTTTTAACTATCCACCTCTCGTTAAAAGCAAGTATAGTTTAGCTTTGACCTCGTGATGGGCAAATAGAATGAGAACATAGAAGTGGGACCTTTTTTTTTTTTTTTTTTTTTCTCGGTGGGTCTCTGTCGTGGGGGGGGGGGCGGAGTCTGCATATCGCTACTACGCAAGATATGTCGGTTACGTAAACAGTACAGTCGGTGGAAAGTATTGGACGTTGGTGTAGAAACCATTTTTACCCCCCCCCCTCTACTATCAATGACGCGCGCACTTAACTGGAGCCAGTGCTACATAGCTCTCCCGGTTTGGTTCCTTTTAATAATTACTCCCTTAACCTGGGCAGTTGAGACAAATGGCTAGCGTCTGGCCTACAACCTCTGCGACACTTCTATTTCAAATATAGCTGGTCGGCAGTAACTATAATGGTAGTCTGTTGACGAAAAATGTCTACGTGCTATCTATCCAGTAGTTATTTTTAGTAGCTTTGTTCCCCCCCTAATTAAGTGGTACTTTTTCTAAATTACTGGCTTGCAAATTAGTAATTGCTTCCCATAATCTCTTCTCGATGAGATTTGTTTGATCTCGAGCGGTTAATTATTTTTTCAATCTACCACTTTTTTTTTCCTTAAAGGGCAACTTGTCAGGGTGTTACCCTAACATCGGTCATTAAAGAGTTAGATCGGGCATAAAGCCATATGTTCACTTAATGTCACTTCCACTTGGCGAAAGTCTTCACTGTAATAACCACTTCACTTTTCTAGTGGCTGTATGGACGACCTTGGAACATACCACAAGTTAAACGAAGTGTGGCACAGTGATCCCTGTACAACGAACAAGTGCACAAACTCTGGGATAACCACTACAGTGAAAGACTGTCACCTGGGACCTGCTCTTCACCCAACCTGCAAGAAGTATACTCCTCCTAAGGCATGCTGCCCTGAATGGAATTGCACGTAGGTAGACTGAAGTGACTTCAGCTCTTAGGATTATCAATTCTTGTATTGTAAGATGGTTCGGTTAGTTTTATAAATATAGAAATTTATCCATAATGCTGACTGAATCTTTTCAGTGGTTGCACAGATGGGTACGGAACGTATCACCCTTTGCACGATATCTGGGAAAGTGGTCCCTGCACGACAAATAAGTGTACAAGCCAAGGCATCAACACTACCGTCAAAGAATGCAACTTGGGACACCCTCCCCACGTTGATTGCCAGCAGTATACTCCCTCAGGGGACTGCTGCCCTGAATGGAAGTGCAGGTAGTAAAGTTAAACATTACAATGTTTATTTTGGGAAGTTCGGAAACTAGCTTCGGATTAGATGGGGTAAGCACGAATAGACACTATGGCGATATCTTACGAGCGTGATGTTTGCTCTGCATGTAGATGCTTGCAGTAAAACTTTCACCTCCAGATGGCAGTAAAGTTTAACGGAAAGTATTAAATATAAACTTTTAGTTTTCAAACTACATGAAATGTAAAGTTTCTCAGTTTTAAAGACGGCCAGAAACTGCTTTGCTAGAACATTAATTTAACAAATAACATTGTAAATTTAATATAAAATGTGTGCAGACTTTAAATCTCTCCATCCTCATTACTTAAAGGGTGCTGCTGGGTATAGAACTGCAGGCCCTTCTAGATCAAAAGTAGTCTCTTCATGGTAGTTCTTTTTACTCTACAGTGGCTGCACAGACAACAATGGCACCTACTACCAACTACACCAGGTATGGGAGAGTGATCCCTGCACTACTCGTACTTGTACGACTGATGGCATAAAAACTAATGTTAAATATTGTGGGCTGGAACCGGCGCCTCATTCTACTTGTCAAAAGGTTACACCTTCAGGAGAGTGCTGCCCTGAATGGAGATGCAGGCAAGATTGTAGTTTTCTCTTTTTCCAGATAATCGGACTAAACTTTTACTATAGACTGATTGTACGCAAATCTAATTGTATACTTCATTAATATTCATTTTTATTACTTAGTGGGTGTACAGATAACGGTGGAAAGTACCATCCTTTGTACCATGTCTGGAGCAGTGATCCCTGTACAAATCACACTTGTACAATCGATGGTATAGAGACTGTTGTGAAAACTTGCTACACGGGTCCCGCTCCACACCAGAGCTGCCAGAAGTATACTCCCCTAAAAGACTGCTGTCCTCGCTGGAGGTGTAGGTAAGATGGACCTGAAACTAGGGTCACTTAAATGACTGAAAGGAAAGTCCTGTGGCACTTTCAAAATACATTGTATAAAAGGCAGATTTTCTTTAAAGCTTTCATTCTTGGTGATGAATTTGATGGGGCAATGATGGGAGATGTTAGTGGTACTACAGAAATATTGCTAAACTGAACTAAATAACATTTACACGTAAATCTAGATGAACAAGGGTATGGGGGTTGAAAATCCTAATTTCTCGTGGGAATTACTGTATTGATGGTACCAATGTATTAAACTTCAGAAAATGTAATTTGAAATGCACACTTCATTACGATAAAGTGTGAATTGGTTGATGGCTCCCTGTATAGATGAATTTGATGCCTAGTAAAGGTAACCAGACTTACTGTCTTAAGACTCGGTCTTGCTTTAAATTGTACAATGTGACGTCTCTTTTAAAAATTCTTCCAGGGGCTGTTTTGACTTCGACGGAATATTCCACGACCTTGGCGAGAGGTGGAGTACAGATGATCCATGTGTGTTTCTCGTATGTACGGAGAAGGGAATTTCGAGAAATGTTACAGAATGTGTAGACTCCAGCCCTCTGCATCCTGGCTGCTTTAAGTACAAGGCTTTAGGAGAGTGCTGCTCTAAGTGGAACTGCAGGTGAGCCTTTAGAATTTAAAAATTCAAAGTGCGTTTTAAGAAGCTATAGTTAGTTAACGAGGCTTTTTCAAAGATTTTTGTATATGATGGCTTGACAGTATTGGTAAGTAATTAGTATTGGTCTAACCATTGGACCAATAAGTTTCTTGGAAGTATTAAATGGTAAATAACTGAGGCAACTATCTTAAGGTCCAAAATTAGCAAATGAGTAACCGTTTAATCTATAAGATGGCTAAAGCCGGGAAAGGTACCAACTGACTTTGCAGTGAACTAGTTATTTTACATCTTGGACTACTGGGTACATTCCCTATAAATGTTACAGGGCTTGTTACTGTAACATGTACTTTAAAATTGGCAAGTACTTAAAATGGGTAAATATTGAATGCATTACACAAATTGTAAGTCTACAGATTTTTTTAATTGGTTTCTAATCTAATTACAATCGGTATTAGTAGGGTGAGGGAAATGGTGTATAGTTCCTCTAGAGGTAATTTATACTACCCCACTCAATCTTGGATCTTCAGCCGTACTCGATGTACCTAGAAACAAATGTTGGACCAAGTTATTACTGAAACTTTACACAATCTAGATTACTAAATCCGATAATGAGGGTATTTAATATGGAACATTTCCTGTTTTGTATAGAATATAAAAATTGTGGTGGCCTAAATTTTAGCTTGGTTTAAAGTTAAATATTGTTTACAGTGGCTGTACAGATGCCAATGGGACACATCATGCATTACACGAGGTATGGAAAAGTGATGATTGCACCACACACACTTGTCAAAGTGATGGCATAAAGACAACAGTAACCCATTGTTACCTGCCACCTGCCCCTCACACTACCTGCCAGAAGCATATTCAACCAGGAGAGTGTTGTCCTCTGTGGAAATGCAGGTATGATATATTTGAGTCTCTTCCCTTGTTAAGATTCCTTAGTGCTGAGTAGTCTCTGTTCAAAGATTGACGAGAGCAAAGCATCTTTGAGACTTGTAACCGTTTGAGCATCACGGGTATATGTAACTTAATTTTAAGCACGTAGTGAAGTTTACAATGTTTTTTTTTCCGATGTTCACCAGTTATACTGGGTACATGAAACTAGTGGGAAAGTGATGCTTCTTTAAGTGGTTTAATAAACTTGTCCCAATTAAACATGATTATTTCGTACTTAAAATGCGTACTAATGTCTGGTTGAAAATGGTAAAAAATCTGAGCACAATGCATAAATGAACGGTAAAAAATTATTAAATTTTGTAATTACAGATTAGTCTTCTACTAAATTTACCACATCGCTTAGATATTTGTAGTACTTGCAGCGTCTAATGACTTGTATAAGAATTCTAGCCACAGGAAGGCTCTTAAACTGTAAGATAGTGGTGGTCCTTTCTAAGGAAATGTCTACATAGCTAACTAGTTCCAGGTGGGAACATTGGGGGAGGGGTGGAAATGCTTCACAATTACCTGTAATACTTATTTAACTTAGGCATTTTGAGAATATTTAGGTTCTCTAGGTATTTACATTCTGCTAGTCTAACTTGAACAGTATACTTTAAACGCCGTAGAAAAATGTACCACTTTGATGAAACCTTCCATCCTCGTTTTAAAAATTTACTGTTAAATTTTTTAATTTTACCTAAAGTGGCTGTATGGACACCTCTGGAGCCTACCATCCTTTGTACGACGTCTGGAAGACTGATGCCTGCACCACACATGTTTGTACAAGCGGCGGCATAAAAACTACAGTGAAGACTTGTGACCCAACTCCTGCTCCTCATCACACCTGCCTCAAGGACTCTCCTCCAGGAGAGTGTTGCCCTCGCTGGAAGTGCAGGTAGGGAGGTTTAACAAGTTTAATAAATTTTTTTTTTTTTTTTTTTTTTTTTTTTTTTAACCATGAAGGTAGATTTTAAAATGAAGTGTAGTGTCTTATCGAGTGACTCCTCATTTTAAACCTTGTTCTAGCAAGTATATAAGAAGTTTCTATAGGAAATCTAAAAAAAAAAAAAAAAAAAAAAAAAAAATTGAAATTCCTGATATTTTGAAATTGGTAGACTTCACACTAAGCTTAGTTATGTACATAGTTTATAATAAAAACAATTTAGTGAATCTAATTTGTTAAAATTAGATTCCGGCCCAATTGCCTACCCCCATTATGCTTCTCTTGAAAGATGGATCCAGCACATGCCTGAAAGTTATAGCTGGAAAAGGTTCGTGTATGTCAGGTTTATGAACTTTAAGGTTCAATTGCACATTAAATACATCTTGTATATTTACAGGCAAAGCATTGGTATGTAATGCCCCCTCCTACAAACTAGTACTTTATTTTTAGACTTTACTAACAATCAAACTGGCAGGTTAAGAATAATTATATGCAAACGATGGGTCACAATAACTTGGATGAATAAGAATTTCTAGATTAAGTTGGTGAAACTTGTCTAATTATTCCTACACTCTGAGTTTGCAAGTTATAACCCTTATGCTAAGTAGCAATAAATGCTTAATATTAAATTTAAGTCTTGAAACTGCCATGAGCTTCAGGGTTGTGATCTTTCATTCGTGCATTGTTAAAACGGTTGTAATAATGCGGTTAATTTCGGAAAGTTCCTTGGTATGAAAAGTTTCTGGTAATAGCGTTGCTTGTAGAGGAAAGGAATACAGTAACCTCGTGCTTGACTTACCAGCGACTGAAGTCGCTATCTTCCTCGCTAACGGTGGGAAGAGTTCAGTTGTGTTTCAGGAGCTTTGCCAGAAATCCGCGGGTAATGAAGTAACACTTAACACCAATTCGGAGTTGCAAGTTTTGTAACTAGAAAAGATTCTTTTTATTAATAATAGTTTTAACATTACAGTGGCTGTAGAGATGCCAATGGCACGTACCATCAGTTGCACCAAGAGTGGTCCAATGACAACTGTACCAAGCATAAGTGTACAAGCGATGGTATAAAGACCACAGTAAAAGACTGTCGCTTGGGTCCTGCTCCTCACATCAGTTGTCAAGAGCACACTCACCCAGGAGAGTGCTGTCCAAAGTGGAAATGCAGGTGGGTTAACCGTTTTAGTGTGGGGAGGAGGTGAACACTCTGGACCTAGTTAGTTTACCACTAAAAATAGTTCTCACTATGCAGGCGAAGTCGCAATAACGTGGCTGAAGAATGTTGACCAAACTTCACACTAGAAGGTGAAGGGACGAAGTTTTTTCGGTCCGTCCTGGACCATTCTAAAGTAGATTGTGTTGATCATCGAAGTAAAGTCTCTCTCTCAATCGACTTGAGACTGGTCCAGGACGGACTGAAACGTCGTCGTCCCTTCACCTTCTAGTGTGTGGTCTTGTCAACATGGTTTTCACTAGTTATGCTTCTGAAGGAAGTGACAAATATTCTTGGCTAGTATTAATGGTAGACTTCGACTACTAAACTTCGGTGACGGTCTACAAAAAGCAATTATTGTAGCAATTGACCAAAATTTCTCATTCCTTACCTCTACATTCTCCCCAATTTTACTGTAAACACTGACGGTCTCATAACACTGACCCTTGACCAGGATAAGAGTATTAGACGTGTTTTAGTGACCCTAAATATTTAGTAACGGAAAATTCTTGAAAGTCGGAACTCCAAACTGTAAAGTTAATGTCCGTAACAACTAACTTGTTAAATTTCTTCTGTATTTAGAATAGTTGGTAGCAACGTGGCTGAAGGTGTCTAAAATTTTGGTCAATTAAGACTTTCTAATGGTCCAGGACCGAACGAAGCTTCGTAGTGTCTTCCTCTTCTGATGTGTGACTGTCATATCTTAAATCTAACGAGGCAAAGTGGTCGGTAATTTGTAGTCTATTGAAAGTAAGCAAAATTGTAAATGAACTTGTGTACCTCTTAAGGTACTTATAAGTTACTTAAAGTAACTTGTTTTTTCTAGAAGGTACTACATCGAAATTGGTAAATTATAGTGCACAATTCGTATAGGGAACCAGAATCTGATAAGAGCTTACTGGCACTTCAAATATTAATATTACTGAAAATTACGTTCACGGGAAACATTGCCGGGTAAGGTCTTGTTATGGGTTCATTGGTTTAAGTTTTATGCACGTGCAAACATTGGAACACGTTTAGGTGCCTCTTGCACTAGTTACTACTTGCTAGTTTAATGGTCAGTTACCGTAGTTTTACATGTAAATTCTTGCAATAATAGCCAATCTAAAATTAACGCGAGCTAACCAAAGTTGAAACATCAGTTTGGTGTGAAAGATTAAAAGAATCGATCTTTTCAGCGGCTGTACGGATGATAATGGGACGTATCATGCCCTGTATGATATATGGAGCAGCGACGCCTGCACCACACACGCCTGCACAAGCGATGGAATAAAGACCTCGGTGAAGATCTGTGATATGGGACCTGCGCCTCACAGTAGCTGCCACCAGCACACTCCTACAGGGGAATGTTGTCCTCGCTGGAAGTGCGGGTAAGCTAACCTGAAGAATAGTTTTCCCCCAGAGGGGTGGGAAGCCTTGTTCTTGAAGCTACCTGGGGAACACGCCATTGTTCCTCGACTCTTGTATAGCATTAAGCAACTCCTTGACATGCATATTGGAGCAATAGATTTAAAAATTTGATCTGCTAGTTTGAAGAATTTTATTGCTAGGCAGTAAGTGCCTGTGCATGCAATTCATTTATGCATAATTATGTATGTAAACTGTTGCAGTGTGTGCGTGGACGACCAGGGGACCCATCACGGGGAAGGAGAGAGCTGGCAGGATCCTAGAGACCCCTGCAAGATGTGCACTTGCACGCAGGGCAGTTTATCTTGCTCTGTGATGGACTGCGCCCCTCCACCTCCCTGGCCTTGTGATCCACCAAGGCTCCCCGGGCAGTGCTGTCCAAACTATTGTCCCAGCCCGTAAGTAAAACACCCCCACTACTTACCTTCCAGCATAATGTGTTGGTACAAAAGTCTTTAAAACGCTCTCACGGGCGGCCTGCTCTGAAAGTACTTTCTAAGGTTTTGGTAGAATCATTCCCCACGTCAAAACCACTGATTTTAAGTTTTAAAACAAATAGTTTTAAGTCTAACTGCAGTGGCAAGAATTCTGCTTAAATCCTTTATTTCCTCCGGCAGTGTGAGCACTTCATCATTCTTCCCAGTCATCCTGGATGGTTGTGTGGACGACAACGGCACTCGACGCAAGTATGGAGAGAAGTGGACTCATCCCTCGGACTCTTGCAGGGAGTTCCAGTGTGGCAGGATGGGCAAAATACAAAGATTCAGATATTGTTAAGGCAAGATTTAGAATTCTACCTCGTTCTTGAAGCGATTAACTTGAGCACTAGTCTAACCCGTTTCTTAAGTTACATGAACAGAACCTCAAATTGTGAATAGATTGCCTAATCATTGAACTATAACGTTTAAGTAACTCTAATGTCGGTGTAGTCTGGGCTGACTCGCCTTGCATATTTCTGAAACTTGATAAAGTGCAGGTATTGAAGAGCAAAATGTATTTTAAATGTTGTATAATAAGTGGCAGAAGCTTTAACATGTTGTAAAGTTAAAAACTCTGCTTTCAACATTAACTATTCTTTTCTATGACTGGCAAGCGGCAGCAGTGGCCAAAATTATCCTCAATGTAAAGTTTTAAGTTTAATTAAAATATTTATATACACGTCTTAATGGTTTTATTTCCACAAGTTTTCTACATCCTTTATAAAATATATAGATGCAGATTTTACTTTATGATTGTAGGAAAGAAATTGCATAGTGTACAAAGCCTGCTCTATTTGGTTCGAGAGTACACTTGATAACTAACTCAAGCGCAGGAATCTCTAGCAATATCTAGTTATCAGATTATTTGTAATTCTGAAAGGTGGCGGCAATTAAGTTTTGCCCTTAAAAACCTAAAAGAGTAAAGTAGCGCACTTTTGTAAGTGAATCGCCCTTTGATTATGCCTCACATTTGATGGTGCTACATAGCCTTCCCTGTTTGGTGCCTTACTTTCATAATTACTTGCTTACCTAAGAGGTGGCACGGGCATGAATAGCCCGTAACTTTGCTGGGACACTGCGTGCTTCATAAGAGCCAACTGCCCAGAAGTCTTGAGCGTGAAGGCAATAGTAAAAGGGGGTGGCGCTTGTATTCCTGTGGTGGTGACCTCGTCCTCTCGAGGGCTTCGATCCTGACCTGCCTGGCTGTTTGCTAGCCATGGTTAGAGCAAGAAAGGGGAGGGAGCGAGTTCCGGCTCCCCTTACCTGCAGAGTTGGTGCATAAGGAACTCCTATGAGGCGGCCGAGCATGGAGTCTCGGTAAATTTCTTCCTGTGTGTGTTCCTCTGTTAAATTTCTTCCTTTCCTTAAATCTAATGGATGCAGCTAGTTGGATGTGGGTTTAATAGGGGTTGTGGCCCACCTGTAAAGATAGACAAATCTGCTAGACTGGTTCAACAGTGTGAAGTAGATACTGCGATTGGTCCCAGTTTCATAGTATTAGTTCCTGGGTTACTGTTTTTTCAATGGTGGCTCTGGTACTGTTACTTGCCCTCCCACTACTCTAGGTTGCTAATGGTTTAACCTTGCTTTATGGTTTGCCTCTATGGCGAGGGACTGTAGTCAAACTTCCGAATACGTTGCATGAAAGTAGCCACTTTTTGGACTCCTGTGGTGGCCGGTCATGATCTCCCGCCCCTGAAGTCTGATGGACTTTAGGGGCGGACCCTAACAGACCCTAAGTCTCGGCAGGTAAGACTCCATGGCTACGGTGGTCTGACCTGGCCTTGTCTCTGGCTTATTCCCTTGTGATCCCTTATATTCTCCAGCCTCTTCCATCGTAGGGTCGACCTCGGTTTCCAGTAATGACTAAGATTTCAGTGCCGATTAATATACGGTTATTGCAGCACTTGGTAGCCATCATTCAGAGGTGAGAGGCGATGTCCTCATCATGGTGCATAAACCTGCAGCCACTGCAGATGCATCCCCCACAATCTTACGCTGCTTCATGGGCTGAAAATGTTTAGTCGATGATTCGAACCTGCTGTGACTACTTGATCCTGCACATTCAGACTGGATGGTAGGCTAAAGTTGCCCCATCTATACTGGCACTTTTGTTGACTTTTCCCAGTCTCCTTCAAAGTGTTGCCTCCAAAGGAGGTAACAATAGGTGCCATCACACTTGGGTCTAGTTTGGGTATGTCTTGAATACTTGTTCCACCTGTCTTGTTCAGATTTCTTTTCTCAATCCAAGCATCTTGTAGAATCACTGTCGGAGCCAGTTCCATTTCATGGGATATTTTTTAAACTTTCTGCAGAGGCAAAACCTTTCGAAATGCCCGCGGTTGTCTTTCAGAACTTTGTCTCCTGTGTTCCGAAGTGTTTGAGGAAACGCTTCCCCTTTCCTGCATAATCTCTGCTAGTCATCCATCGATATACACCTGGCATGCTTCTCCTCGACACCCATAACTGTCAATGTACCAAAGTTTTCCTTCCTTCTCTATCGCATCCTAAAGCCTTCCCGGTTTGGTGCCTTCTGATAATTACTTATTTCTAGTCTATCCTGTTGTAGTCAAAATTCAATATTGGCTGTTTAACTCTAGATTTAAGAAACTAGTTTTGCTGGGTTCCCAGCAATATTGGGGTTAAGTGAGCTGTCGCTAAGGAGGCTATCCGCACTTTTCCCATTTCCCGCAGTCACTCGTGTATTTCTACCCAGTTATTCCTTAATATGTGCCCGTTGGCAGGAGTCGTCGTTCTTGTGCTACTGGTAAACTTCGTGCTCTTAAGGGTAATCCATGACCTTCCTACCACCGTAACCTGCGCAGGGAAACGACTCTGGCGAGGTTACGCATTGACCATGTACGTTTAACTCGCAAGCGCTTAATGGAGCGCCGCCCTGCTGCTTATTGTCCAAACTGCATTGCCCTTTCGGTCGTGTGTATCCTTGTTGAATGTCCCGACTTCCGGGACGTGCATATCTCTTGCTTCGTTATTCTCACGGTCATGTCCCTCGATAGTGACCCAGATACTCTTGATACCGTTCGCCTTATGCGTTTGTTCTCGTATTGGCATCCTTGGTGATATTCTCCCGCACATTTGATGGTGCTACATAGCCTTCCCGGTTTGGTGCCTTCTTTTGATAATTGTCCCTCGATATTATCATAGAATGAATCGTATATCTTTGATATCGCTCGCCTTATGCGCTTTTGTTCTCGTGTTGGCGTCCTTTGAGATATTTTACCGCCTCTAGAATATCCCGCAACTTTCATGGTACAAGTCTTCCCGGGTTGGAGCCTTTTGACAATTACTCACAAGAAGCTTACCAAAATGTGTGTAATCAGATAACACAACATAGCGTTGTAAGTCATATCATCTCTAGATGATACCAAAAATTTTGACTTGTTTCTTGAATCCACGAAAGAATTGATGTTCTTGGAGATGTTTAATGTGTTGTAAATATTGCGTGTGTGGTCAAGGATGGTGGTAGAATCTCCCTGACCACAGTAATTGTCTACCCATGTTTGTATCTTTAAACATAATAAACTACGGTTGAATATATCTTTTTCTCTAAATCCTGATGTAATGAAGACAAGCAATGAATTATTCTTGGACTCACAACAGCAGCATCAACTAAACTTCGATGTGAACATCGTTTGAACAAAATGGGTGACTGGAACCTGTATCCTGTCACCCCAGATGCGCACTGTACCCACGGACCGCGATATGTAAACAATTACATAACCTGAAGTGCCTGAACGCACTTGGGGGGGGGGGAAGGAATGTAGAGGCACCAGCTCGTACCATTCCTGTACCTTAAAACCCGTAAAGGGTTCGGGTGGACTCCTGGTTGTAAAAATTCTAGCGGTAGGGAGCCGGTCGGCCGAGCGGACAGCACGCTGGACTTGTGGTCCTGGGTTCGATCCCAGGCCCCGGCGAGAAACAATGGGCAAAGTTTCTTTCACCCTATGCCCCTGTTACCTAGCAGTAAAATAGGTACCTGGGTGTTAGTCAGCTGTCACGGGCTGCTTCCTGGGGGTGGAGGCCTGGCCGAGGACCGGGCCGCGGGGACACTAAAAGCCCCGAAATCATCTCAAGATAACCTCAAGATAGTACGGGGTCCAGGGGGCACATTTCGCATCTTGGGTAACCCATACGTCAATGTTCGGCTCCTCGGATATACTATGTAGTGATTTCACTGTGTAAACTACGATTTTCTGAAACACAATCCTGGACAAGCTCCTTTACTTTATCGTTTGAGTAAAAAGTGATCGAACCACCACCATCTGAAGAGACATCACAAGTCCTCAACTTTCAGAGTTGAGGGGACTTAAGGCAAATTACTTAAGACTTTTATTTTAATGTTTGGCGTTACAACGCCAACGTAAATTTTGAGTTTCTAAATACTTTTTTCCCTTCTAATATTGGAACTTTTATATCAATAACACTAAGCTGCGAAACACACAGTAATATATAAATATTGAAAAAATAAATATTGAAAAATAAAATATATCAATATTGAAAAAGCCTTCAATACACAAAATGGCCTTCAACTTGTCTACAGAAACATGTATACTTTCTTCCACCACACAAAAAAATACGCTGTTCCAAAGAAAAAATTACTAACCCCAGCTACACAGAAAATAATGCCTTTCACAATCCACTCTCAAAAAATGTCTTTCCTAATCTGAACCAAAAACGCCTCTCATCCCAATATGTAAAAGCCTTCCCCCACCCATCTACGTAATAAAAGGTAAATCGAAAACTTTCTTATAGAAATATATCGAAAACAGAACTTCCTTAACAAATTGCAAAAAGAGAGAGTGTGAGTGTGAGAGAGTGTGTGTGTGTGTGAGTGTGAGAGTGTGAGAGTGTGTGTGTGAGTGTGTGAGTGTGTGTGTGAGTGTGTGAGTGTGTGTGTGTGTGAGTGTGTGAGTGTGTGAGTGTGTGAGTGTGTGAGTGTGTGAGTGTGTGAGTGTGTGAGTGTGTGAGTGTGTGAGTGTGTGAGTGAGTGAGTGAGTGAGTGAGCGAACGTACGTACGTACGTACTCACCTACTTGTACTAGCCCTGCCTTCAGAACGTTCTTTGATTAGTGCAATGACTCATTTCTTAGACTCATCATATTTACTTTTAAAATATTGAATCGAATTAACTTCAATGGCATGTATATATAATCTATTCCATCTATTGACAGCTCTAACACTAAAAAAGTTCTTTCTAAAATCTCCGTGACACTTTTTGGCTCTAGCTTCCATTGTTGACTCCTCGTTCTGTTCTTCCTAACTTTGAACAACACTGCTTTGTCTAATTTTACAATTTCTCTTAGAATCTTATATGTTATCATGTTCCCTTATTTCTCCTTTCTTCAACCCGTTCTCAGGCTAAGTCCATTCAATTCAGCGGTCGACCCCCAATGATGCACTCATAAATTTTAACATCCTCCTCATTCAAAATAGGAATTTTCTCAAATATAAAATTGTAATATAATATATTAGCATATTGTGCATATATTGGCACTGGTTTGGTTAAGTTAGGTGTTTAGGTTTTGTTGGCGATTATCTGTATTGGGTGCGTGGGTGAAGTATTTACCAACCCGTACTCGACTCAGGTCCATTACATCCAGCGGTCGACCCCACACGCGCATTCATAAAATTTAATTTGCTGTTTATCCAAAACGGTAATTTTCTCAAATATAAATTAATATTGTAAGATATTAGCATATTGTGTATATATTGGCATAGGTTAGGTTAGGTGTTTAGGCTCTGTTCGCGATTATTTGTATTTGTAGTACTTGGATGAAGCATTTACAGGGTTGTGGTTCGAACAAAATTCGTCAGTGAAGCTCTTGTTCCGGAAGTGTTCGGAAGTCATCAGTTGTGCAGCCCGTCCTCCAAACAAAGATCCAAAAGTGATTCCATGCACCCGCCAAACCCCCTGTTTATGAATGAAAAGCGGTTTACACACGACTCGCAACTGTTGACGTTCGAACATATCCGGAACAAGTGCTTCACTGACGAATTTTGTTCGAATCACAACGCTATAAATGCTTCACTCACGTACTACAAATACAAATAATCGCCACCAGGACCTAAACACTTGACCTAACCTATGCCTATATATACACAATATGCTAATATATTATAATATTAATTTATACTTGAGAAAATTCCCGTTTTGAATGAACAGCATGTTAAAATATATGAATGCGTCTGTGGGGCCGACCGTTGGATGGAATGGACTTGAGTCGAGGACGGGTTGAGTTGTGAGTCGTGTGTAAATCGTTTTTCATTCATAAACAGGGGGTTTGGCGGATGCATGGAATCACTTTTGTGTCTTTGTTTGGAGACGGGCTACGGTTTGGCGACTTCATGGAATGAACTTTTGAGCTGCTTCACATGAATCGCACCTGATTATTTTCGAACTTTTCTCGAACAATGTATCGTTCACTTTCTCTGTTCGAAATGAACTTCTCAAATTCTAAAAAAATACCAATAACAATAATAACCGACAACAATAAAATACCTAACCTATCATACACTTAGCCATACACAAAGCTGTAGTAAATAGTAATATTTATTTAACTTTAATAAAGCAATACAATTTTAGAAAAATTTGGAATAAATCACGAATGGGTCGTTGGGGAGGGAGGCAGCGTGGACGGAACCCGTTCTCGCATATAAAGATCCAAGCTCGTTAATCCAGCCACCAAACCCCCTGTTTAAGAATGAAAAGCGGTTTATACACGACTCACAACTGATGACGTCCGAACACTTCTGGAACAAGTGCTGCGTTCACGTCCTCTGTTCGAACCACAACGCTATAAATGCTTCACCCACGTACTTCAAATACAAATAATTACCAACAGAACCTAAACACCTAACCTAACCAATGCCTAACTATACATAAAATGTGTATATATAAGAATATTAATTTATATATATGAGAACAAACCAATTGTTAATACATAGTTTGTTAAAATTGATGAATGCGTCTGGGGAGGACGGCCACTGCTTTAAACAGCCTAGTGGGAGAACGGTTTGGTGGACGAGCCTAGTGGGTGAATAGGCTACAGTGGCAGTTTAGGTGCTGAGTGGTGGAGAGTGAGGACACCCCACAGTCTTGTCTATGGTGTTCCACGAGTTACATTAAGATTCCTGTTCTCGCTTATGTTTTCAGAGAGGTCGATACTGGTGTTTCTAGTGTGTTAAATTTGAGCGATATGGGGGTTATTAGGTCCTCATCTGCTGCGGCACTTGTGTTGTTAACTATGATGGTTGCAACCCTGGTGTCATCTGAAACGATAAATGGTAAGCAATATGCCTGTTATTGCTAAGAGTTGCGAGAACTTGTACGTGATTAAAAACTGTTAACCTTGACTAGTTTATTTTGAAATTAAGTTGGTCTCTAAAATCTACCAAGTCATCTTTTCTAGAAAAACTGCTTAAAATTTACTATTTACAATTGCCATGATAAATGTTTGGAAAATGAGGATTGGGGGTTGCCAATATAAATCCCCCAATACCCGAAGGTGCAGTAATATAAATTTCTTCGGATAAAGGGTAGAAACTGTGACTATTATACACTAATCGGCCACGTGTTACTTAAATGATTACATTCCTGCTCTCCCTTTTTTTAATTGGCCCCAATCATCGCAGGCGACCTCAGCCGTCTTCTAAGATCAGGGAGGCGCTGTAAGAACCCTGAAGAATGCTGTAGATACGAACGACTGACTCCAGAGTTTGATCAGTGCTGTATGGACCACGGCTGCTGCCCTATGACCTGTGATGACTATGAAATCGGTAAAACCAGCGTTTTGTGAATTTTTCACCATTTATATTAGTGTATTTACCAGAGATTTCTTGTGTATCGCTTTACTTTCAGGAACCTCGGTCAGTTCGGACTGTAGTAAAGCTTGGTCATGTTGTCGCTTCTGGCCTCAATCGGATGAGTTTAAAGCTTGTTGCGGAGAGCATGGCTGTCGTCCCAAGTGTGATAAGGTCTCCAAAGGCGAGTAATTTGTTAATGCTGCAGCATTTTACCTGATCAAACTTCCCATTTGTAACTTGCTACGAACCAATTAAACGTAAACACAGTCGTAACATTAAACTTGGTAAACTCTGCCAAATTAACTTACTGTACTTGACATAAAGCTTTCAAAATGGCTGGTCAACAGGCTGCTGCTACAACGGTATGATGTACATGTTTGGGAGCCTCGTGGAAGACTTCCCTATGGAGTGTATCCAGCTAGTGTGCGCTGTCCAGTTATCTCCCGTAAAGCCCTTCTTCAGTGCCATCATCGTCCCTGTTGCCTCGCCACTCTCCCACACGTGTTATGGTAGGTAATGTTGACTGCTGTAAATATACGCAAATATAAGAGTATAATCTGTGCTAGAGAAGTTAATATCCACACGCCAATATTAAGATATGTTGGTCGATTGGCAGGCAGTACTGGCTTGCTGAAATTTGTTTGACCCTACTAGTTGTACTCTAGTTTGCAGTTATTATTGGACAATTTGATTGGCCAAGTAGTCTAGTATTAAATTCTCGTTAGTGTAACAATCGTGCTTGGACATTAATATTAGACGGAAACAGTCGATGATTAGTAACTTTATTCCCGTCTAGAGATTTTAATGTGCCTAGTCATTTTTGTTTAATTTTCCTTGACGGTAAAGATTTGCAGAGCTCGAAACAGAGTAATCTACCATAACTAGCTGGAGAAAGTGTTTTTCCAGCCTCTATTATACAAAAAATTTTAAACTTTAGATTCTCTCAAAGCAGATATGCAGTAGGCAAATTTCCGTAGCAAGAGTAATTTTTTTCTTTAACTGATTTAAAAGTAAAATTTGTATTTTAGTTTTAGATAACTTTTTTTCTTAAGAACGTGTACCGTGCCATGGGACCCTCAACTGTGTGGACCATACGGGTCTGGTTCGGGCCGAGGGAGATGGCTGGTACACGGACCAGTGTCACTACTGTTCATGCAGAGATGGCCACGTGGAATGTGTTGCTACTCCTTGTCTTCCTCCTCCACACAGTCACTGTACTCCAGTTCCTGGAGACTGCTGCCCAGAGTGGAACTGTTCGGCGTAAGTTTGTATCACTAGGGTGAAGTAGTTACGCTAGTTACTAGTGATTACACTATCCACCCTGAACTAGATTTATGCTAGTTACTAATGACACAATCCACCCTGTTGTGATTTAGCTACCCACTCTTGCCTTCTTCCCCTCCTTCTCCTAATTTAGTCTAATTCTGAAAAAAACGGTTTCGGCCGACATCGTAAATCTACGCTATAAAATTGGAATATATGTTGATTTTCTAACACGTACTTGCTTTAAGTCAAAATGAAAATCTTTCACCATCCGCTCTATAACCCTTTATGGAAGGTGATCTATGTAGCTGATGCCGGTTAATTAACTTCGTTAATTAGTGCCTAGTACTTAATTGCGTAAAGAATTTTGTAAAGACGCCAAAATTCTTGCCCTGCTTAATCTCTGTATAATCCTGTGGATGCAGAGGCACGGATTCTACGGCGCAATATTGCTCTCATAAATTTAGAGCCACAAAATTGCTGGTTCCAGGTCTAGACCTTTAGTAGCGTTTTAAAACTTTGCATCAATACTAGCTTATGGCTCGGCTAGGGTGGTGGTTGATGCTTTTGGTTCAGTTCTAGCTCTTCCTCTTAACTTTTTTGTTTTCCAAAACTTTAAGCTTGGATATGTTGTGCATCTCTAGTGTAGGTTAAATAATTGGGAACTTTAGTATGTAAGGAGTCTGTTCTGTCTGAACTACACTTCTATCTCTGCTCCGCTACTATTTCTAAGCTTTCTACTAAAGGCTAGGGTTTTCTAGGCTATGAAATTATAGTATAAAATATTGTGCTTTGTTTTATAAAGGTGAATAGAAAAATCGTATGTGCTGCTGTAACTTGTATTCACGTAGTAATATATGAGCAAATTTATAGCAAATCTCAGTGCATCCCTGTTTGTCAAAGGATTGAGGCAGGATCTCCCCATTTTTAATCTGTACTAGATTTATTTCCCTGAAAATAGATTTGATTTCATTTTAGTTTCTTACCGATTTGTAATTTTTCAAAGGGAGGGAAATTGGAGTAGTGGGTGAAACTCGTGGATATGTTCATCCTTACCAAAGGGCCGTGACGAAGATTCGAACTTGCGTGAGAGCATCCCAGACGCTGCCTTAATAGACTGAACTAAAACATGGTTCAAAAGTTGAAACCATGTTTCATGTTCAACCATGTTGAAACCGGCGCAAGTTCTACTGAACTTGCTGGATCCTGCAGCCTCTGAGGCACAAACCAAGGTTTGTGTAGTGTCTGGGAAGGATACTCGCTGGGAGATGGGGACCTGGGTACTATATCTAGTTTATCTTGCAACCAGATATCGCGTAGCCTTCATATAAGATAGCCGTTATCTTTCAGTGGCTGTGAGGATGCAGCTGGTGTCTTCCATGCCATAGGCGAGAGATGGCCTACGGACGACCTCTGCATCACCTCGGTGTGCACCATGGAAGGCACCGTCCTGGAACAAGCTGTGTGCACACAAGCAGAGCCAGCCCATGCTGATTGTTTTCAATATATACCTCTGCACGAGTGCTGCCCCAAGTGGAATTGCAGGTAATTGCATTGCAAGACTTGTCTATATTCTTGATTTTTGTACGTTCAGGTTTCTAGTCTCGTAAGTTAAGCGGGTTATCTATTGAAGGTTTTATAATACAGTAAATTTAAAGTGCCCAGAATACAAACTTGTTTGTAGTTTTGCAATGGTTAATCTCTTGCTCTAGATTAGAGTATTGGGTTTAGAATTTTTCATAGTTATCACGTAATACTAGATAGTTCCAGTTATCTGCAACTCGACACACACTTCTGCCATATTAATGACTTCTGCTTTCTTAGTGGTTGCACAGATTCCAACGGAACGTATCATTCCTTGCACGAGGAGTGGAAGACTGACCCTTGTATCACTCTAAACTGCACTAAGACTGGTATCAAGACGAAGAGGTTGAGGTGTCCAGAGGTGCCTGCACCTCATCCCAGCTGTCAGAAGTCTAGTCTTCCAGGAAAGTGCTGTCCAGGGTGGACGTGCAGGCGAGTAGCCTTGTGAAGCAGTCTTTCATTGCAATGCATTAGTCTCTTGTATTAAATATAATGTTTAGGGAAGAGTATATGCATAAAATGTACATAAATAGTGGAAGGATCAAAAGTAATACGGTACTTAAAGGTATTAATACCAAGAGGGTTTCGGCCACAATTCTAAAATTTATACTAGTTTGGCTACTTGAACAGAAGTGACACTTAGGTTTTTTTAATCTTTAATTGGAGAAAAATGCTTTAAAGATTTTTAATCCTAAATCGTGGGTGAAAGTTTAGATATTTAAATTCCCCATACCTGAAAAGTCCCCCCTACAATTTTTATTAAATATGTAAATTATTAATTTATTAAGATTCTTGACAATGCTAATACTTTTAACATATATGAAGACAGGGAATAAACTTTCTTGCAGGGGATGTTTTGATACGAACGGAACCTTCTACGAGCTGGGAAGAGAATGGTCCACGGGTGATCCTTGTATAATTCTTGTGTGCTCGGCCAGAGGAATAGTGAAGAAGGCTGTGACGTGTGAAGACGTCCCGGCGCCTTATCCAACATGCTTTAAATATAAACCTTTCGGCGAGTGCTGTTACAAGTGGAATTGTAGGCAAGTGACTGGTCTTGCCTTCTAAAATTTAGTTTGATTGGCTAAGTATTTGGTAGGTGGCAAGTTTCTTGTTGCTAAAACTGGTTGATTAATTTTTCTGGTACTTATTTAGTTCTTAAATGCTATGATGTTGATACTTTGCAGCGGGTGTCTGGATAACGGAACGTATCGGTTTGTGACTGAGGTATGGCAGAGAGACGCCTGCACCACACACGTCTGCACAACCGATGGTATCAGAACTACACTGAAAAACTGTTCCCTGGGTCCTGCTCCTCACTCAAGTTGCCAGAAATATACTCCTCCTGGAGACTGCTGTCCTCGGTGGAAGTGCAGGTTTGCAAAACTTTATCAGTAGTTTCCAGAAACCTAGCATTACTCTCTCAACTTTGCGGGGTGACTGGTGAATGTTCTGGGATAGTCATAGGTAATTGGGATTGACTTCCCCGAGCCACTTCTCAAAGGGTGGTGTTCAACCCATGAGCAGGCGGGGGGGGGGGGGGGGGTTCAATCATTGCTTTGAACGATCATTGTCTAAAAGCTTATTAATGTGTCGTCTAATTACTGAATACGGTGTCTTGACTAGTCATGAAGGGGAAGGTGTAGAGGGGTGATTATAGATGTATCTGGCGGTGTCTAGACATTGAAGATGAACAGTGATGGAGGTATGTTGTACAGATGGTCAATGATACTGTAATTGTGATAATTGTAGTCTTTGTATAAAGATGAACAAATCCACAAGGGCCGTGACGAAGATTCGAACCTACGTCAGAGCTCATCCCAGACGCGCTCTTAATGGTTACTGTGGTAACTGTAAACAAAGATGGTTACTGTGAAGATAAATTTTTGCGTAACAAAGATGGTTACTGTGATGGTAGTAAAAATGTGGCATTAATCTCTAAATAAAAGTTGGCGACTCCTCTCGTGTTTTTTATAAAATGATTCTAATTGCTGATAAAGTACTTCAAATAAATCAAAGAGTTGAACTTTATTTTAGGTGGAATTGCGAACTCGTGTTCACGCTACTTCAGAGACTGTTAAATATTAGTGGTGGCAAGTAAAGACTGGAACTTTACTAGACTCGCGTTGAAGTGACTTGATCAGTGACGTAAAATCTTTTGCAATAGGATTTACAATCTGGGATGAGAGAGAAGACAAAAAGAAAGGTACTCTACCACTTGCATCTATATAGTGTTAGTGTACTACCTAAACTTTGTCTCCCAGAATGAAGTTTATGTAAGTGCATAAACGTTCTTTTGGGTACATTTCAGAACTTTATTTTTGTTGGAAACAAAAGTACTTTTGGTTTACTCGTGCTCTCAGGGGATGTATTGATGAAAATGGAAGTTTTCATGAAGTAGGTAGTGAATGGAGCGTATCTAATCATTGTACACTCTTGGTGTGTACTGATGGAGGGATAATTAACAAGACCATTACCTGTGTTGCCACACTGCCTCCTCACTCTATCTGCTGTAAATACACACCTCGCGGAAAATGTTGTCCAGAGTGGAACTGTAGGCCAGTATTCATGGACGTTATCTCGCTTCCCTAAAATTGAAGTTTGAATAAATGTTAATTTCTTTAACTTTTTACAGCGGTTGTGTAGACGAGGCTGGCAGTTACCACCCCATGAATGATGCGTGGAAGACTGACCCCTGTACTACACACACCTGTACTAACAACGGAATACAGACTACGAAAGAAGACTGTAACCCAGGTCACAAACCTTACCCCATATGTCAAGCGTTCATTCCTAAGGGAGAGTGCTGTTCTAAATGGAATTGCAGGTAAACAGAATCTACCAATAAATTTAAACTGAAGGTGTAAGTTTAATGCAAACGTTCCACCTTAGAGTAATGGAAAGAAAGTAGTTTCCCCGTAAGATTACTTGAACTTCTAGTCAATCATAACTGCCAGTATGAAAAAATTCACTTAATGCAATATTTACCTTGTTTCCTTAACCTTAACCTTATAACATAACCTTATTATAGCATAACCTTATTTCTAATGCTACAAATGTTCAATTGCAGTGGGTGTATTGACAAGTCTAGAGTGTATCATAAACTGCAAGAACGGTGGAATACGAGCCGGTGCATTGCTCATGAATGCACATTACAAGGGATACGAACGACAGTGGTGAAATGTACCGACAAGCCCCATCCTAACTGCATTGAAGTTCCGCTAATGACGGAATGCTGTCCTAAATGGAAGTGTGGGTATGTACTAAAGGCAACTTGGCACCTTTTATAATTTAACTTAAGAATACATTTTCTTGGTGCTTTACTTGGTGCTTTAAACTATTTGTATGACACTTTCAATCATTCTTGGCACGGCGCTAAAAGCTGAGATTTTTTCCTAAGATTCTCTAAAACAATTGTTCTAGCAAATTTCAAATTTTAGTTTACAATACTTTTAAACAATGAGTATTGCAAGAGTTTTGTGCCTACTGAACTGTAGGTCCAGTGGGCACAATATTTTGAAAATAAACGCATGTTTAACGCGGGATAAATATCAACGCTGATAACGTAGACTAAACGTAGAACCAGCGCCACTTCCCCCATACTGTGTAATATCTCGTTAGTAAACATGATTGATCATTGCAGACCCGACTGCCGGCTGGTGAAGTGCGGAGGACCACCGGATACAGACTGTAATTCCACTACAGTTCCTCTAGCGTGCTGTCCAACGTGGAATTGCAGGTATGGACTCGATCCCCTGTAACCAACCTGAGCCACTTACTGGTGGCTGCTGTGGAGTGTTTGTAAAGTCTAGTACAAGAACTGATATTGCAACGACATTAGATAATGGCTGGGATAAATATATTTAAGATTTAGCTTAACTATATTTACTTATTCTGCAGATTTGACCATTTTATAAGTTTTAATTAAAATGACCCTTAAATCCTACCGAACAAGGTAACTAATCAGTTCGGTGAATGTGTAGGCACCCGTAAGGAAGTAGTTTAGTTGTAAGTTAGCATTTAGTAAAAGGCTTTAATGTTAAAGCGGTCTTCTAGATAATTTTGGTAATTTAAAATAGTTTCACCTTGTTCTCCTATACCAAGACTTTGCACAGAACAATCACTAGTATCTAAATTATCTCCACAAGCCTTCTTTGAGTACTCTTATGCCAAGAAAGATGTTAATATCTCTAATACTGAAAATCAATAACCAATGTAGGTGCTGGCTAATAGTCCTGTCAAACGTTTAGTAAACTTTTCTGTATTTACAGTGGGTGCTACGATGAAGTAGGCGTGTACCACAGGTTAGGGAGCGTGTGGTCAAACCCCTGCAGGACGTCACTGTGTACGAAGGCTGGCATAAGGATTACTCAAGACATCTGCAGCAAGATTCCTCGTCCTCACCCGAGCTGTGTGGAATACACGCCAGTAGGAGACTGCTGTCCAAAATGGAACTGCAGGCAAGTTATGGCAGTCTGAAACGGTGATGTTTTCAGTCTCCCACATATATGTACGTCTTTGTCTTTTTGTCTGTCTGTCTGTCCTCTTTCTGTGTTTCTCTCTCTCTCTCAACGCTACTATAATTTCAGTGGATGTGTTGACGATTACGGGACCCTTCATCTTCTGGGTCAAAACTGGAAGACTGATCCCTGTACCACTCATGCCTGTACTGCTACTGGAATACAGACTAAGAAAACGGTCTGTAACCTGGGTCCGGCACCTTACGTAAACTGTAACCAACAAATTGGCGAAGGAGAGTGCTGTCCGAAATGGAGATGTCGGTAAGCCGGAAATTTTATAATTTTCTTTTAAAGGTCTTTACCCCTCGCTTCCCCCTCAAGATCTACCTATTGAAATAGCCAATTTAAGAGGCATTTTGTAATATTGTTAAAGTAGCAACTAGGGCTTATGTTTAGATTTAAAGTTTTTAAAGATCTTCAACTTGGGAGGGGTGGGGGCATTTCTTAATCTCTAGTTTTTCAGATAAATATAAATTTTTTAATTTTAAAAGTAGTTCCCTTTTTGCCATGGAAAGGCAAAATAGTAAATACTTTACAGGTGATATTTCGTTGGGAATGTCCCGTTTCCAGTACGCATTCTTTAGTACTAGTATTGCTTAGATATTTTAACTATTTCATAACAGAATTTGTGTAGACAAGCAAGGCAATGACCGTGAAGAGGGAGAGACTTGGAGAGATTCCCAGGACCCGTGTTTGACCTGTGCCTGCAAGCAAGGCAACTCTACCTGTGCCATTCTCAAGTGTCCTCCACCCCCACCTTGGCCCTGTAATACTCCGCCTCTGGCAGGCCAGTGCTGTCCTATCTACTGCAACAACCCGTAAGGACTACAGTAGGGACTACATAAATAAATCCACAAGGGCCGTGACGAGGAATCGAACCTGCGTCAAAGAGCATCCCAGACGCTGCCTTAATCGACTGAGCTACGACAGTAGAATTTCGGTTTCAACTCCTTTTGACCATGTCGTAGCTCAGTCGATTAAGGCAGCGTCTGGGATGCTCTCGAACGCAGAACGCAATGACGAGTCCTCGTCATTGCCCTTGTGAATTTGTTCATTTGATGCATCACGCAATTGAGATTTGTGTGTACGGACTACATGGATTAAAAACCATGCTATAGACTACCTCGTAGCTCTTAATCTGGTGAAATACTAACTTGCCATAAAAGTTTTAAGGTACAGGTCTGAAACTGGATAAAGAGTGGCGAATCTATTCCTTGATGCCTTCATGAATACTTAAAAAAAAACAATGCTAGTGTGAAATCTAGGCTAAAGTAAATTAAAATTCCAAAGTACAGGTCAGCCCAACAAAACGGATCATTATACATTTGTAAATTTACTTTTCAGACTTGGTGGGCCGACCGTCTCGCCTGCTGGGTTGGAAGACTGTGTGGACAAGTACAACAAAAGTCACAAGCCTGGGGACAAGTGGCTGGATCCATCGAACTCTTGTATAGAATACCGGTGTGGCAAACTGGGCTTTATACAGAGTCAAAGGAACTGTTAATATTGGCATAACTGCACATTTATGAAGGCATTCTTGTTGCTTTTCGATAAATTTAATTTAGGTCATGATTTTTCTTGCTGAAAGTCACATTAAATGTTTAAATTTGACTAGCTTCCTGAACATGGCTCTTGTATTGCCATTGTTGTTCTACTATACTTGTATCTTAAGTTCTATAAATACTTTTGCCAGACTAAATTTTAATAATCCTGTAGAAATTAAATTAAAATGAGAAGGGAATGGCAGAATGAAAGGTTACATGCAGTCATTATACATGTTTTCTCAGTATTATATAAAATGCTTTCTCTTGCATACTCGTAGGACTCTTAAAGCCACTGGAACAATGGTGTTACCTAGCACAGGCTCGCTTCAGGGTAATTTAGTATGAAATTTAGGGAGGCAATGACTTGGCATTAGATTTACGCTATATAATGTGAGACGGTCTCGGTATTTCAGTAAGATTCGTTCTTGATTGGGACACCCAGCTGGGATAAAAATGGTTAAGCACGGTTTCCCCTCGCCAAATAGGTCTCGAATACACTAAAATTGAACTGCAGGCAAGTTACGGTAGTCTTAAACGGTGACAGGTGAATCTGATACTTCTGATATCGTTCGCCTTATGCGTTTCTGTTCTCGTATTGGCATTCTTGGCGATATTTAACGCCCTCTGATTAATTCGCACTTTAGTGCTACATGACCTTCCCGGTCTGGTGCCTTCTTCAGTCACAATAACGTTGGACTAGAATGAGAAGTCGAATATTGATTATTGGAACAGGTCTAGCAGTCTCTTACCTCGCGAGTCTCTCTTAAGTGTTTAGTGATCAGGTCTGTGAAAGGTCGTTTGGTACTAGTTATGCTGGTGGGTCTTCTCCCAATAGTCTGCCTCCCACCCTTACTTCCAGCAGATTGTAAATCGGATACTTTTGATATCGTTCGCCTTATGCATTTCTTCTCGTATTGGCATCCTTGGTGATATTTAGTGCCCTGATTATTCCGCACATTTGATGGTGCCTTTTGATAATTACCTTACGTCTTCAGCAGACTTAAGACGGTAGCGTTTCTCTGGGTTTCCAGCCATATTGGCGTTTCCTTAAATGAGTGTTCGGACGCTACCGCTAAGGAGGCTATCAGCACTCGTCCTATTTCCTGCATTGATCCCTACCCAGTCATTCATTCTTCAATCTGTGTCCATTAGCAAGGGTTGTTGGTCTTGCTACTGGTAACTAACTGTTTTTAAGGGTAGTGTCTTCCCTCCCCCCCCCCCAACCCATAGCCTTCCTCCTACCACCGTAACCGGCGGTGGGAAACGGCTTTAGGGAGCCGGTCGGCCAGCACGCTGGACCTGTGGTCCCGGGTTCGGTCCCGGGCAGAGTTTCATTCACCCTATGCCCTGTTACCTAGCAGTAAAATAAGTACCTGGGTGTAAAGTCAGCTGTCACGGGCTGCTTCCTGGGGGTGTAGGTCTGGTCGAGGACCGGGCCGCGGGGACACTAAAGCCCCGAAAATATCTCGAGATAACCTAGTGAGAGGTTACGCATTGGCCATACGTTTAACTGAGGCGCTTAATGGAGCGCCGCCCTGCTCCTTATTGTCCAAACTGCGTTGTCCCTCTTAGGACATCCAAAGATATGCACGACTGACTTCCAGGACAAGCGTGTCTTGCTTTCCGATCGTCCCCCGCGGTGGGTTGTGACTGATACTTTGAGAGTTCGCCTTATGCGTTTCTGTTCTCGTATTGGCATCCTTTATCCAGCGCCCTCGGATTCTCCCGCACATTTGATGGTGCTATATAGCCTTCCCGGTTTGGTGCCTTTTGATAATTACTTACCCCTCGATAGAACGCCTTTATCATTTGCCTTGTGCAGTTTTATTTTTGTATTGGCATCCTTTTGGTGCCTTTGGAATATCTAGCACATTTGGTGATACTACATTGTCTTCCCTGAGGGAGAACCTGCCTGGATACCCATATATTAAAGTAGGACGCAGAGACGTCGCCACGGACGGGACAGATGTTATTTACAATTGACGAATTCTACGTCAAATGTGTTAAACGGTAACTTACCAAGTCATGCGACGTAAATTCGACGTCAATGCATCTTTGAATCCATCGCGATTATACATTTATCGACTTTTGCGACGTTAAACAAACCTTAATGGAACGTCAAACTGACGTTAATGCGACGTCATAACTACGTCAATGTAACGTCGAATCCATCAATTTTTTTTTACTATTTATCTACGTTACTGTGACGTTAAAATGACTTTAATACAACGTCATATCGACGTCAGTGCAACGTCCATCTGACATTGATAACATTTTTAATTGCCATAATTAACAGATTTGACGTAGTTTTAATCGCGATGGATTCTACGTTGCATCGATGTCAGAAAGTTTTGCATACTGAGACAAGCCCAGGGGCCAAATTCACGAGGCAGTTACGAAATGTGAACATCTTTCTTCAATCTCCGACGGCTTCTGTTACATTTACTAAACAGTTTAACAGTTGATTGGGAAGTTTTCATGCTTGTATTGTTATAAACAGCCTCCTGGTGCTTCGGAGCTCATTAACCGTTTAATAATTGTAAACAAAGCCGCCAAAGATTGAGAAAACATGTACAGGTTCATAAGTGCTTGCGTAACTGCTTCGTGAATCTGGCCCCAGGCACCCACATACCCCAAGAGAAAGTAAAGTCTGTACATGGTTGGATCCAGTCTCTCGAGACCTTTCAAGAGAAACCACCTTCCACACATCATTCGATGAAGCTGCATACGAAATGTGTAAATAAATGTCCATGGAGTTTTAGCCTTGTTTAAACATTTGTGTTTAGAAAAATTTGCCAGTGCACGCTACTAATATGGCCCTGTATGACTAACCATCCTGCGAGATGGGGACTTATCAACACAAGAGTGAATAGGGTAGCAGTGGTATTATCTTCAAAATGCTTCCGGAGTCTGCCAGTGCAGACTGCCCATCACATGCCTCTGTATGATGGGGATTTTTAGCACCACCTAGTTAGCTTTTTTGACACACTGTACTCCATATAGTCTAGGGTAGCTGCACTAATGCAGATGTACCTCATGTATTAATAAAAAGTGTGGTTTAGCACACATTTGAATAATGTTCTGGTGATAATTCGCGTACTGGGTTCAACCTTTCGATTAGTGATAGAGTATAGTGAAAATGGTTACGGTGATAGAGGGGAGTGGTATGATGATGCTTGTAGAGATTTGAGACTTCTAGAAATGGTTACAATGACCATTTTATGAATTCTTCGTCGCGTTAGGTCGTCACCGATATACTCGTGAATCCAAGGGAACTATCAGGGGGAAAGCGTCAAGCCATTGCGACTATATAGCACTGGGAAGGGGTCTGCATAAGGATTTGGGATGGGGGGGGGGAAGGAATGGTGCCCAACCACTTGGACGGTCGGGAATTGAACGCTGACCTGCATGAAGCGAGACCGTTGCTCTACCGTCCAGCCCAAGTGGTTGGACCAAAAAGGGGAGAAGGTGTGTATGAATTCAGGAGATAAAGACAAGGGGCCAGATTCACGAAAGTACTTACGAACCTGTACATCTTCTCAATCTTTGGCGGCTTTGTTTCCAATTATTAAACAATTAATGAGCTCCGAAGCACCAGGAGGCTGTTTATAACAACAACAGCTGATTGGGAAGTTTTCATGCTTGTAAACTGTTTAATAAATGTAACCAAAGCCGTCAAAGATTAAGGAAGGATGTACACGTTCGTAAGTATTTGCGTAAGTGCTTTCGTGAATCTGGCCCACCGCCCTGGAAAAACAAACCGAAACTATTTTCCGCTTGTTACAACTTTATTAAAAGTTGTTACATCTTTGCTTAACGTGTTTATGACGTATTAGAACGTTGTTACAACTTGCTATATTGGTTGTTATAACTGGTTAGGTGTTAAAACTTGTTCGAACGTTTGTACCAACTTCGTAATTTCGGTGTGTGTTTGGTGGGCGGTAACCCCAACTAGTATTTATAATAGAATACTGTTTAAACTTTAGATTTTTATTGGCTTTACTCACCAATTTACACAATATCCAAAATATGCTAGACATTTGTAATAAAAATTATATCAAATTGCCAGTTTAATAATAATTAGAAAATATAATTTACAACTAAAATTAACAATATATTAGCTATTTTAACCACGACAGAAAACAGGTTCCAGGTGGGTAGTTATCTCTTGTATAACGAGGTGCTGAAACAGATGTTACCACTATGAATGACGGGAAACCACCTGATTGTAATATGGGTTACACTATAGTTATTGACAGGAGATATTTACGTTCGACACTTAATTACATCCGTTACTATCAGTTAAAATGCTAATTATCGTTTTAATGTTATTAGTCAAGATTCAATGGAATGCTTCAAAACTTAAGTATTTTATATGAGAATAATTTAAATTCAAAATATAATTTAGTCTCACTTAGAAGTCTTTGACCCGGTCAGGATTCGAACCCATGCCGTCTAGGATCACCCCTAAACGTACACAGTACCGTGACCACTGCACCAATGATCGTCACCAATAGACGATCATTGGTGCGGTGGTCACGGTACTGTGTACGTTTAGGGGTGATCCTAGACGGCATGGGTTCGAATCCTGGCCGGGTCAAAGACTTCTAAGTGATCTATGGCTTGCGCGTTCATGCAGCTTTCTCACAATTTAGTCTATGTAAATTTGATTCTATAATCTAATATTAGTTTAAATTTTAAACCTAAATGCGTTGAGTAATTAAATAATGTAATAGAATTACACATTTTGCAAACCTGCATTTCCACTTTGGACAGCATTCGCCCGCTGGAGTGTGTCTTCTGCAACTAATGTGTGGAGGGTCTCCAAGCACGCACTCTGCCTTCATCTTTCCTATCCCTCCAGTGGTACAGAGGAGCCTGGTACACGGGTCCAGACTCCAGGTGTCGTACAGAACATGGTACGCGCCGCTACTGTCCACACAGCCACTGAAAGGAACAATGGTAGTAATCAGAGTTACTCAAAATATTGGATATTCAAAAGCGTTCAGACTTTTCTGTGCGGAACACAGCATGATATCGAAGATGACAAGACCACACACTAGAATGTGAAGGGACGACGACGACGTTTCGGTCCGTCCTGGACCATTCTCAAGTCGATATCGCCTGCATATGATATCGAAGGTTCATCCAGTTAGCAGAAAAGATTTAGGGAAACTAATATTTTTTTTTTTACTTTTGTCAATGCCTTTGTTCAACTTTAATTATTCGGGAAAATTTTTACACTTGCAACTAGTGTTTGCAAACTAATAACCGGTTATTGATTGTTTCATTTTCATTTATTTTCCAAAGAATTTTTCCAATAAGAAGCAAGTTGATTTTTACCTTATATTTTAGTCAAGTGTAATGTTATAATTATTTGCGTCTAATTCAGAGTGCTTAGTTATACAAATTGTCACAAATTTACTGAATCAAAATGTATAAAAGGTTATAAATTAAGCAATGCATATTCATTACATTAAAATTTTCCAAACTAGGTTAAAAGTGCTCTATAATCAAATAAAAAACTTAAAATCTGTTCCAAGTGGTATCAGTTTTGAAAAAAAAAAATGTATATTACATTGTAAATGCAGTAGATCATTAGACTAACGGTGCCTTCAAAGCAAGATTATTAACTTGGGCTTCTATACAGCTTACCTTCACCCTCCAGCTTCGATACAACGAATTTATTCAAGACTATTCAAGCAAGAAGCTACTCAGAGGTATTGAGTCACCCTTTACCAAAGTACCAACAGTGGTATGCGTCGTAAGGCAATTACAGTCAGGGCGGAATATTTGGTACCAGGAGTTCACTGCCCGTTTTAATTTATATCTTGGGGGGGGGGGAAAGGTGACCCGTTGGTTTAAGGAGACCTCGACAAGTCACAACAGGCTGGCTGTTCAGTTATATATAACTAAACGTTGAACTTCCAACTAAAATTAAGTCAAGGATTCAAACACCAGACAGCTACTTAAACTCCAGTGGTGGTACAGAGCCTGTCTGGCTTAGCATTTTAGAGAATTATTTTACCTAATCTCCCTATAAAAATAAAACGACTTTCAAAAGCCAATTTGATGAAGTCGGGGGGGGGGGGGGACGAGTACCACCGAGGTACTTGCTGATTCAAGTATGAGATTAAGTTAGGACAACTTAATAGAGGCGTGACACGCTAAAAGATTACTGGATTACATTAACTTTAGAACCTAATGATTTTCTAATCCTCATCTCGGCGCCTACTGATTTTCTTATCGATTCGTCAGGTCATCTTGAGATGTCACATGTCCATTAATGTCTTAAGATGTCCATAAGTCACAGTAATGCAATGCAGAGACATCACAATTTCTTCTATGGTCACTCAAATACCAGGCAAGAATTTTTAAAAAATTGGTGGTTAGTAACCTAGGTTGCCTTTATTCTTGGAAGTTAAGTTTAAAGTTACTAAAAACCGCTCACACTTAAGATTCCAAGAGTGAAAGTTCGTGTGAGGAAGTGTGTATTAAGAAACTCTTAAGCGACATACGAATTTGTAGTTAATATCAAAACGTATAGTTTATGGGAACCAAAAAACCAAGCAAGAACAACTTAAAACTAAGAAATGTGCGAAAGAATCTTACCATAAGAGGTTTAAGTATTTCTGTACTTTAAAATTTAGTAGAGAGGAATTAGCAATATTTTTTACATTAAATTTTTCTTAAGTTACCTAAAATGATCTATATAATTAATTTGCTACATAAAAACAGATTCTTACTACTGCAGAAGGTCTATAAAAATTTTGCTCCTTTTAATCTAAGCCAAATTTCCTTTTCCTTTAGACTATCCAAGAATCTCAAAAGATCTGCAAAATAACTTAATTTACCTGCAGTTCCATGATGTACAACACTCCCCTGGTGGAGTGTACAGAAAGCAGCTTGGGTATGGCGGTGGGCGAGATTCACAGTGATTGAAGATTCTTTTGATTCCATCAGTGGTGCACAGCAGGGTCGTGCAAGGATCATCTGTGCTCCAATGACTGCTTAGTTCATGGCTGACACCAGCCGAATCAACACAGCCATTGAGGGTTCGACTTCAAAAAGGAAGTTAAATTATTTATCATAAATCTATAGTAAACAATGCACAAACTACAAATATTGAGGAATAGAAGTATTAAAATCTAGAGCAATAAGGAAGCATCTAAAGTTTGCAAAATTAGAAAAATGTTTTCATATTAAGGCCTTGGTATTACAAGTTGACAAGTGTTAAACTCGATATGTGTCAGATAGAAAATGATTGGAAGGAAGATTTGTAATATTCACCTGCAGTTCCATACGGGGCAGCACTCCCCCCTGGGTGTATGGGGAGAGCAGCCTGGACGGGGCGGTAATGGGGGACAGTATTTCCGGACATCCTTAATGCCAGCCTCGGTACACAGCGAGGTGGTGCAGGGATCCTTCGTCCACCGGCTTCCCACCTCGTGCCCAACGCCTCGCTCGTCAACACATCCACTAAAATCGGCAATCGGATCCCTAAAATGTTTGAAAATTTATTTGCATCGGCTATTCAATTGTCAAAAGTTCTTAATGGAAGAACTTTATGATGGTAAATTAGAAGTCTGTATGGCATATTTCAGTGGGTTTGGGGGCAGATTGAAGGCCTATTGTGATGTCCGGCTGATTTTATTTACCGGATCGAGATAACTTACAATGGCTGTACACTTCAGTGAGCAAATGAGTTCTTGTAACAAAATCACAATAGCGTGATGCATCAAATGAACAAATCCACTAGGGCCGTGACGAGGATTCGAACCTACTACATTGCAGGATCCAAGTAAGCTCAGTAGAACGTCTGGTTGCAAGTCTTTTTGACCATGTCGTAGCTCAGTCGATTAAGGCAGTGTCCGAGATGCTCTCGGACGTAGGTTCGAATCCTCGTCACTGGCCATGTGGATTTGTTCAGTGCTCTTGTAGTCCCTAGCGCGGTAACTTTTAGAAGTTATCGGGCATATCTAACCTCGGCGACTGGAACAAGTGGTATTACAGCGATTCAAGTAATGTATGGGGGCCAATATAATTGATAGGATATTCTTATAGTTGCTCCGTTAACCAGTATTCTGTATAACCATAAAAAAAAACTATGGAATTTCTGCGTTTTTGATTGTTTTTGCTACATTCACCACATTGATTCCTACAGTCATCCTACACCTTGTCAACTTTTATATGCTCCTTCCAATGAGATACTCGACCCTTCATCCATTCAAAGAGTGCTTAGCTCTTTAATATTCTTAGATCTCCAAATGCACACAAAAAGGCAGGTAATGACTGAACCTTATGTGTCAATGTGCTCGACACACCATTTACAGAAAACACACCTTTGTAAAGAAAAGTTTGAAGCGTCTTCAGTGCTACAATAGTGTAGGGGGTGCGAATAAAGTTGTATCTACAGACCTTCAGGTTCAAAATATTTTGTAATCTTTTCTACAGTGTTAAACAGGGGTTACATAAATAGGTGAATTCAATTTAGGTCACTAGAGGAATGGGGGTTTGGGATTGGGGGGCAATAAAAAAAAATTACAATTATAGCGTGTTTAAGAGGATTAGATTAGATATTCTGAATCAGAAGTGACAGACAGGGAAATGTATCAATGGTTTAAAGAATTTAAGCAATTCAATGTCACCTATGCAAGAAAAAAGTTTAATCAAAGTTCACCTGCAGTTCCATACGGGGCAGCACTCCCCCCTGGGTGTATGGGGAGAGCAGCCTGGACGGGGCGGTAATGGGGAACAGTATTTCCGGGCATCCTTAATGCCAGCCTCGGTACACAGCGAGGTGGTGCAGGGATCCTTCGTCCACTGGCTTCCCACCTCGTGCTCCACGCCTCGCTCGTCAACACACCCACTGTTAGATTTGCATTTTAAACATTTATATTGCCCTTAAATTTTCAATTTACTTGAACCTTATAACAAGATTTAAAAATTTTCTTAAAAGATAATTTATCCTAATAGTCTGGGATGGATGAAATATGTTTAAATGTGACGGCAGAGAAGCAAGAGATGCTACGGTAATCCTCCAGTATCACCTATGACTTAAAAATATGAAAGTAAATAAAGTTAAATCCGAGATTTATGTTAGAAAACCACCACGTTTGGGGAAGCTGGAAGATTAGTACACAAGGCATCACGATAGCATAAAAGGCTGCTGAACAAACCAAATCATCCCACAGTTATTGGAAAAAAATAATGAATCCCTAAATATCTTCACCATAATTGTATTTTCTCATGTAGGTGTTCAGGCCCACACTTCACGGAGTCATCCTTTTTATTGTTTGCAAAGATTCATTCAATCATAACCTAAAATCAATATATTTAGCAGGATGGAATCAGCCTAATTTGAGCAGAAGTCAATATGTACATCATTAATCGAGATTGGGCTATGCACTGCCCCCTTCCCCAGGCACGGAATGCGGGCGATGCAGCGCCTCTATCACGCAGAGGTGCTATGCCTGATCGTGGGCTTTGCAAGACTATCAACACAACCAGTTGTGCCTTTTTGTACAAGTAATTGCACATAAATGCAGTTTCCATGCTCCTAAGCATTCTCAAACTGATCATTAAATGCTGTTCAATATAATTTGTACATTTACCTTGAAGGTATAATTTAATGAGCGAATATCTCAATATTTTCCATCTTTAATCATCAAAGTTGAGTTAAGCAGTTGCCGAACACAGGAATATGGAGCAGGATCGGTGTGAAACAATAGACTAGTTATTAATCAGTATTTCTACCAGTTAGACTTCATTAACCTGCATAATGGAAGCATAGCTACCTAGTCAAACCAACTGCATATTAATTAATGATCAAAGAATTAAGAATTTAAAATTTTTTTGGCAATCAAGACAAACCAAACATCTGGGCATCCCAGGAGATATTCACCTGCAGTTCCATACGGGGCAGCACTCCCCCCTGGGTGTATGGAGAGAGCAGCCTGGACGGGGCGGTAATGGGGAACAGTATTTCCGGACATCCTTAATGCCAGCCTCGGTACACAGCGAGGTGGTGCAGGGATCCTTCGTCCACCGGCTTCCCACCTCGTGCTCCACGCCTCGCTCGTCAACACACCCACTGTAAAATCACGCATCTTTCAAATCACGGACTGAAATGTCAAATGAAAATTACCCTTTTTATTATCTGCAATATTTATAACATTAGTAGATATTAAATTTGATATGAATGAATTTGAGAGCCCTGAAAGCAGGATGGATAGCACTATATTATAGGAGATATTAGTCTAAATGGAATAATTGCTTAAACTTCTGAAGAGGCTTCGTAGCAGACTTTTTAAGAAGTCTTTTGTAAAACACTCCTTTTCTAGCTTTATGTATATCGTAGGCTAAAGTTCCTATATAAGCAAATTTACCGTTTTCAAAAGTCTATTTGAAGATCTGTATACTTCAGAATGCAATACGCTGAAATTGAAAAGCGTAATGATCTGAAAATTAAAATTAGGATCAGCACTGAACGACAATGCATGGATACAAAAAAAATAGGTTACCTTTGGCTAACTTTTTGTATTAAAAGGTTCAAAAGTACCATAATGCGTAAACTTACAAAATTAAGATTGTAAACTTAAATTAAGCCTATAGCACAAGCTGGTGGGGAAGGTGGAGGGGGGGGGGGGACTGAGAAAGCACCAAGCCATTACGACTGTACAGCCCTGGGAAGGGGTCAGGATAAGGATTCGGGATGGGACGAGGGGGGGGGGGGGGGTTAATAAGCAGGTAGGGGATGAACAGTTAAAAATTTATTGGCCGTCAGAAGACCACAATGTGTAGTGTAGCCGGGAGGATAAATTCTGCAAAGCTTTGAGTGTATGGATTAATAAATTAGAAAGCTTATGAAGGACATTATAAATACATTTGAAGGACGAGGAGAAATGGGCTTTTGCGGACTTCTGTCTAGTTAATAAAAATTAGTGCTCAATATCTTGGTTGCATGCAATACAAAACCGACTTTTGTCGTTTTTTCATTTCTCAGAAAAGATATTACAGTACATTGACTGATGATCTACAACTTCAAAATAGAGGACACGAGAGTATTAATCATCGACATAAGTTACTAAAACAAGTTGGTGCAAAATATTATATTATGTCTGGTTTCAAGTTTTATTTTTCATACCTAAATTCCTTTCAAAATCATTCCCGACCACGTAAACGACACTGCTAGGAAAGCTGTAGAAAATACCAGCGAATGGCGAATGCAATTTTACAACTATCCAGATTAAGCAAAAAAGATGACTTAAACACTAAGCCAGCTTTGAGTATACTGAGAAACCGAGTTTCTTTAATATCCATAAACCAAACTTGGATTAATATTTATTTATTTTTAGACTGGTAAAAAAATATAATTTTGAAGATAATTAGTAGAGTCGCAACGGCTTTTATTTGTCAAATTTAAGCGATATCAATGCGACAAGATGCATTTGTTAGTAACTCTCACCTACAGTTCCATACGGGGCAGCACTCCCCCCTGGGTGTATGGAGAGAGCAGCCTGGACGGGGCGGTAATGGGGAACAGTATTTCCGGACATCCTTAATGCCAGCCTCGGTACACAGCGAGGTGGTGCAGGGATCCTTCGTCCACCGGCTTCCCACCTCGTGCTCCACGCCTCGCTCGTCAACACACCCACTGTAAAATTTAAAATAGCCAACAAATTGTATAGGTCATATTATATTATCTTTAGCATTATATTTTGCTACACTATTATTAGCGCCTTACAGTTAAATTTAAACTCATAAAAACAAATACTTAAGATTATGTAAAATAGATTAAAAAAAGCCGACAAAGTGGATTTGACCTTTTCTTATTTATCAAGAGATGAAGCAGCTTATTTTGGTTAAGTTTTTTCAAGGGTTATTTCAATCTTACGGTGAATTCAACCGGTTCAAAAACAAATGAACATTTTACAATTCTTTTCATTCCCACGACAGACTTAAAGAAAATAGTTGTGAAAACTCTCCTCTATAATCCCCCCCCCCCTCTTCCGCTCAAGACCTACACCCCCCCCAACAAAAGAAATGTTACCGCGGCAATACACTTCACTGAGAAACGTGAGAATAAATTACCACCATTTATCTAGGAAGGAATTTTGAACCATTTTCAACGTGGGTTGCTTCGTGTTCGGATAATCATATACTTGAGTGAATCTTTTTTATAGCCAAGAGTCTTCACTTGGGGGGGAAACTTTTTGATAGCCAGGAGTAACTTATTTCGTCACGATAGCAGAGGGAAAGGAACAGGAGAAGGTATAGTTTATGAAATTTAATGATGCCTCAAATTAACATTTCATTCACCTGGGCTCACGGAGATAACCTATACAGCTTCGGCCTGTGGTGTCCCAGGTTCTAGTCTTACAACCCGGGTGAATAGAATGGTACTTCATCGGGGAGGTTGAAGATTTATGCAAGTTTATAAATTGCTATTTTTTACTCAAATGAATTTATTCCGACGTGTACTTAAATTTATAAAGACTAAGTGTGGATTATATTGCTGTATCTACAGAATACAAGGCGCAACGTCTCCAGAAATTTTTATTATGAGGAACAAGTAGCTGAAATGTATGAGGGAAAGGACCTTTATGTCCGACACGTCTCATTAACGTTGCGATAAAAGACTTCTGCACATTTTTAAATTAGTGCTGAAGATTGCGAGTGGGAAATTATTTCCCGCTCTGTGCTTGCGGTACAATTAAAACAAAATATTAACTCAAATTTGCCCAATTACAGGCATCTTAGATGTACGCCGCAGACCGTCTTCAAGACCACTGCCAGCTGGGTCCCCACCATAACCCACATTTGTCTACCTGCAGACGAGGAGTCACAATAACGTGGTTGAAATACGTTTACCAAACCACACACTAGACAGTGAAAGGACAACGTTTCGGTCCGTCCTAGACCAATATACTTGGGAATGGTCCAGGACGGACCGAAACATCGTCCCTTCACTTTCTACCCTGGAAAACCAAACCGAAACTATTTTCCGCTTGTTACAACTTTATTGAAAGTTGTTACATCTTGGCTTAACGTGTTTATGACGTATTAGAACGTTGTTACAACTTGCTATATTGGTTGTTATAACTGGTTAGGAGGTGTTAAAACTTGTTCGAACGTTGTACCAAAGGTCGTAGTTCCGGTGTGTTTGGCGGGTAGCGTGTGGTTTAGTCTTTTTACCTGCAGTTCCAAACGGGGCAACATTCTCCGGTGGGTGTGTGGGGAGAGCAGCCTGGACGAGGTGGCGGGGGTAGTGGGTCACAGTGCTTCCGTACCTCCTTGATACCAGTCTGGGTACATATTAACGTGGTGCAGGGATCCTTCGTCCACTGGCTTCCCGCTTCATGGACCTCGTGCGAATCACTAAAATTAACCATTGAAATTTGAACTTTTAATATTTATTAGCAATACTTTGCTACATTTTGTATTTTCGTTTCCTAATCCTGAAAAATCAAATTGAAATAAATTATGTAATTTAAAGTAAAAGTACTACAGAATATATGCAAAAGTTTAATTTACGTTGTCAGTGCTATGAAAATTAAAATAGTTTATCAATTCAATGAGTGGGAAATGCAGCACGATTGTAATACTAGTCAACTGGTAAACTAACCTAGTGTTATAACCACTCAAATACTTTTAACAAGTTCCAAGTTCTCAACAGAATGTACCAAGCCTCGAGTGCCATCTGGCACCCTCGGTAAAGTGTCAAATGTTCAGCGAGTGTGTGAAGCAACTGTGCCATCATTAGGAGTCTGGCTTTTGTGGCAAGCGGTAGTTTAACAGGCAGTTAGGCCAGTTTCAGCGTCATTTGGCAGGCAAATATTTGACACCACCCTTACGACCGACTTTGGAATAGGTAATTTTCGAATGGATTGACAGATTTACACTTCTCAGGCAAATTCCCCCAGGCCCTTTAAATGAGCCTTGTAGGGCATTAAAGTTATTTTTCTACCATCTGCACATGCAGTTTCCCCCCTGTCCAAATGAGTCGTGACCCAAGAGCTTCAGTGCCCGATTACTATTAAAATTAAAAACCATTTAGCTTATTTCTCATATTGGTAATGCCAACTTGTTGAATGGAGCAAGGACACCACATTAGTGGCACTTTACCTGCAGTTCCATACAGGGCAGCACTCCCCCCTGGGTGTGTGGGGAGAGCAGCCTGGACGGGGCGGTAATGGGGGACAGTATTTCCGGACATCCTTAATGCCAGCCTCGGTACACAGCGAGGTGGTGCAGGGATCCTTCGTCCACCGGCTTCCCACCTCGTGCCCAACGCCTCGCTCGTCAACACAGCCACTGTAAACATTTTTCAAATCTCAGATTGAAATAATCTAGTTTCGTTTAAATTAAGCCGTTTCCTTCATACTATAATATAAAATTAATAAGAATTTTTACCATTTGGACAAATTTAACCGAAATTTATAAACCGAAACTGGGCAATAATGGAGGATTATTATTATTCAACATTTAACAACAAAGCCATAAGAAGAAACGGACGGCACACTTTCTATTCATGGGGAAACTAGATGACAATGGTCAATACATCTGAAGATGCCTTTCCACACTTTCGCGATGTTCCATTGTGAAATTCATTACCCTGAAGTTTAATAAGCCGAAAAAACTAGTTTTAGGAAGATTTGAAATTTTGTACCATGAATCAATTATCCTGAAAATCTAGACCAAAATGCGTCATGGTACACATCTGAATATAAAAATTCAATCTTTTGACACGAATTTGGATAGGTACTGAACGGCAATATATATAGAATAGGTCACGGGTCGTGGGACGAGATATTTGGTTCACCTATGGTATTAAAATGGGATAAAAATGAATACAATTTATTGTTTAAACTAACTTTAAACTTCCGTCATCAGCAGATGGAGGGGAGGTGGTGGATGTAATGAAATTTAAAATTAAAAAAATTGGAGTATATTGGATATTAGTAGATCAAAGATGTGAACTATTGGCAATAGATAAATTCTGCAATGCTTTGAACATCTGCAGAATGATGTTTGGGAAGCTTATGCAAGACATTACAAATACACTGGATGAGGTGGGGGGGGGGGGGCTAGGTGTTAAGATACTGCGTTATTTTAGATCATTTTGCGTTACACACTTTAATAATTTTTTTTAATACGCACCACAATTGTAAAAAACATTTGTTGTTGTTATAGATTCAGCTACTCTGAACAAGTTCCAAGTAGCACGGGCTATGGTGAGCCCGTAACTTACCTGGCACAGGAGCGGGGCAAGAAGCGCGGGCTATGGTTAGCCTCGTGGACGGGAGATGTCTCCCGTAAAAAACATAGGTCATGGTTATGTTAACATTTTAGGAAATTGTATAAGACCTATTTATCTATATGCAGCAGCTATTATTTATAAACCGGAACTTTTATACACCATTAACATTCTTTAAACTATCTCATATCTATCTCATTACCAGGTTATTTTTTCATAAATACCCAAAGTCCAAACCATTATTTACCCAGAGAAGGGAACTATCAAGAGACAGCACCAAGCCATTACGACTATATAGAAGTTTGAAGGGATAAGGATTTAGGATGGAACGGAGGTAGGGGAAAGACTAACTACTTTGACGGTCGGGGATTGAACGCCGATCAACATGAAGCGAAGGGAAGGGATTATCAAGGGAAAGCGCCAAGCCATTACGACTATATAGCACTGAGAAGGGGTCAAGATAAGGATTTGGGATGGGACGGGGGGAAGGAATGGTGCCCAACTACTTGGACGGTCGGGGATTGAACACCGACCTGCATGAAGCGAGACCGTCGCTCTACCGTCCAGCCCAAGTGGTTGGGCACTTGGGATGGAGTGGATAATAAATATACAACTCATGAACGTGCACGTGGTAGACGTGAATCATATTGTAAAATTTAAACTATTATTGTGAAAATCAATTTCTAAACTCTCACCTGCAGTTCCATACGGGGCAGCACTCCCCCCTGGGTGTATGGGGAGAGCAGCCTGGACGGGGCGGTAATGGGGAACAGTATTTCCGGACATCCTTAATGCCAGCCTCGGTACACAGCGAGGTGGTGCAGGGATCCTTCGTCCACTGGCTTCCCCCCTCGTGCTCCACGCCTCGCTCGTCAACACACCCACTGTAAAAATTGGCGGATATCAACTTCCATATAAGGCTCATCAAACTATTTTTTTTTGAGTCAAAATAGGAAAGATAATACCTATAATTTATATTATCTGGCAAACCTGACACTTTCCGTGCTTGTAACAAATTTACTACACCTTTCCATCGTTTTATTCATTGTACCGAATTACTTCACCCGCCATATTAATGAACACAGTTTCCCTACATTTCATCATCAAATCTTAAGCTCTTTACCATATATTTGAGATCTTCCCCGGTTTCATCACTTATTTCGACCAACACATTTTTACATTAAATTTTTGTTTGTAAGTAGACTTCATATTTTGAGTGTACTTTACTAGTTACGACGACGAAAGTAAAGATTCTTACTAAAAAGAAAAAAAAAAGCCGTTGGTATAAAGATTTAAGACAGGCAACTTTAGTAGTACTGGATTGCAGGTAATGACTAATACCCGTGCCAGGCTTTCAACGAAGAAAATCTAGAGTATGACACTAGATAAAGTAATTACGAGAAAGCAAGAAATAATTAACAAAACTGAGGCTTTCCTGTTGAATTTAGGTTAAAAATTATTATACCATGTTGCTGCTTTTTAACAAATGTTAAATAAAAAATTTGCAAGACCCTGAAAGTTGTATTTAGGTCCCTATATGAATGGGGTGGAAGTAGTTTAATAGGAAAAGAAAAGAGTACTTAAGAGTGGTTCAGAGGGGAAAACAGTGTTAAGAAGTATCGAATCAGAAACTACCTTTATCAAGTGTTTTGATTCAGCTAGCATCAGTGACCAGCATCAACAATGGTGGAAAAAAATGCAAGCAAGCAAAGTTAACGAAATGAAACATTTTATCAACGTTAAATTCACCTGCAGTTCCACACGGGGCAGCACTCCCCCCTGGGTGTATGGGGAGAGCAGCCTGGACGGGGCGGTAATGGGGGACAGTATTTCCGGACATCCTTAATGCCAGCCTCGGTACACAGCGAGGTGGTGCAGGGATCCTTCGTCCACTGGCTTCCCACCTCGTGCTGGACTCCTCGCTCGTCAACACATCCACTGATGGATTTACAACAGTGGATGGATTTACAACATTTACAATATGATAAAAAACGTCTTGGTATATTGCATTAACATTTATAATAGTTTACTCATCATGAAAACAGGTTTAATACACGAAACGCATACATTACCTGCAATTCCACTCGTTACAGCATGCCAGCGGTGGTCTGTATGGGAAGCAGTTGCCACTGGGTGGACCCGCACACCTAACCAATGTGCAATCTGGCCTGAAGGAGAGAACACCTTGAAGCTTACGTCCTCCCCTTTTGTCAAATATAAAATCTCTGGACACCAAACAGGCCATTATTGGGGCAAGGGGATAAGAGTTTTTAATCATCAAAAGAAGGTACCAAGCCCAAGAGACTATCACGGTGAATGTAAAGAATGAAAACTATTTAGAATGACAATAATAGCAAAATTGATAGGTATTTAACTAGACGAGTCAAAGCATTTTACCGAGAAAAGTGATTAGTGAGACGCCATAGAATTGATTCAACTTATAAATCTATGTTAGAACTTTAGTTGACATTTTGCCGGAACTCTGAAAACTTTATTCTAGAGCAGATTTAGGAAAAATTATACCACATACATTACTGAACAAGTAATTAACTCACCCACACTTCCAGTTTGGACAACATTCTCCTCGAACATTAATTTTCTGACAGTTATGGTGAGGTTTGGGTTTACACTGTCTAGTTACATTGAGTACCCCAACGTGGGTACAGATGTGAACTATGCAGGGATCCGTCTGCCAGGAGCTGTACAATTCTCGGTAACTTCCGTCATCATTAGTACAGCCAATACTTTTAAATGGAGAAATCAATTTAGAATACAATTCACTAATTTATGAATTGGAAAACCATTATAAACTCCTCATTGTAGGAGTTGAAATGGGCCGTGTTAACTGTCAAACTGATTACTTTCATTTGTACTAAATATTTCAAGTTTGCTCAAGACTCTTTAGAAAAATTATTATACCGACATACTAGACAAACGTAAAGTAGAGTCCCCCACCCCCCATTTAGCATTTACTTGTACAAGTTTCTCTTTTGCAACTAATATTCTCCATACAGATTCCTACAAATGTTACAATTTTATTTTGTTAAACATGCCAAATCTTAACAATTTACCACTAACAAGTAAAAATTAAGAGATTGCACACTAAAAATATCAGTCCTTCGATTATCTTACGCAGGCTGAATACACTACACGAGTGTCAAGCATTTTCTATAGTGAATCTATGAAACGCATCACAAATGTGAAAGCCTTGCCTGGTTTATATATTAGTTTAGAATGTTAAAAAATACGACATTAGTGAACCAGACCACACACTAGAAGGTGAAGGGACTACGACGTTTCGGTCCGTCCTGGACCATTCTCATCTGACTTTAGAATGGTCCAGGACGGACCGAAACGTCGTTGTCCCTTCACCTAGTGTGTGGTCTGGTCAACGTACTTTAGCCACGTTGGACTCATCGCCTGCACATTAGTGACCATAGAGGCTTCTCTGTACCATAACACTAAAATTAATCTAGTAATGAAGTTCAGATCGGGCTTATTTAGGTGGCTATGTAAACTTATAATTTTATGAAGCACTTGAGTAGTGTGGTCACAGGTGCGCGTGTATCCCACTATCTCGTCAAAATCAGAGCGGTCTGTTTCCCCTGTTCAATAGGTGCAAATAAATTTTGTACTTCTGGTCTCATAAGAAAAGGTTCATACCCGCCCAGGCCTGTTTTTTTTTAACAGACCAAAGCAGGTTTACTAAAACATTTCTGCTTGGCTGACTTGCTTATTCCCATTTAAAATTTGTTTTAACTATTAAATATAAACCTAAACCAGGGAAGTTAGGATTTAAGGTTTTCCAACCCTTGTTTTCATACCGTGATGAGTTATTTACAGCCTGTGTCCTAGTCTTGGGGTCCGTAACTTATATCAAGGAATTTTTTTTCCCAATATGGAGGTAAACCTGGATTAGTCTATTTCCTTTACTGCCACCAGAGCACGATAACCTCTAGATTTTCATATTTAGAGTTGGTAGTTTAATAGTTATAATTCTCATTAGCTCTTCAGGTAATTTATTTTTACGGAATCCACTAAACTTAAAAAATGCGACGCGTTCGTAATAAGGTTTGCAAACATCGGCCTTGATATGATAAGTGGCTTCGGACTTTTGTTTTCTAATTGGTCAAAACTAACTTTTTATCGAGTAGCAAAATATGGAAAACGGGTTTTACTGCGAGAACTAACAGCCTTCATGAAGCCTGACTTATGCCTATATAGACGTTAAGCAAACTAGTTAAATAATTAAAACTTGTGAGCAACTAAAATGTTGTGAAAAGTTCACACGCCAATGCAATATTTACAAGAATTAATAGTCTAAATCTAAATCAATAAACTTGGTATTAAAGAATTACACATTTAACTCACCCACACTTCCACTCTGGACAACACTCTCCCTCTATAACAACCTTCTCACAGTTGGCATGGGGTTGTGGAGGACAGTCTTTTGTTATTTTCAATACACCGGCAGATGTACATACGTGTGTAATACAGGGACTCCTCTGCCATGTGCTGAACAGTTCATGGTACACTCCACCTTCAGTACACCCGCTGGAAAACAGTGCTACTGTACTTAAACCATCATTACTTTCATTACATTAATTTATCATATAAGCTCTTACCAAAATTTCACTGGAATTTTAGACTTAAATTACCAAGACGTTAATACAGAGGAACTACACAATCACATATGATTGGGGAATATACAAAAATTGCAAATATTTACGTTAAATGGGAGGGGGGGGGATTAGGTCTTAAATTATTTGCAATGTACGTTAAATTGATTATTTTATAAATTCTTCGTCACGTTAGGTCGTCACTGACGTACTCTTGAATCCAAGGGAACTATCAGGGGGAAAGTGCCAAGCCATAACGACTATATAGCACTAGGAAAGGAGTCAGGATAAGGATTAGGGATGGGACAGGGGGAATAGGAATGGTGCTCAACCACTTAGACGGTCGGGAACTTAACGCCGACCTGCATGAAGCGAGACCGTCGCTCTACCGTCCAGCCCAAGTGGTTGGACGGTAGAGCGATTGACTTTAATCCAAATCAATCGGGACCCGATACCCTGTCTGGCAGGAACAGCCTACCTGCCACACAAACTATTTCGAAATACACAAAGCTGCAGACATACCGAGCGACCGTACAGTTCCACTTGGGGCAACAGGGGCCAGGAACTTCCGTGCAGTAACTCAAGGGCCTGGCAGGGCACGCCACCTCGAACTTGTTGCACGTAGCACGACCTCTGTTGCACGTACACTGGTGACACTCGTCAGGGAACCAACTGCTGCCGTCATCGTGGGTAAATCCATTCGCATCCTCGCAAGAGAAACGCCAGCAGTCGTCACATGGAATGTCTGAGGGGAAAATTTTTAGCGTGAGATAGTATGGGAAGAAATAATAATGTTTAAGGAGGCCGTTTTACGAAAATATACAGAAAGTGAAAACTGGTTCGATTTCAAATCAAACTTTTTTGACTAGTACATAAAATTGGGTTCAACTGGTCCAAGTCTCGGCATCGTAGCATAAGAAAAAATGTGTCAATTTTCCAAAATTGTAAAAAATTCTCAAACAAGCGCCAATTTAAATCATGTCTAAGATAACACAATAGCATATAATTATTTTAATATTTAGTTTTATGCCAAAAAAATAAAGATTTTTCTCAAATTTCTCATTTTTTATCTGCCGATTTGCATGAAACTTTTACACCTAGCAGAACGTAATCCTATCTGAAAGGGTGAAAATTCTGGAGGAAATTAGTCGATGTCAACCTTAACCGCAGGTGGCAGAATCTTTGACCTATTTATTGTCAAGTAAACAAAATAATTTTCCAATTTACATGAAATTTACACCTTACATGTAGAGCTTACGTCTCCACAATCTGTATCAAACTATTCCTAGGTTCATTTATTGATTATAAATATTTGCAAACATGAAATATTGGCATATATTTTTAGGGAACCGACTACTTTTATTCCTAAAACTAAACATTTTGGATAATCCCCTTTATACAAATCCTTTATTGTATGATAATGTAATAGAAGAGTGTCAAATGATTTCATTTGAAACTTATGGTTGTAGAGAATTATTGAAAATGTAAAATTCGTTGAAAAACAAACCAAAAATTCCCTCTTTCTGTTTAGGGTGCGATATTGAAACGTAGAATAGTTGCAACCCTTTTCATATACAGCAAGTAAAAAAAAAAAAAAAAATAAATAAAAAAAGTGGTCGACATTAAACAATTAAAGTCACGTAAATCACTTAATGCGAGATCTTCAAAGGTCGAGAGGAAGGGAACTATCAGGAGAAAAGCGCCCGTTGTTTTAGATTTAGCTACTCTTAAGGAAATTTTCATGTAGCACGGGCTATGGCGAGCCCATAATTGAGTTCGGTTATTCGCGATAACCTTGTTACTCTGATATTTGGGTCAACTTTTTAAATGGAGGTGGGGTTTTCTCCCTTTTCCCCCCCAGTTTCTTTTTCCGCTTCTGTTTTAGTCGTGTTTTAATAACATTATCTTGGTGGCGGGAAAAGCGCCCAATCCATTACGACTATATAGCACTTTGAAGGGATTAGGGGTAAGGATTTGGAATGGGACGAGAATGGCGCCCAACCACTTTGACGGTCGGGGATTGAATGCCGACCTTCATGGAACGAGACCGTCGCTCTACCGTCCAGTTCAAGTAATTGGGATAGTACGCTTGTTTATGACCGTGTGTAGCAGGCCTGCAACACCCGAGCTAAATAAGAAAAGTCTTTGCATCAACCCTTATAACAAACCGAAGCTATTTTCCGCTTGTTACAACTTATAATAAAGTTGTTACATCTTGGCTTAACGTGTTTATGACGTATTAGAACGTTGTTACAACTTGCTATATTGGTTGTTATAACGGGTTAGGTGTTAAAACTTGTTCGAACGTTGTACTAACGTCGTAGTTTCGGCGTGTGTTTGGCGGGAATCTAACAGCGATCAGCGTTAGTGTGCATAAAGTTGGTAGTCTTCAGGCTTTACTAGACTTTTCTAGAATTAAATTGGCTTCTATTCAAAACCAGGCAACATGGCGATCAAACTACTACAATTATGTTAATGTCACACGGCAGAGCCATCACACTACGACTACAACAGTCTGGTAAATCCACAGGTTACCTAAGCCCAGGACCCCATGACAGCACAAGGGGGATAACACCCGCTCTCCACTCACTCCTAATCACCAATAACACATACTGACTGGGGACAGATTCATGAAGCTGTTACGCAAGTACTTACAAACGTGCACATCTTTCCTCAATCTTTGACGGCTTTGGTTACATTTATTAAACAGTTTACAAGCATGAAAAGTTCCCAATCAACTGTTATTGCTATAAACAGCCCTCCTGGTGCTCCGGAGCTCATTAACCATTTAATAATTGTAAACAAAGCCATCAAAGATTGAGAAAAAAGATGTACAGGTTCGCAAGTGTTCGCGAACTGCTTCGTGAATCTGGCCACTGGATAAAACTCACCGGGCTCAACCGTAGACACCATCGATATAACTAATGTCAAAGACACCACCAAACACTGCAGATAAGAACACTTTAGAAAGACTTCCATGTTGACCGCGAATATCTACCACCTTCAGTTCGCCCACGTAGAGCGAGTAGATAAAAATGAGCAAAAAATATATTAAAATTTTGTTTGCAATCACCGGACAATCGTCCACCGTGACGGGAGTTTGTTGAGTGAGAGGATGGGTTAATTATGCAACCCGTCCTCGACTCAAGTCCATTACATCCAGCGGTCGCCCCCACAGATGCATTCATAAATTTTAACTTGCTGTTCATTCAAAACAAGAATTTTTTCACATATAAATTAGTATTATAATATATTAGCATATTGTGCATATATAGGCATAGGTTAGGTTAGGTGTTTAGTTCGGTTGGCGATTATTTGCATTTGTAGTACGTAGGTGAAGCATTTATAGCGTTGTGGTTCGAACAAAACTCGTCAGTGAAGCACTTGTTCCGGAAGTGTTCGAACGAAATCAGTTGTGAGTCGTGTGTAAACCGCTTTTCATTCATAAACAGGGGGTTTGGCGGGTGGATGGAATCACTTTTGGATCTTTGTTTGGATACGGGCTGAATTATGAGTCGTTTCGTAACTTTTTTTTAAAGCAAACAGTCAAGTGTTGCTTATAAATTAAGACTCTGACTCGTAGTGTCACTTCTAGTTCATAGATGGCGCTCAAAACAATATTCAAAGCGTATCATTTGTTGTCAGTTCTTCGTGAGTTTGTTGATTTGTTAAAAATACAAGCATATGATATCAACCCATCCTCCTGAAGTGATAGTACATTTTATAACTATGTGCTAGAAAGTACCAATATGTACATAGATAAATCACAATAGCGTGATGCATCAAATGAACAAATCCACAAGAGCCGTGACTAGAGTTCGAACCCAGGACCACAGGATCATGCGTCCAGTGTTCTGTCCGCTCAGCCACCAGCTCCCCAAATAGCTCACATATACATTATAGTGTATATGTGTGCTAATATCTAGCACATTTACACACAGAGATCACACTAACGTGATGCATCAAATGAACAAATCCACAAGGGCCGTGGCCGTGAGGATTCGAACCTGCGTCCGGGAGCATCTCAGACACTGCTTTAATCGACTGAGCTACGACATGGTTTGTCGTAGCTCAACCCTGTCGTAGCTCAGTCGATTAAGGCAGTGTCTGGGATGCTCCCGGACGCAGGTTCGAATCCTCGTCACAGCCCTTGTGGATTTGTTCATCTAGCACATTTGGCCTCAGTTAGCGTTTATTAGACCTCGGATAGTTAGGGTACGTTACGTTAGACCTTATTAGCAACATATAAACAAAAATTCCTGTTTGTCCAAATTCAATACTACAAAAATACATATTATGGTGGTTCATCACGACATATTTGTATTTTCAGATATGTTAAATGTCTGAAATGTTGGAAATTTGACTCCTGAGCGTGATTTTTGAGCCGAATTCTGACTCTCTGCACGTATTTTCAGTTTCAAATTACGACTTTTTGTACCGAAAATATGCCAATTACTGAAAACGGCAATGGGTCATATTTTGCCCAAACCCCCCTGCAGTTTTCAAAATGTCTAAAATGTCGGAAATTTGACTCCTGAGCGTGATTTTTGAGCCGAATTCTGACTCTCTGCACCTATTTTCAGTTTTAAATTACGACGTTTCATACCGAAAATATGCCAATTACTGAAAACGGCGATGGGTCATATTTTGCCCAAACCCCCCTGCAGTTTTTAAAAAGTCTGAAATGTCGGAAATTTGACTCCTGAGCGTGATTTTTGAGCCGAATTCTGACTCTCTGCACCTATTTTTAGTTTCAAATTAAGACTTTTTATACCGAAAATATGCCAATTACTGAAAACGGCGATGGGTCATATTTTGCCCAAACCCCCCTGCAGTTTTAAAAAATGTCTGAAATTTCGGAAATTTGACTCCTGAGCGTGATTTTTGAGCCGAATTCTGACTCTCTGCACCTATTTTCAGTTTCAAATTACGACGTTTCATACCGAAAATATGCCAATTACTGTAAACGGCGATGGGTCATATTTTGCCCAAACCCCCCTGCAGTTTTCAAAATGTCTGAAATGTCGGAAATTTGACTCCTGAGCGTGATTTTTTATCCGAATTCTGACTCTCTGCACCTATTTTCAGTTTCAAATTACGACTTTTTATACCGAAAATATGCCAATTACTGAAAACGGCGATGGGTCATATTTTGCCCAAACCCCCCTGCAGTTTTCAAAATGTCTGAAATGTCGGATATTTGACTCCTGAGCGGGATTTTTTATCCGAATTCTGACTCTCTGCACCTATTTTCAGTTTCAAATTACGACGTTTCATACCGAAAATATGCCAATTACTGAAAACGGCGATGGGTCATATTTTGCCCAAACCCCCCTGCAGTTTTCAAAATGTCTGAAATGTCAGAAATTTGACTCCTGAATGTGATTTTTTATCCGAATTCTGACTCTCTGCACCTATTTTCAGTTTCAAATTACGACGTTTCATACCGAAAATATGCCAATTACTGTAAACGGCGATGGGTCATATTTTGCCCGAACCCCCCTGCAGTTTTCAAAATGTCTGAAATATCGGAAATTTGACTCCTGAGCGTGATTTTTGAGCCAAATTCTGACTCTCCGCACCTATTTTCAGTTTTAAATTACGACGTTTCATACCGAAAATATGCCAATTACTGTAAACGGCGATGGATCATATTTTGCCCAAACCCCCCCTGCAGTTTTCAAAATGTCTGAAATGTCGGAAATTTGACTCCTGAGCGTGATTTTTTAATTAAATTCTGACTCTCTGCACCTATTTTCAGTTTCAAATTACGACTTTTTATACCGAAAATATGCCAATTACTGAAAACGGCGATGGGTCATATTTTGCCCAAACCCCCCTGCAGTTTTCAAAATGTCTGAAATGTCGGAAATTTGACTCCTGAGCGTGATTTTTGAGCCGAATTCTGACTCTCTGCACTTTTTTTCAGTTTCAAATTACAACGTTTCATACCGAAAATATGCCAATTACTGAAAACAACGATAAGTCATATTTTGCCCAAACCCCCCCTGCAGTTTTTAAAATGTCTGAAATGTTGGAAATTTGACTCCTGAGCGTGATTTTTGAGCCGAATTCTGACTCTCTGCACCTATTTTCAATTTCAAATTACGACGTTTCATACTGAAAATATGCCAATTACTGTAAACGGCGATGGGTCATATTTTGCCCAAACCCCCCTGCAGTTTTCAAAATGTCTGAAATGTCGGAAATTTGACTCCTGAGCGTGATTTTTTATCCGAATTCTGACTCTCTGCACCTATTTTCAGTTTCAAATTACGACTTTTTATACCGAAAATATGCCAATTACTGAAAACGCCGATGGGTCATATTTTGCCCAAACCCCCCTGCAGTTTTTGTTATGTTAATGTTACTATATGTATTTTCATTTTAGGAGGATGGGTTGTATATTGTATATTGGAGGCAATGCCACCTCTGGTTGTGTTTGTGGGGACCCTCAGCCTAGAAGAAGAGGATATACAGCACCCGGGGGGAGCCTTGTGATTCGCCCGTGTTCGCTTACATATTGTCTTCTCCTACACCTTAAAATGTGAAATTATTTGATTTGATAGTTTGCTACACAAAATGGGTTACAACAGGATATATACAAGCTATAAAGTTAGTTGTCAGAGACTGTCGAGTTTCTTCAGCTAGCTCAGATTGCAGCCTCAGATGGTAGCCTCAGATGGCAGCCCCAGATGGTGGGTAGGAACCATGGGCCAGATTCACGAAGCAGTTACGCAAGTACTTACGAACGTGAACATCTTTCCTCAATCTTTAACGACTTTGGTTATATTTATTAAACAGTTCACAAGCTTGAAAACTTCCCAATCGACTGTTGTTATTGCTATAAACAGCCTCCTGGTGCTTCGGAGCTCATTAACTGTTTAATAATTGTAAACAAAGCCGCCAAAGATTGAGAAAAGATGCACAGGTTCGTAAGTGCTTGCGTAACTGCTTCGGGAATCTGGCCCCATGAACTCAGTATGCTTTTTTACTACTAACCTCTAACCAACCCGTCCTCTTGAGCTGCCTCAACGGACGAAATACGGGGGTACTAAACCGAACCCAAGCCACCTACCTAACCCAACCAACCTAGGTTTAGAAAACGTGGATGCTTGTAAGCCGCTACAGTTTCACAGTACCTCGTATTTTGTCCGCTAGGGGGACCACAATTTACAAAAATACAGTGTATTATTTGAAAGTACAAGTCTTCAAGAAAGTACAAGAAAGTACAAGTTTCCAGGTGAGGATGTACTCAAGCTTTTTCGTGTCTTGACCTTCATTGTACAAGTTGTGAGAGCTGAGTACCAGTTGTGTAAGTTGAGTACCAGTTGTGTAAGTTGAGTACCAGTTGTGTAATTTGAGTACCAGTTGTGTAAGTTGAGTACCAGTTGTGTAAGTTGAGTACCAGTTGTGTAAGTTGAGTACCAGTTGTGTGAGTTGAGTACCAGTTGTGTAAGTTGAGTACCAGTTGTGTGAGTTGAGTACCAGTTGTGTGAGTTGAGTACCAGTTGTGTAAGTTGAGTACCAGTTGTGTGAGTTGAGTACCAGTTGTGTCAGTTGAGTACCAGTTGTGTAAGTTGAGTACCAGTTGTGTAAGTTGAGTACCAGTTGTGTAAGTTGAGTACCAGTTGTGTAAGTTGAGTACCAGTTGTGTAAGTTGAGTACCAGTTGTGGGAGTTGAGTACCAGTTGTGTAAGTTAAATACCAGTTGTGTAAGTTGATTCCCAGTTGTGTAGAACAGGAATCACATTAATCATTAGAGATAACGAGATAATGCCATTGCAAATATCTTGATTAACGAGACGCTCCAGTAAAGATAACGAGGTTCGTTATCCTCTACGTTATATATCTCACGCCTATCATCATCATCCTGGTGTGGGCGCCACTAACGAAGAATTGGCGGAGGTTATTGGGCTCACTCCAGATATCTTAAGTCACCATAATCACCTGATCGCGCTAATGTGATGAAGTGGCTGAACTAAATATGTAATCGAATTAATTGGCTTGATCATTCTATCACCTTGATCAATTTATTTCAAGCCGAATACCTCATGTGTCGTTGATTGATGGGCCCATGGGCTCAGGGGATAGAGATGGAATGAGCTTCAATAGATTGATTGATTGATAAAGATTAAGCTACCCAAGAGGTGGCACGGGCTTGAATAGATTAATGCTTCAATAGATCACTGAACATCTTAATATCTATTTGTGTAAGATGAGGGGTAGAGAGGGAGGGTATGGGGGAAGGGGTGGATAGGGAAGGGGGAAAGGAAGGGGGAAAGGGAAAGGGGGGGAAGGGAAGGGGTGGATAGGAAAGATATGAGTGTGTTATGCCTCATATCACCTTAACAGCAATTCGGGGATCCTGCCTTAACTGCCTATTCCATGTCTCACCAGACAACACCGCGATCATGCGCGACTTACGATCCAGTTCTCGTGACGGATATGATCATAATTGATTAATGACTGACGGATTAATGACTGATTAATGACTTACATTCAAATATAGGCACTCTTAGGGAACATACCTTTAGTTATGAACGCAGTGCATTAATTCGGACAATTAACCATCTAAAAGTTAGCTTTAAACTCAACACCAAACCAAGTTGATTTAATTCGTAAAGTTAGACAAACTTGGTTTAGTGTTGAGTGTAAAGCTAACTTTTTGAGGGTATACCAAGGCCATGACATGCTTTTACTGGCCAAGCAGCAGGTATACAGCAGGTGAGGCGGGACCAAAGAGCCTAAACTCAACCCCCGCAAGCATAACAAGGTGAGTACTTTACCCCTGTACATTGTACAGGACCAAAAGTAATCTCTTGCTGTATATACACCGACAAGCCGGGTACAGCTTTGGTGTGTGTATAAGTTATATAAGTTTATATAAAGCTTATATAAACTCATATAAACTCATATAAACTCCCTATATAAGTTTAAGTTTGAGGTGAGTAATAGTTGGCTCCTCTGCTGTTGTGAAATATATTATGATAATTAATTGTCTATTTAAAAGGAGTTCTATTACAGCCTTCTAGGTAAGCCTCTAGGAAGAGGTCTTCCTAGAGGCCTTCCTTCAAGGAAGACCCCTCTAGGTTACCCAAAACGATGTGGGTATTAGTGGCATAGCGTTTCCAGGAACATAATTACAACTCTATTTATATCCAAAGTCTTAATTTAAAACATTGATTTAATACCTTATAATATATATATCTATGTAAGTTACAATATTTATAATTAGATCTACTAGATATTCATTGTTGCATTATATGATATGTGAGTTCTATACTCGTTATAACACAATATTATTTGACTGAAATCATTTTATATCATATGGGTTTTTCTTTTGTTTCTAGTCTGTAGTTCAGATCGAAAAAATAAAGGCCTTTTTTTAGCAATATATAATGATGTGTGTGTGTGTGTGTGTATCTGTCATTGTAACTACTTTGGGATTTTCTGTCTGTCTGTCTGTCTGTCTGTCTGTCTGTCTGTCTGTCTGCCTGTCTGTCTGCCTGTCTGTCTGTCTGTCTGTCTGTCTGTCTGTCTGTCTGTATGTCTGTCTGTCTGTCTGTATGTCTGTCTGCCTGTCTGTCTGTCTGTCTGTCTGTCTGTCTGTCTGTCTGTCTGTATGTCTGTCTGTCTGCCTGCCTGTCTGTCTGTCTGTCTGTCTGTCTGTCTGTCTGTCTGCCTGTCTGTCTGTCTGTCTGTCTGTCTGTCTGTCTGTCTGTCTGTCTGTCTGCCTGTCTGTCTGTCTGTCTGTCTGTCTGTCTGTCTGTCTGTATGTCTGTCTGTCTGTCTGTCTGTCTGTCTGTCTGCCTGTCTGTCTGTCTGTCTGTCTGTCTGTCTGTCTGTCTGCCTGTCTGTCTGTCTGTCTGTCTGCCTGTCTGTCTGTCTGTCTGTCTGTCTGTCTGTCTGTCTGTCTGTCTGTTTTGCACCATCTTTACTGAAATTTCGAATGACTTCAAAAGACATTTATTTACAATTATTGGTAAATGCGCATATATTATTTACCTAAACAAAAAACGTGAATAAATTTAGAATGACTTATATATCTGAGTAATTTACAAAACCATTTACCTTGTTCTTGTTCGGTGTACATATGGGGAGCAAAAGGTACACCAATGTAAACTTGAGAGGCTACAGTTTACCCCATTTCCCTTGTAAATACAACTACAATCAATAAACAATGTACATTCGGCACTGAAAAGAGTTAACAGGTGCTGAATAGTCAGTCTGGAATTTCCTTACATGGCGGACCGGATGGACTACAGAGCGCCTTTGGTCTGCTTGGACCTATCCGGCAAGTGAGGAGCCGGATAGCACATGGGGCTCAAGAGGACGTGTTCAACGCACAGGAAGCGTTCGTGCAGAGTTCCTTAAACACCTGTGTGAACGCGGCCATGACGTACTGAAGCCCTTCCTCGTATTTTTTAAGGATGATGAAGTCTCGAACTCCTTTTTCGACCGTGTCCAGAACTTGGTGGCCCCGGTTAGTGAGTTCCTGAGTGAGGGCTTCGTCAGGAACGACGTCCAGCTCCTTCATGCCCATTCTCGTGTAGCCGAGGAGCTCCTCAATGTAATCTACTGTCGGAAAAATAATTACGTTACTTTGGGTTTCTAAAAGTTATGTACAATGTTGACCAGACCACATACTAGAAGGTGAAGGGGCGACGACGTTTCGGTCCGTCCTGGACCATTCTCAAGTCGATTGTGTCAATCGACAATCGACTTGAGAATGGTCCAGGACGGACCGAAACGTCGTCGTCCCTTCATTTTCTAGTGTGTGTTTTGGTTAACATATTTCAGCCACGTTATTGTGACTCATCGCCTGCAATGTTAATGCAACTTTGAATGAATTTAATAGCTACACATATATGCAATTATTTGTATATGTGTCTAATATAAATATACAATTATTATTTGTATATTTATATTAATTATTTATAATTAATATAAATAAATATATTCATTAGGAGTGGATGATGTATATTGAGCTATGTTATCAATGAAACCTACCACATGAAGCCTTCATAATATAACTCATGATTAGTCTGCTAGTTATCCGATGTTATAGCACTTAGCGTTACGACCAGGAGGCCAGATTCACGAAGCAGTTACGCCAGCACTTACGAACCTGTACATCTTTCCTCAATCTTTGGCGGCTTTGTTTACAATTATTAAACAGTTAATGAGCTCCGAAGCACCAGGAGGCTGTTTATAACAATAACAACAGTTGATTGCAAGTTTTCATGCTTGTAAACTGTTTAATAAATATAACCAAAGCCGTCAAAGATTGAGGAAAGATATACACGTTCGTAAGTGCTTGCGTAACTGCTTTCGTGAATCTGGCCCCAGGTGCATATTATGGACATTAGTTCTACCGATGCTATTTATCTACTCTTTCTGCTTTTAATCTCCTAGCCAGAGTCTCTATCCCCTCTCCCAATTAACTATCCTCGTTCTTACTTGTGCTCGTAAACTTCTCGAGATAAAAGTCCACTTCAGTGTCGAGATCATTCGTCTTGAGGACTGGGTCGATCTTACTGAAGGTACTCTGGTCGAGGAAGACATCTTCCAGGCCGACTAGATGGCATTGCAGCTGGCCGAACACCCTCGCCATCTCCTCTTTGAGGTCGACGTTATCCGGGACAGGAGGTATGGAGGGCGGGATGCCGAAGTCCGTGTCGCCGATCTCGGCCAATACCTCTTCCCAGGTCTTGTTGAAGGTGTCCAGCGCCTGAGGGAGTCATGGTATCTTGGTGTTGGTTTTGTGTATAAAAAAAACTAGATTTGATATCACTTTGAAATAATAATAATAATCCTTTTTAATTATTATAATAATTACAATTAATGCAAACTAAAAATAATGATAAAAATAGTAAAAACTGTAATAATAATTAAATATTTTTTTACCAAAGTAGTGTTATTAAACATTACATACAAAACATGTTTAAACTTTTGAAGTGACAATATATTCTGTTTTATAAACTTTTACTGAATACAAGTTCTTTAATTTTATGTAAATTCGATAATCCAAGTGTCGAAATTTGTTTGGTAATCCTGTTTGGCACCTCTAGTTTGTTCTTGTGGGAGTTCTAGAGAAGTTAGGTGTTGACATGCATTTTGTGAACTTTGTAAACTGCACCCAGGTGAACCCCATCTGTGTTCGAGAGTCCTGCTGTAGTACACTGTGTTGAGGGTATTAAGGTGACTGATTGCAAGATGTGAGTGATCTTGTACTGCAGTTTTTCTAATAATTTTAGATAAGCCAGTGGATAGGTACCTAAAATTAGTGGTATTCTATGAGATCCTATTTGTAAATCTATCGGTATACTCCTATGGAACTGTTATAGATAGGAAGCTTTTGAAGCGAGTAGTGGTAATCCCCTTTTCTTGCTTCTTATCTCTCTCTCTCTCTCCCTCTCCATTTCTCTATTCAGTACTTCCTTTGCCTCTCATCTGCACGAATATTCACAACGTAAAATACAACTTCTTAGAATTTGGAATATATATATATACATATATATATATATATATATATATATATATATATATATATATATATATATATATATATATATATATATATATATATATATATATGCCTATTATGTTACATATTTATAGCTCACCTTAAAAGGCAAATATAACTTATTAAAAGCCTTAAATCTATACAAAACAATTGTAACTTATTTGAGAAACTGCCGTACAAGATCTCACACACATCTCGTAAGGAGATGTGTGTGAGATCTGATAATTACTTTTGATAATTTGTGACCTTTGATAATTACTTATACCCAAGAACCTACGGAGGTTATTCATACCAAGTAAAAGATCCTACAATCATTCCTGTTGTGTTTTATTCTCCTAATTCCCTAGACTGGCCAGGAAGTTCAGTCACCCAATCAAACCCAATCACTTATATGACGCCGATACAAAGACGATTGCCAAATGCCTGAACGCCGAAATGGACAACGCTAGCAGTGTGTGGTCACTTCCAAGCAAAGTTTGCTTAGAAATTGCTTAGAAATTAGAAATTGCAAAGAAATCACAATTAGATGGTGTCCATCAGCATCCATCCCTCTCTATTCCCCATCAATTTAACGAAACTTTTCTCTTTTAAAGCTTTCTATACTATATACCACTATGATTTTGCCGTGCCAAGCCTGTTGTACTGAACAAATCCACAAGGGCCGTGACGAGGATTCGAACCTACGTCCGAGATGATCCCAGACGCTGCCTTAATCGACTGAGTTACGACATGGTCAAAAGAGTTGAAACCGAAATTCTACTGAACTTACTGGATCCTGCAGCCTCTCCGAAATACAAACCAGGGTTTTACTCAACTCCCGCATGCACTCGAGCTATGTCAATAGGCCGTTCTATCTCTTCGCCCTTACTTCATTACACAATTGCGTGATGCATCAATGAACAAATTGATGAACATTTGTTAATTGATGCATCACGCTATTGTGATTTCTGTGAGTCCTGTTTTACTGTTGCCAAACCAGTACTTCAATATGTATATACTTTTTGTATTTGATCTTTTTCAACTCAGCCTTTGTTGCATGATCTGGCCTTGACTGGTAGGTGCACAACCTAGCTCGTGTCTCTCCTGTTGATACACCTCATCATCTTGAAGACCTCGATCATGTCTACTCTCGCCCTCCGCCTCAACAGGGAATGTGAACCGAGGTCCTGAACACCAGAGACCAGTCTGGTCATCCTCTATACTGGATTTCCTAGAGAGAATCAATGTTGATTCTGCAATACATTAATTAGAATTTGACAGCCTTGATAATGTGGGGCTTCACCAGGGCCAAATATAATTGGAGGACAACTGTGTGGATATATTTTAAGCGCTTCTGGATATAAATAATTAATTCTATTGATTAATTAATTCAATCGACTTGAGAATGGTCTAGGACGGACCGAAACGTTGTCGTCCCTTCAACTTCTAGTGTGTGGTCTGGTCAACATTAATTCTATTGGTTTCGTTATGATTATTGATTAACTGCTATCTTAATTTCAGGTCACTGCTAGTCTTGACCCCAAGTCTCTTCTGCTATTCGATTTGCCAAACTGTGAATCATTCATCCAGTAGATGGTGACACTCTTATTTCCCATGATTATATCTTATCAAAACTGAACTTTATCTGCCTTTTTTTCTGTCTAGTTTTTCAGAAAAGTTCTTGAATACTGGGACTACTTTTGTCCACTCTCCAGGCAGTAAGTAATATTCTTGAGTTGGCTGATTGCAAATGCTTATCAGTGGGTTATAGAGTTCTTCTCGGTACTCCCTTGTTGTTGTTTTAAGGATGATTAGGATGTTTTAAGGAAGTTTAGATTTAGCTACTCAGAACGAATTGTCCATGTAGCACGGGCTATGGTGAGCCCGTAATTGAGTTCGATTATTCGCGATAACCTTGTTACTGTGATATTTGGGTCAAAGTTTTAAATGGAGGTGGGGATTCCTTCTTTTTCCCTGTTTCTTTTTCGCTTCTGTTTTAGTGCACTGGTTTTAGTCTTTGTACTCCCTGAAGACAGCTCATTTTATGACTATTTACGTGACGTGAAGTTATGCTTATTTGTTGATGCAGGACGAGTGAAGTTATGCTTATATGTTGATGCTGTACGACCCAAAGGCATAGAATGCTAGAAAAACAGAAAATTAGTTCCCAAAATTGTTACATGGACGCCGAACTTATCAGCTCATTAGTAAATTTTTTTTTTATACAATAGTCTCAATATAAATATAATACAAATACCAATGAAATATAATACAACTGAAATACAAATCTCGTAAATATCCGTACCTGGTATAGCTAATGATAAATACTCACAAAATTGTCCTTGTAGTCTTCAAAACTTGAGAGAGCAATTTTTGCAGTGGCAACAGTGTCGTACAAAATTATGCAAATTTGGTAACATTCGCTGCAATTCTCTGCATTCGCCAGAGCAATTTTTCTTTGGGCTGCATATTCTTCATTATTCATCGCAAGATGATGCTCACGTTGAATGCCGTTGACTGGATTCAGCTGTTTCTTTACACTGCATAACATTCCGTCCACGAAACCAGGGATCAGTTGAACGAATTCACGAATTTGATTATATTCTATATGTGCGTCGTTCTTAGTATTAAGATGATTGTTTATCCCGGATGCTGGAGAAGATGCAGGGTGGAGTTCGAGGTCACATCTGCCTCCTTGGGTCTCCAGCATCACCAGAAACACCATAGGAAGAATTTGTCTCATTCTCCACAACTCTGAGGAAGGATTTTATTACTGAAAATTTCAACACAGTAATTCGTTGTTAAAAACTACGTATGTAAACTACTTACTAAATATCAAACAATTTGGCTACACAGATAAGAGAAACACATGAGATTTGCTATTTCATTTGATCGCAAATTGAACGTAGCGTCTCCACTGTGGAGAAAATTCATGGCGCAGTCTTGAATAATACTGGAGCATTTGATAGATTCTGACGTAAAGGATTGGGGTGTAAGTTTAAGAAACTAAGAGTTGATGGGGAATCTTCTCCTCCTCATTGAGAATTCTTAAGTAACCGGGTCTTCTAAGTTGTGGAAATTACAGCACCGCTCCTGTGCCAGGTAAGTCCACAAGGGGCTCACCATAGCCCGTGCTACTTGGAACTTTTTGTTCCAAGTAGCGAATTTTAAACAACAACAACAATTCAAGTTGTGTTAAACAACTTACGTTGTTTAAGTTGTGGTAAACAACAAAGGAATGAAACAATCATTCCTCCTGTGAACATACCATAGAGGCGAGTGTACCCAGGAGCAGTGTGATCCCATCATTCCTGTGTACGGGCTCACCATAGCCCGTGCTACTTGCAACTTTTAGTTCCCAGTAGCTGAATCTTAAACAACAACAACAACATTCCTGTGAAAGGACGTCATTTCACTCCTATTTCAGTGAAATAGAGTATCTCCTATTTCAATGACGTCATGAAGGTCACCCGTTGCTAGTGTCAGTGTAGAGTACTGTACCCTGACCTTTTCAGGTGAAAAGAAAGATGTAAATCAAATCAGTGAAACCACTTAAAATTATCTTATCACGTTGCTCCAGACGACCCCAGCTGATGGCTATCTTCCTTGTACTCACCTAGTTGTACTCATCTAATTGTGCTTGCGATGGTTGCGCTTTGGCTCTTTGGTCCCGCTTCTCAACTGTCAATCAACTGGTGTACAGATTCCTGAGCCTTATGGGCTCTATCATATCTACATTTGAAACTGTGTATGGAGTCAGCCTCCACCACATCACTTCCTAATGCATTCCATCTCTCAACTACTCTGACACTGAAAAAGTTTTTTCTAACGTCTCTGTGGCTCATTTAGGCACTGTGGCACCAAATGTATGGTCTTGCCAGAAGATTAGGCACGAAAACACTGATATTCGTAGTTCGTAATCTTGTTTTAACCAACGTTCAAAATATAGCCTTCTAACCTAACCAGAAATGTATGGACCCAAGCTAACCACCTAACCTAACGTATACTAACCTAACCTAACGTAACCTAACCTAACCTAACCTAACGTAAACTAACCTAACCTAACCTAACCTAACCTAACCTAACCTAACCTAACCTAACCTAACCTAACCTAACGTAACCTAACCTAACCCAACCTAACCTAACCTAACTTAACCTAACCTAACCTAACCTAACCTAGCCTAACCTAACCTAACCCAAGAAACCACCTAACCTAATCTACCTTGAAAATAGGATATTTGTGACCCACTATTTTTCATTGTAGGTTGCATTTAGTCAGAAGGAACCATAACGTATAAAACGCGACCTATTAGTTGAGAAGATGGGTTGGATATATATTATCCATGTTGACCAAACCACACACTAGAAAGTGAAGGGACGACGACGTTTCGGTCCGTCCTGGACCATTCTCAAGTCGATTCAATATATTTTAACCACGTTATTGTGACTGATAATGCATTATATATGACTCCTCGTCTGCATATATAATCCATCAAATACCACGTTAGGAGTGGAAATTGATGAAAAATTGAACAAATCCCCAAGGGCCGTGACGAGGATTCGAACCTTCGTCCGTGAATTGATGAAATTTTTTTCTCGAAAAGACATGTGGAAAAATATTGCAGTCACATGCACTAGGAAATTTGCTAGTTTATGATGGGTATCATATAATCTAGATGTTAATGGATAACACTTCACAACACCACTTGGGCTGGACGGTAGAGCGACGGTCTCGTTTCGTTGCAACCCGTTCTCGCAAATGTAATAAGTTCTCGCAAATATTGACTTATTAAATATGTGCATAGGTGACATACTTAACATAATAGATACCCTTAAAAAGATTCATAGAAAACACCGACCTTACCTAACCTTGTTAGTATCTTAAGATAAGAATCTTATTGCTTCGTAATTACAATTATTACCTAACCTATAATAGGTATAGGTTAAGTAATAATTGTAATTACGAAGCAATAAGATGCTTATCTTAAGATACTAACAAGGTTAGGTAAGGTCGGTGTTTTCTATGAATCTTTTTAAGGGTATCTATTATGTTTAGTATATCACCTATGCACGTAGTTAATAAGTCAATATTGACTTTACGAATTTCCGAGAACGGGTTGTCGTAATGGCTTGGCGCTTCCCTTTCCAATTCAGACCAATATTGGAGTACTCAAAACTGATTTTGGGTTTCGGTCTTATCATAAGATTTTAGGCCAAATTAAATAGTGAAATAACCCCCAATTAGCTTTTCTACAAGTCCGTCCCTCAAGAAGAAACTACCACACAAGAGGTAACTACCTAACTACCAGTTAGGGTAAGTTATCTTGAGGTTATCTTGAGATGATTTCGGGGCTTTTTTTAGTGTCCCCGCGGCCCGGTCCTCGACCAGGCCTCCACCCCCAGGAAGCAGCCCGTGACAGCTGACTAACACCCAGGTACCTAGTTACTGCTAGGTAACAGGGGGCATAGGGTGAAAGAAACTCTGCCCATTGTTTCTCGCCGGCGCCCGGGATCGAACCCGGGACCACAGGATCACAAGTCCAGTGTGCTGTCCACTTGGCCGACCGGCTCCCTGGTAACTATGGGGTAACTACCAGACACAAGTTCCTTTCACATGAACAGAGAAATGTTGACGTTCCTACCACACGAAATACACAAAATTATGAAACACATTTTGGCAAGTCTGGCAACCAAACCATTCCATCACTTCATGAAATCCAAAACTTTGTAAATGTTCAGCAACGAACACATAATAATTTGTTAATAAAAAATATAGAATCTCCAGATTTCTGCAAATAACTGCTCAGAAAAAAATGATTTTCCAGTTTGCAAACTTCAAAAGTAACTATAATGAGGTGTAAAATAATAATAATAATCAAAATACTGGTATATCTTACCCATAGTGAGGTTGATGTCTCAATGATGCGATGAGGTCCGCAGTATATATATATACCTTCAACTTTCTCGCCTTATCAGAACGATAAGATTGCAAAAGATGTACAGTGACCACAACACAGCAGTTGCAACATCAGGATCTGCGGCTTGGTACAAGAACTTAACCAACTAAGAACCACTTAGTTAGATGTAAGAGAGCAGTATTACACTTACATCACATCAGGCTTGGATACCCATGCGCACGGGAAATAGGCTTACAGGTTCCGGAAGATGAGAGGAAATGTCAGCACTGTAGAGAAATGCCCGACAGACCACTGGAACATTATCTAACACAGTGCACAGTTACAAACCCATTAAGATTTCAACTTAGATTCAACAGATCAGAAGAAGTTGTTAAATACATGGGGCAAAATCTTACTGAAGCGACCATACGAGTTATAAATACTCATATTCAACCTAGGTAAAATAGAAACAAACAACACTTAGTGTGCCAGCCAGAGGCTTAGGGCCCGCGCAGGAATATCCCTGTAACAAACGTTGTATCTAGGCTTTATATAACACTAATAATTTAAAAAAAAAATTCCTTATTCTCTCCTTGTAAATTAGTCCACTACACTCATTGTAGCAAAACCGTGGAATGTAAATTAGTTTAATTTTGAGCTCGTACCAATGGGAATTCCACAGGAAACTAGAAGACAGCTTTGCATACGACGCTGATGGTATTCTGTTAACACGTGCCTCCAATAGCAGTTCCTTTCTCCCCATAAGATCTTTTTAAATTTTCTGACACAAGCATGTGCCTTAACCTCTCACCCTGTATTCAATTTCATCCACATTCATTTGTTTGAATCTAAGTTGTGGAGGCGTTTCTCAGCCCATCTAGTTACCTGGATCCATCTGAAGAATTTTCTAATCCTCTTTTGTTCTGAATGATGATGTAAGGGACACATGGAGAAAATTGGTAGGAGACATCAGGAGGATACGAACCTGTGTACTAGGTTCTCTCAGGCAAACATTTGTCTGAAAGTACCCACTGCACGGGTTCGAAGCATCTTCATGACTCAGAGGGATTTTCTAATTGATGCATCACCTGTAGAAGTGGCACGGGCATGAATTGCCGGTAAGTGTTAGATGTTTGGAGTGAATGTGATCTTTGGTCGTGTAACCTCTTGAAGTGTCTCTGGGCTTGTCTTTTGTTGTGATTTGTCCCAGTTCATCCACTTGGGCTGGACGGTAGAGCAATGGTCTCGCTTTATGCAGGTCGGCGTTCAATCCTCGACCGTCTAAGTGGTTGGGCACCAATCCTTTCCCTTCGTCCCATCCCAACTCCTTATCCTGATCTTGTGAGGACTGAACTCCCTCCGTTTGTTACCTAACCAACCCGTCCTCCTAAGGATCCCAACATCAAGAAAATGATCAAATTTAAAGTAGTCTCTCCTAACCTACCAGAGGACCCAAAACAGAAAACGGAACAGTATGTCAATTTCGCAAGTCGCTTTCATTTTCTAGTACCACGATTTTTGGCCTTAGGTAAAGTGTACATCAAATAGCGATGACGTTCTATTAGGAAGACGGAATGAGCGGTGATTGTACATAAGGGAACCACAACAGCTGAGTACACACAGTAGGAGGAAGTTGGCAGGAAAAAATGCCCATCAGTGGTGTTATCATCCATTATCAACTTATCAACAGGATGCTCTGTGTCCTTCTTACTGGTGTTTCTGGTGATGCGGATGTTGTCTGCCAGCCACACCAGGGTGTCGGGTCACCGGATCTATCATGGGGACACGAGACGGATATATATATATATATATATATATATATATATATATATATATATATATATATATATATATATATATATATATATATATATATATGTCGTACCTAATAGCCAGAACTCACTTCTTGGCCTACTATGCAAGGCCCAATTTGCCTAATAAGCCAAGTTTTCATGAATTAATGTTTTTTCGACTACCTAACCTACCTAACCTAACCTAACCTAACTTTTTCGGCTACCTAACCTAACCTAACCTATAAAGATAGGTTAGGTTAGGTTAGGTAGGGTTGGTTAGGTTCGGTCATATATCTACGTTAATTTTAACTCTAATAAAAAAAAATTGACCTCATACATAATGAAATGGGTAGCTTTATCATTTCATAAGAAAAAAATTAGAGAAAATATATTAATTCAGGAAAACTTGGCTTATTAGGCAAATCGGGCCTTGCATAGTAGGCTGAGAATTGCGTTCTGGCTACTAGGTACGACATATATATATATATATATATATATATATATATATATATATATATATATATATATATATATATATATATATATATATATATATCCTCAAGGCCAACTTCTGGTGAAAGCACCATAAGCCATTACGACTATATAGCACTAGGAAGGGGGTCAGGATAAGGATTTGGGATGGGACGGAGGGAATATCTATATCAGACAGAATATCGTGAGTTTGATAAAAAATTAACCCATTGTGCTGGAAGTCTGAAAGGTCAAGACGATCCGTAATGATGGCTGGGAGTTGGGAATCACCATCTCAGAACCCTCTTAAGGAACTGCTTGAGAAAGATAATGTGCTTTGAAGGAAGATGTGTCACATGAAGGAAGATGTGTCACATGAATGAAGATGTGTCACGTGAATGAAGATGTGTCACGTGAATGAAGATGTGTCACATGAAGGAAGATGTGTCACATGAAGGAAGATGTGTCACATGAAGGAAGATGTGTCACATGAAGGAAGATGTGTCACATGAAGGAAGATGTGTCACATGAAGGAAGATGTGTCACATGAAGGAAGATGTGTCACATGAAGGAAGATGTGTCACATGAAGGAAGATGTGTCACATGAAGGAAGATGTGTCACATGAAGGAAGATGTGTCACATGAAGGAAGATGTGTCACATGAAGGAAGATATGAACTGAAATGATTACAGCAGGAAGAGGAGCCTCATGGAAGATATTCATTAAGAAAACAGATGGTCTTATATTAATTAAGATACATAAGTCACTCCTCCAACTCCAACACCCAGTTGGAGGAGTGACTTATGTATCATGTGGACAGTAAGCCTGTATCCTCTCCAAGACAACACCACAACAGCTCTCTAGCTCAAAGGTATCTAGGTGATGCTTCTGCGAGGTGAAGAGGCACATCTTGTGAATGGAAACGTGTCTACTCCTTTCTACCTATACCTACACCTACTCACGCCTACACTTTGAACCCATTTTACCGCTGCCGTTCATAGACTTCCGAAGTTCCATTTCCAGTCCCACTATAGGCCTCCTGGAACTATGGTGTGTTTGGAAAGGGATCCAGATTCCAATTTTCATGGAACTACATATGTTCCTTTTCCATCTTCCCCTCCATGGAGCTTCTAGACCACCTTTCCAGCTCCCTCCCATGTACCTCCTTCCACCCATCTTCTCGTCCCTGGAATCATTAATATATATTCTTTCTCTCCTCTGTTCCAGGAAGTCTTTCAAGGGTATCCGTCCCTTCCCTCTTTCTCTGAATGTTTCTCATATTCACACCCGTCCCTATTTCGGACGTCTTTATACCTATTTTCTGTGTACTTCCTTTCTGCCTTTAATTCGCCTTTCTATTGTTCCATTCTTTACCTCCTCTTCCTATTCCTTTCTAATCCAGTTCAATCTCTCGTAATTGTACTAATTTCTATGCCCTTTAATAAGCCTGGCCTCCTGCCTCTTACCTCAAGCGTCCTGTCTCCTACCTCAAGATCTATTCCCCCCTATCCCTGGCATTCTGCCTCCTATCCCACATGGACAATTCCTGGCCCTTCACTTCCTACCCCACCCCCTAGCCTTTGTCCCCTTACCCCTTGGCCATTTCCTCTCCTATCCCTGGTTTTCTGCCTCCTACCCTTGACTTTCCTCCCCCTATCCATTGCCTCCTACCCTCTGACGCCTTGCCCCCTCTATCCCTACCCATCGACCCCTATTCACACATCGCCACTAGTCCGCCATACAGACATCCTGCCTTGGTGCTTTCTCTGGATAATTTCCCTTCCATTCCCTTTGCGTTTTATTAATGTTTATGTTGACAATTCCGTTCCCGGCCTAGTTATAAGGGCAACAATAAGGTATTGGAAAGAAATCTTGGGTTAATAAAACAAAATAACGATGGGTATCGAGTGAGAACGCCTGCACTCCGCTGCCAGCCGCCCAGCGTGATCTATTTGCCAATTAATTTTTATCTGGCCAAAGAAAGCGGATTTTTATTGGTTCCGGGAGTCTTTGTTACATGAAAGCTGTTGGTAACTGCAGAAAATATCAGAAGTCTTCGTCGGCTTTTATTTCGTCTATTCGCATTCGCGTTTTCTTTGCATGTATATATATATTCTATGGGATCTGCGTTCCATCGATTTTTTGGTATTTACAATGTGTTTAAATATCTAAAAATTGCTGTTTTGGTATTTATAATATGCTTTAATACCCGTTTTGGTATTTACAATGTGCTTTAATAGTTAAAACATAATGTTTTTGTATTTACAATGTGCTGTAATACCCAAACCAGTATTTTTGGTTTGGATTATTTGCCTTATATCTGGATTAATCTTCCTGATGGTTGGATTATTATCCTGAAGTTTGGATTTAAAGCAAGGGCTAGTTTTTTTGAAGTTTAAGTTATTTTGGATTATTACTCTACTGTTTGGATTGTTTAGCTCGTGAAGCCGTTGTTTGATAAGCAGCTTGTTTAACCGTTGAGTCGATTATTAAACTATCACATGTTTTAAATAACGCGTGAATGATTAAACGGGCCCATGAATAATTTTTTGGCATAGATAATTTAACTCTACCGGGATTTGGAAACTGTCAAAACGTGTAGGATCTGATATCTTGGGCAACGTTACCTATCCTGGGCAACGTTAGCTATCCTTGATAACGTTAGCTATCCTGGATAGCGTTTTACATTAAAAGTGAGACTGATTTAATATCCTGAGGTGTGATTCTTTAGGTCCTCGTCAGCCAGCAAATCAGCCCGTCCTCCTAAGGTT